GTGTTAACTTACTTGCAACACAAAATATTTAAAAAAAATAAATTTGGCTAATTTTGGCCAATCTTGGTCAATTTTTCCTCCACTTCCTTTGGAAATACAAGCTGCCTACTAGTATCAAGGGGAAACAAGTTTCTTCTTTTCCGAGAAAGCGTTGATGGGTCAATCCCGATTTCTCGCGATGCTTCCCGAATCCCTGATCCGTTTTCGATGGCCCTTAATGCATTTTCCAAAGTTTCGTTGGAATAATTACGGTAGGTCCTACTCCCTAACTGTTTTTTGTATTTGCGAGGCATGTTGCAAGTTACCCACTTTTGTACATGCAATTTAAAAAAATATATATTTACGAAAACCTTCAAACTTAACTCAAAACTAGATATTCAATGTTTTAGACTAAGCATTCAAGCACATCATATCCAAATTTGATACAAATCCTAGCGTAAATAAGCTCTGCACAGGACAAGTTATATTGCAACAATTTAGAGCACTTACCAGAGCTGTCAGAAAATGGCGCCAAATTTTTCGTGTGTAAAATTTTTCGTGTTTAAAATTTTTCAACGCTGAATCTACTCACATTTCAACCTACTGATCCGTACTAAAGGGTAACACGTTAGCGGTTGACGCGCGACTCAAGCGAGAGGAGGGGGAAAGCAAAAATTCCACCCGATGAATAGTTGCAAGTTGTGCCACTGTTGCAAGTACCCCCACCTTACGGTATTCTAGAACACTTCGTTGAGTTCCTACCAAAACGAAGTGGTACCCACCCCATCCAAAATGTCGAGGAAAACAACAAAAACCTTATTTTTATTTAGTTTCTTGATATTTTGAACCCTTCATCCATGTATATTAGACCTTTAAAAAGATACAAAAAAAAAAAATCCTACACAGTAAAACAAAAATGCTATATGAAGAAAATCAATTAATATGGAAACAACATAATAATATCATAGATCGAACATTTAAAAATCATCCTTAAATCAGCTACCAATGAAGACATTGTTGTCTTTGAAATGGATTATATCCTTAAATAATAAAGAAATAAAACACTTTCAAAGTAAGTAGGTACTTAGAATTTAATCATTTATTAAGACAACTATACAACAACTGAGCTTGGGAATGTTTTTCCAAACGTCATAGACTGACCCTAAGAATCTAATGTTAATACAATGTTTACCTATATTTTTTTATGTAGTCATTTTTTTCCTAAACAAGGCACATTTGGTTAGTATTTGCGTGTTTTATCTTGAAATTATTTTCTCGCTTATTACTCTTTTTGTAGGTAAGATAATAGAAAAAAAAAGATTATTATTTTTTTTATAAAAAAGTATCTCCTGTTGCTGAGATAGTGAAAAAAAAAATATATTGCTCTAATAAGGACTTAATAATTTTTCTCTTTACAGGAAGCCACATAAAACTTCCGTTACGAAAATTAATATGTCAATTCTGTGCACATCTGTAAGCAAATCTATAACTTTCTATGATAATATTTCCCATCGATTGCCAAACACCCGATGGGAAATATTTACGATTTTGTAAGATTTTATGTAAGCTACAGAATTGCAAATTGTCTAAAGGCAGATTTAGGCTTATAGAAATGTATAGATTTGCTTACAGATGTGCACAGAATTGACCCGTAAGTCCACTGAAATTTACCTTAAATATGAATAAATACCTAAACTATTTATATACCCAGCACCCAATACTATATATGAGCATTTTTATAAAATATTTACAAAAATTATGTGCAACATCTTAAAAAAGAAAAATAATTTTCATAATAAAAACATCTCTTACTACCTAATAATAATTATGTAAAAAGTAAAAACATTAGAAAAAAAAAACATCTTTGGAAGCTACAATGAATGGGGTATTTTCAAAATAATCAAAAAGGATTTTGATTTTGATATGTGCTGAATTTTAGCCAAATACAAATGGATTAATTTACCTTTTTTGAAATATAGAGGGCTAATTCTATAAGTTTTAAACCTCTGGAGTATTTTAAACAATTTTCCAACTATGAAACACTCTGTATATGTGTGATATCCCTGAGTGATAGCTTTCATTTATAAGAAAAAGTATCAAAAGCTATCAAGGAAATGCAAAACTAAACTGAATTAGTACATAATACAATGTGTCCCAGGTTTGAGATATGAAATATTAAGCCGAAAAATATTTAGCTGAAAAGGTGGAATTTTTGGCTCATACCATATAATTCTATCACAAATTTACAAACACACATATTTCAACAATTGATAATAACAATACTTAGAAGTATCACAATTATTTGGTTATATTTATGAGGATACTTGGGAAGTTTTTAGCTACCTATATTTAGCTAATATTAAATCAACTGATTATTTTTAATGTTATTTTGGCCAAGTAGTCTAATATCTAAAACTATTAATAACCCTACAAAAACTGGCTGCTTAGGAGCAACTTGTTCCTTAAATGCAATAGATAAAGGGTAAACATTTTCTCTCCCAAAATACTCAAATTCCACCAATACTAACAAAAATCAAAAAAAATGTACTCATTAATCGCCAATAATTATTTATTTATTATACGAGATAACCGCATTAACTGTCAATTTACGATTTGCTCAATTCATTGGCTTGGCAAAGTATATCACTAGAGGCGAACCAGAAGTTTATGAAGATGAGGACGATTTGGAGGAAGCCTGGGAGATGTTGGAGTACGCCTGAAAGATCTTTGGAAAGCTGGGCGACGAAAAGCAACTGGCCGAAACTATGATTGTATTGGCCAAGGTATCTATGGGCAGGAATGTCCAATAAATAGACTAAGCAGAGCAACTAATATATTGGCAAATAATTAAGTCCTTCGATTATTGCGACTGTAAAGACCATACAAATACAAAAGTTTTTAGTACCTACCTTACCTTGCTGGTTCTGTTTGAGTATCTTGCGGCCAGTCCCCGCAGGGATCCCTGTCAAACTCCAAAAGTTTTGACTTGTGATTGCAATTTCGTCCTTGTAAATGGTCTGAGGGGTTCATCTTCAAGGAAAGACGACTCTACAATGGAAGGTTTCTATAGGTCTTACGTAACTTTTCCTGAACATGAACCCCCAGACCATCTACAAATGCCGATACATTTGATGCTACAATTAAAGGTTTGCAGTGAGTTACCTGAAGATGAGCCCCCAGGCCGTCTACAAGTGCCGATACGTTTGATGCTGTAACAGTACCTGAAGATAAGTCCCCTAGCGATTCTACAACGGCAAGTATCCACCAAAGTAGCAGTTTTTTAAAAACTTGTATGGTTTTAAAATCTTAAGTACTAATTATCCCGATATTTTTGACCTGCATGAACACGACCTATTAGCCAAGGAGAGTAGGACAGTGGCAAACACTCTGTATCAGTTAGGAATGGCTTATTGCATTGACAGCAAAATGGACGAGGCCATAAAGAATTTTCAAAGCGCACAAGCGTATCTGAAAACAGCTACAAGTGAAATTCAGCGATTTTGTATTCAGGTTTGAGTGTATTCATGATTTAGAAACATTTGTTTTTGCAATAAGTTATTAGTGAATACTTATAGTACTTTAGTTGCTCTGCGGGATATTCGAAAATGACTAGGCCTTCATACTAACTGAACTTTTCGGCAAAAGCGCGTTTTACACATTCAAGGTTTTGCCAAAATTTAATTTTTGAAGATTTATATCTTAGTAAATTACGAAGCTGATTTAATTGCACAAAGAAAAAAAAAGATCACTAAGCCACATACAAAGATATTATCATCAGTCCCCAATTCTTGTAGAACTATCCAGTGATAGGCTAATTATTGGACTCATTAAATACTCTGACGCTATGCTTCCTTCAATAAATTCATATATCACCTAAATTACTTAAGACTGTTGCTGCTCATATCACTTAAATCCAGCGAAAAATTGTTGTTGCTGGTTAAAACTGCTCTGTTGATTATTTGAAAATGCAAAATTAGCAGCAGAACCGCCTGTGTTCGACGGCTTTGGTTGGTTGACAGGAGATGTAGGGTTACTGGCCATTTGGTTCATAGTTGGAGCCGGACCGGCTTTCGGTTTGGTAATCAATAAGTTGTCCAAATCAATATTGACATTACCAGAATTCGCCCAGGTAGACCCTAGAGGTTGATTTTTATTTGCTGACATCGCCAGAGCGTTGGCTGCTGCGTTATTTGTATTGGAAGTTGGCTGGAGAGGAGCGATTGGAGACGGAGTGAGCATAGATCCTGTAGAACAAAAATAATTAGTCAGTCTAGCATTTCCTGTCTGCAGCAATTTATGTTGTCGATTAAAACATCCAAATGGTACTGGTTAGTTACATTATATCTTCAGTAAGCCTCAGTCGTGTGGGAATATAGGTTCCAGTTTAAAGCGATAATTAAAAATAAAACTTCATCAACTTATTTGGAAAATTGATTTCTGTTACAAACGTGCAAAACTATCACAAAATAACCGTCCTGTTGTCATAGTGAAAAGACATAAAACACCTGAAAGTACCTACAAACTATTTTGTAGAAGTGTTAAGGATATTTTATTGCAAAGGGCATACTACAGCTTGGAGGACTACTGTATGACTATAAAACCTTTTTTATTTTCGAGTACTTTTGTGTTTTATTTACATTTTATCATTTTAGTGTAGATCTAAGTACATGCAATATTGCTTGGATAGTCGTTCTGTTTGTCAAATTATTTATTACTTGTTTCTGTTTACATTATTGTGCTACTGGTGATTTTTTGTTTGTTCTTCTTTTAAGTTAATGTGTCAATAGAATTTTTTCTTGGATAATAAAGTATGATTGACTATGACTATGACTAATATTGAAATAAAATACCCCTATCCCAAATGTAGTTCTAAATCTCTTTTCAAATTTTACCGGGTTTTGAACGTTTTCAATCAAACCAAAAAATGATTTTTCTGCACCCATGAATAAGTGACCCTTTCATCAGTGTGCTTGTTGGAATGCGAAGGAATAATGATAATGGTTAGTGACTGCATAATCGTGCATAAATTGAAAAAACAATAATAGGAATATATGGGTTTATTAATGAACTGTTGAAACAATACTAATCATTACATTTCAAATATAAGTACATATTTTCACTTAGTGAGTATATGAGTATAAACTAATGTTTGCTTTACAATGGGTACTGCATTTTCATTCTTGTTACAGTTTTCATAAAATCAATTCTTTATTATATTTTTTTTTGGTAAATGGCTTGCCCTGTGAGCAAAACATGTATATATTTATTTATTCCAAACCAATTTTCAATATTCTATCAACAAAATCTAATAAACTCGAAGCCAATTTTCTACATTCAGTATTGGGTTCCCCTTTGGCTAGATCAGGTAGCCATAGTCGTAGTTCAAATAACTCATTAGGCGAATTATTGAGTAAAATACTTTCCGGTACTGTTGAAACCACTGTGGCGATAAAATGTAATATTGCTATCCTAACTCGGACATCTTCATGATTACGCAAAAATATTGTGAGATAAAATGCTTCTTCTGCCATTTTTGGGGCTATGGGACAATTTTCGGCACAAAACACTATACCTGTCAAGGTGTCTATAAAGTGTAATAAGAAATTCAAGTCAACTCCAGATAAAATTTCCTGCTCATTACGGCCACGCGTTAATGGAAAAAAGAAATGACCTGCCACATCGGCGAATTTATTTCTTAGTTCGTATTTTACTGCTTTGTGAAAATACCTCGTGTTATTTTCTAAACGTTTTTTGATAATTTCTTGATGCGAATTTACTTTTCCTTTATTATTTCTTTTTATTTCATCACCATCTTCATCAACTGGCTTAGTTAAATTAGATAAACTTCTGCTGGCCTGTCCTAAAATATCAAGCATCAATATTTTTTGACGTAGAGAATAGTTTCCTGCTTCAGCATGAATTTCTTGACACAAATAATTAGCATAAACAGCTGGATAAACACAAGTTATTGCCACACAACTTTTAAAAACGAGGTTATCAAAATTTTCCACATAAAATTTCATATCTAAAGCTATTAGTATTTTAAGTATTTCTAATCCAATGCTGGCATCATCGTTTGGTAATTGTTGGATTACTAGTTTTTCGCAATTTTCCAAACATAAAGTGAATGAATCTACATCACTGTTTTCTTCTACTAAAATAGTAACAAGATCTCTTAGATAAGCTGGAGGTTGTCTGATGGATAATACTTTTTCATTATCAGTCTCAAAGGGTTCAAATTCATCGTCAGAATCTAATTCCAAGGTTTTATCAATTATAATAATTTCATGTTTTGGTTTCACATATTCTGCAATAACAATTTCATTGTGTAGCTCTTGTTGCAGTTTTAAGCGAAATTTACGTTCCGGGGGAATATATTGTACATCTTCAGATTTATTACGTAATTTTGAAATAAACGTTCCAATATCAATATCATTAAAATCAGATTTTTGTTTATATAGCTCCACTAAATCTAAATTTAGAAAATAATCCAATTGTGTAATGATTGCTTTAGTTTCGGTACTTGTTTTATCATAATCAAATACCAATTGATTTTCAGTGTCATCTTGTAATAATTTTGTGAGAATCTCCCTAATTCTCATGCCTGAATATCTTATAGCTTCCATGGACATTTCTAAATGCATTTGTAAACCACCATAAACGATTTTTTTGATTTTTAATTTTTCATAGTCAGGTAATCCTAGTTCTTTTAAACAGTTCACTACACAAACTATGAATTTACATATTAGCAGTTGATGTTCGACACTTGTGCGTTTTTTTGATGACTTATTAGCCCATACTGATACCAATTTCAATAAAAATTTCACTAGTTCAGTATGTGAGGCTTTAGCTAAATACAGTGTTAAATTTGTTACAAGATTTTCATGGTTTGTTTCTATGTATTCAGTGAACGGAAGTTTAGTACATAAAATATAGTGCCAGTTTGGATTGTTCAATAGTTTTTTGCTCAATATGTTTGTAATTAAATATTTCTTTGGATCGAGTCTTGTTAAGCAAATTTTCACTAGAATCTCTACTGCAATTCCATCAAGAACTTCAAAAACTCTATGTAATATACCTTGATACAGATCCAATTTTTGAGAAGGTTTGTTTGTTATCAGTGCCAAAATATTGACAAAATCAATAATTCCATCGCAATTAGTCGTTTCATTAAAATGTATAATAATATTGCTCAAAAATTTCGCCAATCTTTCAAAATGGATAATATTTTGTGCTTTAGAATTGGCATAAACCTCAGAAGCTAAAAACTCTATAGCTTCTAGCATATTATAGAGCAACAAATTGGAAAACTGTTTATTGCATAGCAAAATTGGAGCGTTTCTTTCTAATCTCTTAGCAATTCTAGTGGGTAAAGATATTATAGTATTGACCATATGGGACCAATTATCTGCAGAAATAATATCATCAAATGCAGTTATATTTGTTAAGTAGCAATTTGCAATTATATCAGCAAATAAAGCATCTGATTCAAATAGAATTTGAAGACATCCAGCAACATTTGTGCTTTGGGTATTTTTTTTATTCTTAATGTTCTTGAGAAGCACTTCCAAAATTGCTTCAAAAAAATTTGGATCTTCAATGCTGAAAATGTTTTTAACACTTTCATAGATTTTTCCATCTTGGAATGGAAAATTATCATCAAATAAATTAACTATAACTTCAATTAGGGAGGAAAATGAATGCTCTGCCAGATATTTATAGGAAATGTCTTCTGATCCTTGTAGTTTTTGAATATTCAATTTTTGAGGATAATTTTTCAAAACGTCATCCAAATACTGTAAAATTTTTTCTATATCTTCTTGGGACGATATTTTTCCAATTTTCGTTATCTTATCTATTGTGGCCACTGTCGATTCTTCTAACGATTTTTGCACTGTGATTTTGCTATTGCCTTCCTTGGTTGTCAGTGTATCTGCAAGAGACCCAATTTTTAAATGTTAACCAATCCATAAGGTCCGTTGATAGGTTCTTATGGTTTGCTGGCAACTGACTGTAAATGTCATCTTATTTCTTCAATTGATGAGTTTTTAATAAAATTGATGAGAGATAGACAAAAAAACATTGCAAAACGCGATAATTGTGTACAGGCGAACAAGAATTTACTCAATAAGCGTTATCTCAGTGGAATCTGTGGATTTTCGAATATGGCAGAACTGTCATGTAATAATTTTTGCAATGTTAGCTGAGACATACGTTTTTTGTGACAATTAGCATCCATAGGCGACATGGGAGTAACAATTATTGAACACCCTCTATTTGGCTTAAATTGTATTGTAAATGTCATGATTTTACAGGTGTATTGTCATGATTTTAGACAGGTGTATTGTCATGATGTTAAACTGTATTTGTATTATTTTATTGTACTTATATTGTTGACTGTTATGTATGTGACTTTTATAGGAAATATAATCTAGACATAATTTTTTTGATGTTTCTGTGCTTCTTATCTTTTTACATTTAATTTTTTCGACAATTTTTCATGATAGTTGACATGTTTACAAAAATATATGTACCTATTTGATTTAATTCATCTATACTTAATTGGTCTTAGTAATTTTTTTTCTTTCTAATCATTATTTCAACATCTCAATCATTATTTATGCTTTTTTTAAATTTAAATTATTAATTGATCCATATTTCCCACTAGAACATGGAAAGATGGTGTCTGAGTTTTTTTCCATGTATAATTTTTTGAAAAAAGGTAGTTTTATGTTGTGTCCTAAACCGATTATCTTTACTCTAAAGCTTTATTGTTGTACTGACAGCTTCAGAGCAGTCCCCTAATATTAACTAAAGTACTTGAAAATAATAGAGTTGTTTAAAAAACCAAATACTTTCTCAATAGTTTCAGGAAATGCCATATTTTAAAACATACATTTTAGTCATATCAATAGTTTGGTTGAAAAAAATCATCCCTATGTTGGGAGCATTGTATAAGGTGTACAAAATATTTGAACACCACGAATCGCTACTCAATTTACATCAAACTTGAGATAACATCTTATAAATGTTTGGGGTACATGGGATGTATTCTTTTAACTGAGTGCAGGTACTACAAAACAGAGGGATTGAGGTGCTGTTTCAAATGCCTTATCGCACTTCCTCAGAGTTACTGTACTCGCATCTCTAACTACAGCCAATAAGATATGTGTTAGAGCTAGAACAATGCGAACACATTCATAAAATTTAATGCTGCAATCTCAAGAATAATTCTAATCTAAATGCAAATTAAGACTGAAAAAGTAAAGTTTAAAAAAATTGAAATTGGATTAGTTTGGTGCCAAAATAAATGTAATTGTTGCATGTGTTTTGTTTGTAAGTATTTTTCAATTCTGGCATAAGAAAGTTTTAAAATGTGTGTCAAGTCTAAATGTAGTCTGCATCAATTTGTATTTTGCTCCGTTACCAGCGTTTAGCCGTTTAGGAGTGAATAACAGAGTGCATAAATAATTTAGTTTGTGGCTTAGCTTAGTTAAAACTGAAGAATTGTAATTTGTTATTTAATTCAAAAAAAAAAAAAAATATTACAACAAGAAATAGATATTGTTGAAAAATTGATTTGTCGGAACAATCAATTTTTACTCACCATTAAAATTGTCCAAAAGTCCTAAAACTCCCCCTGTCAGCCCATCATTCAAATTATTATTAATATTCCCATTGCCATTTTCTGCGGGCTTGGCAGGTTGTAAACTTAAACTACCAAAATCTGTGAGATCTCCCAATAGATCATTTTCACTCTTTTTGGGCGGACTTGACTGAAGTTGATTAGAAAATATAGCAGGTTGGGTCGCAGAGATAAATGGCAACTGACTTGTAGCTGTAGGTGCTTGTGCAAATTCTCCCATCAAATTTCCACTGGATGGCATTGGTGGGCCTTCAAGGAGATTTGGAGAGGCCACCAGTAAATTAGTTTGATTAGGAATTGGAGCAATAATGTTTGGTAAAACAGTGGACGTGCTTGAGGAAATGAGCAAATTTGATTGAGGAAGTCTAAGAACAAATTTAAAATTAAATATTTTACTAAAAAATAAATGAAAAAAACATCTTACTTCGTTCCTGAAAATGCTGAACTGAAATCGGCAAAGTCATCAGCAACTTTGCTACTTGGCTCTGCTGGACTATTAAATGCTGCTTCAAAACTTCCAAACTCGTTACGAATGCTTTCCGATTTTTCACCAGCCCTAGGATTAAAATCATCAAATAGATCAGCGGAACTTCCACGGCTAGGAGGTCTCGGAAGAGGACTTTGTGTTGAATCTCTGCCAAAATTAGCTGCGGCTCCTAAATCAACCTAAGAAACGGATTTGATAAAACAATTTTGACACTAAGCGAGTTTATTTTCCTCACCTTTATTAATGGCTTCTGAATTTTCTTTGGTGAAGCAGTGATATTAGCATTGAAGTTCAAATTAACTTTTTTATCAGGATATGTAGTTGCGGGGACTGGGGGACTTCCTGGCCTTCCTTCATCTTTATATCTATTGGCACTATTACTTCTTCCTAAAAAAAATATCAATAATAAGTGCATCAAAATAAAACATGATAAATTGATAACTTAAAGTAAATTTTATTTTACCTCTTGGAGGACTATCATCATCACTATCAACGTTTTCTACGTCTTCCTCAATAGATTTATCACGATACTTGTTGTTGGAATTGTCGTCCCAGCTATTGTCAGCAAAATCGTTTTTACTGTATTGTCTATCATCCCATCTTTCTGAAGTGGAACCTAGAAAAAAGATTTGTCACTTAGATCAAGACGTAGACAAGCCAAAAATTGAATAAATATAATTTTTTTTAGTAAAAAAAAGTAGGATCCTAATTCCTAATAGCAGAGTCTAATCTGGATTTGAAGTTCTTTAATCTAAATAACCAAAAGTTTAGTTTGGGTGCTGTTTTGTATGAAAATGGAGAAAACTAAGAACAGTATGTGATATAAATAACCTTTTGCTTTTCTCATCTAACTCCATATGGAGCTCATTTTCTACCACAAAATACATTTATTATAGGTACAACAACCTACTCGAAAATAAACTGTTTATAATTTATTTCAACTTTTTCAATTAATGTCTAAATTTTGAGGTAAATTTATAGCACTATGTGTATTATTGCAGTCATTCCTAAGGGAAAATGTAGTTGAATTTGAATGGCAAACCATAATTGCATGTAACCAAACATTAACAAAATAAATTTGGAATGGTTCCGGGATAGCGCAGAACTACTTGCGCACAAAAAAAAATGGAGGACTGTTCTAATACTAATTCTTACGCGATTTGGAACCAAAAAAGCCGCAAATCACAAAATTCCAAAACAATTGCAAGCAAGAACTGAGAGACCCGTTCTAGAACTAACAATCCCAAAATTATTCGTTTATTAGTTCTTAATAAACCAGAACGCAGTCAACACAGTGCAATTACGATTATGAAAAAAACGAAAACCTTTTTTATAACATCCGCATGTGCAGACAGAATGATTCCGAACTACTTTCTTTCTAATACATATTAGGTATGTGTCGGACCACTTTGAAGAGGTACAGGTATTACAGGATAAAATTTAGTTTAACCATGATCGGCTAGCTCACACTAAAGATGTACAGTACATAGAGAGTTAGGAGTAGGTCAATAAAAGAAATTCACAGGTCACTCACTGGTAATGTGCAATTATTGCACCCACAGGACATTTCCAGAATTTTGATGTTGCTCTGATAAGTATTCTTCGGGTCTTGATGAAGTTCCTGTCTATGTGTTAAAATTTGTAGCTCTTTGTTTGTCTGAGCCTTTGTCTGATGTTAATGAGTGTCTTTCTACTCAAGTATTTCCTGATGTTCTTAAAAGGGCTAAAGTGGTTCCAGTGTTAAAAAAAAAGAAATAGTCAGGACATTGGAAAGTATTCGAGAGGGTTATTTATTCAAGAGTGATGAATCATCTGGTTAGACATAGCATATTGAGCAAGCAACAATTTGGATTTATTCCTAAAATGTCCACTGATATGGCAATTTTTCATGCAATAAAATATATAACTGCTCAACTAGATAAAAACTCCAAGGCTGCAGGCCTCTACTTTGATTTGTCTAAGGCATTCGATACAGTTGACCATTCACTGATACTGTCTATACTGAACCATTATGGTGTTAGAGGTGCTGCAGCGGATCTGCTGAAGTCCTATTTGTTGGGTAGGAGGCAGGCTGTTTGTGTTGTCAGGGATGGTGTTCAGTCTCTCTCTGAAATGGCCAGTTTAAGGCAGGGTGTCCCGCAGGGTTCCATCCTAGGTCCCATGTTGTTCTTGTTGTATGTCAATAAATCAACTGAGGGGTTTCCGTCTGAGGTCATCTGTCAGTTCGCCGATGACACCTCTGTTGTGGTAGCTCGAACTAATAGCGGTGACCTCTCCCAGAGCTGTTCGGATGCCGCAATGAGGATGAAAATGTGGTGTATTGGGAAGAACCTGAGTTTGAACAACAACAAAACAGGTTTATTAGTTTTTTCTAAGACTTAAAATAACTTGGAGTCTCTTCTTGTTCGAATGGATGGAAGGACTGTACCTCTTACTGATCACATACAGTTTCTGGGACTCCATATTGACCCTAATCTGAATTGGCGAGTTCATATTGATTCACTTCAGTTGAGGTTGAGTAGGTTGTGTGGTCTCCTGAGACTGGTCATTTCACCCAAGTATGTTGGGCTATTCTACTTTGGTCAAATCCAATCGATTAGTAGTTATGGAATATGCTTTTGGGGCGCATCAAATAGGGCACCTCTCGTTTTCACACTTCAGAAGCGGATCCTGAAATGTATCCTGGACCTACATCCTAGAGCCTCTTGTAGACCATTTTTTACTGAATTGGGGGTGTTGACTGTTTCATCACTATACTTTTTATCCTTGGTGATGTCCGTGAAGCGGAATATTCACATGTTTCCTTCCAATCAGGCATATTATGCAGTTGATATGCTTATGACGACCAGAAACAGGGGTGACTCAAGTATTCCTCTTCATTGCTCAAAATTCTTTGAGAGGAGCCCTTACTTTATGGGCATTAAGGCTTATAGAATGTTGCCAGACAACATAAAAGCAATTGATAATGTGGATAGATTCAAGCAATCAGTCCACCAGTGGTTGCCCCTCAGATGTTTTTATTGTTTCAAATTTACATTTTAGTACTGTTTTTTATATTGTGTATCAAAAATCCTATATACTTATGCATTTTATTTTATTTTAGCACTGTGTGCCAACTAATTGTTGTGTATTTTTAGTTAAACCCTAAAACATATTGATTGTATCGATAATAGCTGCTTGGATAAGCCTTTTGATGTTGCTCGTATTGTTTTTTTACAATTTTTGTTGACAATAAAGAATATTATTATTATTATTATGATTATTATTGTTATTATCATAAATTACTAGACCTAGAGCAATATAAAAGTATGCACACAAAAATCCAATGTAAGCATTCTATTTTGTAAGGATGTTTACCAATACACTACAAGGTCAGTGCAAAACATTTTTGTAAATAATGTAAGAAAAAACAAAGGTTGGTAAACCCATTATTCCAAGCCTCTAATTACAATAAACTAACTTCAGATGTGAAAAATGTTACCAACTTTAATTTTTTTTTGAAATAGTAGTCCAAGTCTGAAGACAATAGTCAAAGAACTGGAGTAACACACATTCTATCTCCACTCTTTATTTTACAAAATAATTTTGTTAAAAGGCATGATTTATAGCAATAATATGAAATTTGCCTATTTTATCAACTTTTGGTTTAAATTACTTATTTTCAAAACAATTGAGTTTGATAGAGTGACAGAAAACACCGGAAGCGTTTTCAGAAACGCTGATCCGATTAACCCGATCACCCGCTGTTTGTTTTTTATCTTTCTTTAATGACTTCCATGACCGCAATTGCAGAGTTGAACATAAAAATTACACACCTAAAATAATTTAAATTATGTTGGAAAACAATTAAATTGAAATCAAATTCACCATAAAAAGATAATTAAAATTTAAATATTTAAAAATACAGAAAAATTAAATTTTGGTAGGCAGCGTCACCTGACATGACCAGACTAAGGTGCAAGTTGTTTTGTTGAACTCGACGACTAGTAAACCGGGTTTGAAAAACCATCCTTCTAGAACGGTTCAAAACAATCGCACAGTTTATCTATCAACAAAATGACAACGGCTCGGCTATCACAAATTTAAATAACAAGCTGTACGAATGTTTTGAACTGTTCTAGAACCATCTGTTTTTTCAAACCCGAACAGACCCTTTAAAACTAGTGCAGTCCTGCTGTAACAGGTATAGATGGCGGCGCCCAGGACTGACACTATTGGGAGAAGGAGTCTTGAATCTAGAAAGTGCGGTTGGAATTGGAGTAGACTAAGATAGACTGGTCACCGATGGACCCATTGCTTAATAAAAGAAAGCGCCCCATATAACGATATGTAATCGCTATATGACTTCCGTAACATAACCTTACACTGTAATGTTTAATGTTTGCGTGTAAAAGTGTACGTGTAAAAATTGATTTTTACAAAACAGTTAGCTGGTCACTATGGTGAAAAAAATTGAATCGAAAGTTGCTATGTTATTTGTGTCTGTTATTTTTGTTTGTTTTTGGGGCTTTGCTGAGGTTTTTGGACACAAGAATTGCCAACACGATTATCCTAAACATCATGAGGTGTCACATACATATGTAGAGCCCCATCACGTGATACGTAAACGAAATGCAGATCAACCTCTAAGAATTTTTTTGTACTACGATCAAAGTGTCTACAACTTGGACGAGGAACGATTCATGCTTATCAATAATACTATTCTTCCGGAAGCTGTAAACTTTTGGGAAAAAGCCCTATTTGTGAGGAGGGCTGATAATGTTATACGATTGACAAGATGTAGAGCAGCAACCCAGTATTTTTGTATAGCATGTAGGGAACGCACCATGTGCGGCGAAGTAGAAGTGCCCCAAGACCATTTGGACGCTTGTAGAGTGTGCGACGCTAGTGGACAATACTGTGGAGTGTTTCCAGGAATGCCAGCCGGCGACGGTATTCCAGATTTCGATTTTGTTTTTTACGTGTCCGCAATGCAAACGGAACGGTGCAATAAGTCTCTGACTGTTGCTTATGCCCGTCATTGCCAACAGGAATCTGGACTTGACAGGCCAATAGCTGGACATATCAACCTATGTCCCGACAGTATCAGTACCAATCGGCAAGAATTAGAAGTTCTACTGTCAACGGTCAAACACGAAATTTCACACGCTCTGGGTTTTTCTGTAAGTCTTTATGCCTTTTATCGAGAGAAAGATGGAACGCCTCGAACTGAACGCCGCCGGGACACTGGACAACCATATTTGAATGAAACATTACAAGCTTACCAGTGGAGCGAAAATGTGATAAAATCGTATTGGCGAACTTGGGTCGTCAAAGATGGATACGCCAAGCGACAAGTCCATATGATGATCACTCCTAATGTAGTTCGTGAAGCTAGGCATCATTTCAATTGTACTGAACTAGAAGGCGCTGAGCTAGAGGATCAAGGTGGAGAGGAAACAGCCCTTACTCATTGGGAAAAAAGAGTTTTTGAGAATGAAGCTATGACAGGTTCGCACACTCAAAACCCAATAATATCTAGAATCACACTAGCTCTAATGGAAGATACTGGATGGTATATTGCCAATTACTCTATGGCAGGAGAAATGTCGTGGGGTAAGAATTTGGGTTGCCATTTTGTGATGAAAAGTTGCAAAGACTGGATGGATATGAGATCATCAAAAGGATTTTCGATTCACCCATTTTGCAATAAAGTCAAACGGAATCCGCTTCAAACCGAATGTACAGATGACAGGACCTCAGTGGCACTCTGTAATCTTGTCCAATATGAACAACAACTACCAAGAATATATCAGAATTTCGATTCTCTCCAAAACGTAGGGCATGAAAGTTATTATGGTGGTTCGGTATCCTTGGCCGATTATTGTCCCTACATTCAAGAATTCACTTGGAGATCGAACAATGTCGTTGACAGAGGATGTCATTGTCAGTACACGAAAAACAATCCAAAGCCCGATAAAAACTTTGCTTTGGAGAAATACGGAGAAAATTCTCTATGTTTTGAACACACGAATCATGTGTGGGAGGAAAAATCTTGTGGTCCATTACGTCAATGGATGCATTGGGGATCCGGGTGTTATGGTTATCGTTGTCAGAATGGGAGATTGAATATTTTGGTGGGGAATTATTCCTATGAATGTTACCATAAAAACCAAGAACTATCAATAAGAATTACTAGCAACGGGTTTCTGCATGAAGGCGGAATTGTGTGTCCATCTTGTGAAGAAATATGCTCTAAAGAATTCGAAAGTCGAGGGGAACATTGTGAAACAGACGAGGAAGCTCCTCTTTCGAATTTCTATCCACGTGATGATGACATTCAATGTGATTCCAATGTTGCCAAAGCTTTTCTACCATTACTCGTCCTACTAGTAGCAATTTCCAAACTAGTTTAAGTGTTAAACTGTGTGATGGGAAATTATGATAATTTACTAATTTAAATTTATAGAATAATGATCTATTGTTTTTAATTTTGTAGCTAAATAAACGAAGTTTTTATTATTATTATGATTATTGAAATTGAAATTTTCTTACAGTATTGTGGTTTAATGTTGCTGTGACGGGCTATGCCAAGTCACTGCAAATACTATTATTATCAAATTGAATTGAAGAATGATCTGAAAATATGGCATGTTTTTAAGATGACTGCTTTCTGAAAGTTTTTGTGTATATTAGTGTTGAGTCCTAGCTGTTTTAGGTGTGATTTGAATGTTTTGGGTGTGAGGCCTGTTACTGACATAATCAGGGGGATAATAGTAACTTTTTCCTGCTTCCAGAGTCTCTTCATTTCGATTGCTAGATCTGTGTATTTACAGATTTTTTAATTGTACTTTGTCTGGATGTTTTTATCACTGGGAATAGCTATGTCAATTAGGTATGTGATTTTTTCTCTTTTTAACTGAAAGGTGATATCTGGTCTATTGGCGGATATTGTTTTATCTGTCTGAATATTGATATCCCAGTATAGTTTGAAATCCTTGCTTTCGAGTATAGATGATGGTGTGTATTTGTAGTATGGCTCTGTGTTTTCTATTAGTTTAAATGCTATGGCCAGTACTTGGTGGATTACTTTTGCTGCTGCGTTATGTCTTGCTGTGTATTCTGAGCCAGCTAGGGACTTGCAACCACTTGTAATATGCTAAATTGTTTCCTTTTGGAGGTGGCATTTCCTGCATGTATCAGCTGCTGTAGCTGGGTCTTTGATAAAATATTTCTGATAATTTCTGGTTGCTATGACCTTATCTTGGATCGCGAGCAGGAATCCTTCCGTTTCGGGAAAGAGCTGACCATCCTCTAACCAGGTGTATGATGATTTTTGATCAATATAATCTTGTTTCATGTGATATCTGTACTTCCCATGCAAAATCTTTTCTGACCAAGTGTTCATTTTCCCCTGTTGCAATTACGTGTTGTTGTATATATCTATTGAATGTGTTGTTTGGGATAAGTTGATGGGTATATAGTTTTTATCTACTATGCTTATCGCTGTGTGGAGCCCAGTCTGTCTAGCATGGAATAATTTCCTAAGTGTTTGTATTTGCCTTGCGTGTAGTGATGTTACGTCTACAATTCCTCTTCCTCCTTCATTCCTTTTGATTGTTAGCCTTTCCTTGCATGAAGTGGGGTGTGACTTTCTGTGTTTGGTAAGTTCAGAGCGCATGAGGATGTTAATGTTTTTCAGGTCAGTTTCGGGCCATTTGATGATACCAAATGAGTATGTAAGCGTAGGAATGGCGTATGTGTTTATGGCTTTAGTGAGATTTCTCGAATTTAATTTACTTTTTAATAGCCTCATGAGTCTATTTTTGAATTAATTTTGAGTTCTATTTTGATGTGAGTGTGATTGAGTTTGGTACTTTGATGGAATCCTAGGTATTTATATGTTTCATTCCTGAGCATGTTGTCTAGTGACGGTTTGGACATCATGATGTTTTTTCCACTGGCCTTTGTTTATGTGGAGTACTCTACATTTACTTATCCCAAACTCCATACATACGTCTGAGGTTAATGTTTCTGTAATTTTGAGGAGGCTTTTCAACTGTGTTTCCGTGGCCGCGTAGAGTTTGATGTCATCTATATACAGTAAGTGGTTTATTTGGTGTTGGTTTTCTTTCTTATGTCTGAGTTGAAAACCGTGCTTCGTATTGTTAAGTCTATTAGAGAGTGGATTAAGACAGAGGCAGAACCATAGACCGCTAAGTGAATTACCTTGGAAAATACCACATCTGACATGGAGTTCTTCAGTTTGGATGTATTCGGTTTCTGTATTAAGTCGGATTTTGGTTTTCCAGGATTTCATGATTTGTGCAAGAAACTCTCTGAGATTCTTGTTGATTTTGTAGATTTCAACTTTCATCAGCCAGCTATGGGGTAGGGAGTCAAAGGCCTTTTTATAATCTATGTACCCGATGTGGAAATTTCTATTATCTTTTCTAGTTTGTCCCATGATGACACTATCTATGATCAGCTGCTCCTTACAGCCCTGGTTGTTTTTCCTACATCCCTTCTGTTGGTATGTTGTTAATTGTGAGGTGATGTTCGATTTTCTTGCAGGCTGTAGCTGTGATGATCTTGTATAGCGTTGGAAGACAGGTGATAGGTCTATAGTTTGAGGGGGTTTCAGTGTCCAAGTTTTTGGGTCTGATGTATGTTATGCCTTGGGTTAGAAATCTGGGAAACCTCTGTGGTTCTTGAATGATTTTGTTAAATTGGTGTGTGATAGCTTCATGTGTAGCTGTAAACCGTTCATACCAGAAGTTTTGAATGTTGTCTATGCCAGGGCATTTCCAGTTGTGTGTGTATTTGTTTGTATTTGGGATTTCTTCTGTTGTAAGTATGAAATCTGGTTGTTCTGGTATATGTTTGTGTCTTTCTTCTTCGGTTTTAATCCAGGTGTTGTTGTTGTTGTTGTTGTGCTGTTTTGATTTTGTCCACATACACTGCCAGTAATTGGTTAGTTCTTGTTTGTCTGGTGGTTCTATTATTCTTGCTTCTTGGCTGGACATGGTTCTTTGGTAGAATTGCTTCTCATTTTTTAGGAAGAGGTTGTTAGTGTCTTTCCTTTCGTTTGACTCTTTGTATCTCCGGAGTCTTGGCACATATACAGATAATTTTTGCTTATGCGTATCAAGGATTTCTGGCATTGTTTGGGAGGGGTATTTTGACTTTATTTTCATTACTCTCTGTGTAACATGTTTTGAGGTATTCCTGTCTGTGAATTGGGTGAGTCGCCCTAGATCTTGCCTGATTTTACTGATTCTATTTTCCAGTCCTATTTGCCATTCAAAAATAGGTTTTGTTTTGTTGGGATTTAGTTGTTGTTGTGGCAATCTTTGATTATTCTGTGCGATTGAGGTGATAGCTGCTGAGTAGATTATTGTATGGTATGGATATCTTCAATTGTATTTGCGTTTGTTATGTACTGTGGGATTACATCTTTGTTGATTGTATCAAGAATTTGCTGTGTGTTCTGCTTGAAGACTATCCGAGGAATTGGTTTTCTCATTGTAGGGTCAGAGCCTGACCATTGACTTAGGCGTATCTCCATTTCTGTTTTAAGTTTTTGTAGAAGAGGTGATTCGGGAATATGTTGTGTGGGAGTGGTTAGGCTTGTAAATTGGTTGACTGGAGACTCTGTGCTGTTTTGTTGCTGGGTTTTTCCTTCTTGTGTAGGGGGGTTGAGAGTCTCTGAGTTCAGGTTCTCATTGGAAAGTGGTTGAATTGGTGCTTCATCTTTCTGTTGACATTGTTCAATATGCTCGATGTGTTCAGGATATACGTTAATTAATCCTATGTGATACTGGTCTGTGTTCAGTACGGTGACTACTGAATCCTTGATATTTTGTAGTTCAGTTGACATGAGGCGATTATTAATGGTGATGGTTCTTTTTTGGTCTATTACTCTCTGTTCCGTGACAAGTTGTTGAAGATATGGAAATTCAGCTAGAAAAAGTCTGTGTAGTTCATGCCTATAGCCCGATTTTATTGTTTCGAGTAGTTTTGAAGCAGTGTAGTAACAACGCATTACTGTTTTATTCATTTCATTTGTCCATTGTAAGCGCTGTTTTTGTTTGCCGGCCTTGGTGGTTGCAGGTAGTTCCTGCAAAACATCCTTAGTCGGGTTTGGATTCCCACATGATATTGGAGTGAGGAACTCAAAGTGTCCCGATGCTGTGTTGCCTGTCAGAAGTAAGTATATGTTCTTATCATGCTTTATTTTACTTATTGTTGTTGGTTCGCTTTTGACTGTAATTATTCTGGTTCTGGTTCTGGTCTGGTGTTTATATGGAAGTTGATGCTTAGAGTTTCCGAGAGAGCAAGTATTTCAAGGCTAGTGCCATAGACACTTGTTTTCTTCATGTTCTCATAGTAAATTTCGATATCTCTCATCCTATCATTTTCAATCAGAGCATGGTCTTGGAGAACGGACCAGTTTTCTTTTATATATCCCAGTGCGATTTTTTTTAGCTGTTCGTGACATTTTTGGTGACCGTATAAGTACATGCTCACAGCTCTAAATAGGCAGCTTCCATCTCCAACAATATCAGATAGAGTGTAGGTCTTAGGATTATCCAGAGATGTAGCAGGGTTGTTGTCTTTTTGACCAGGCTGTAGATTTCCGCGCCATACCCGATCGTACAGACGCTCGTCCGAGGCTTTAATTTTTATGCTTCTCACCATTATGAATGGGTGTGCATTTTATAGCTACTGCCAGCCTACAGGGTAAAAGGTCCATCTCAGCAGACCCCTGCCGTACCACTACTAGTTTCATGGTAGAGTGCTGAGGTAAGGGGTTTTGTACTTCCTGGCCCACTGTGAAGTGCTTGGGTTTGTGGGGTCGCAACACCCAGGTATACTTAGGTATACCCTGCGACCTTGTGGTTCCGTTTCGCAGTGAGGCGCCACTAGCTCCGCCCTCATCTGCTAGCGTCTGTGCTGTCCCACTCCTGGACGCAGTCGCACTGTCCGGGGCATCCGAGTCTGCATTTCTTGTGTAACGAGCACCTCTTTCACACCAGAAGGGGTGCTGGCCCTTCCGGTGGTTTGCTGAGTACGGGACTCACCTCGTTACCCATATCGAAGTGAATACTGCTGGCTGCAGTACTGCTTTCGGCCAGACATTACATTACATCAAATTATTATTATTATTATTATTATTATATCCCCCCCTTCATTGCCTTGTTGTGTCTTAATTGATACAAAAAAGAGCCCGTACACAAGAATTTATCTATGTTGATGTTGCCAGAAGTGTCATAAATGTTTGAAAAAGCTGATAAGAAAATTATCCTTTATAGTGTAAAAAGACTGATTTCTTTTTTTTTTCAAATAATTTATGACCTTGTGCTCCTGGAATAATACTCTATTAATGTACATTATTATTTAAAATATTGTGCCATTCTAGTCTAGGACAGCTTTGTATATTTTTCTAAAAAAGAAATTGAATATCCTAGACAAAGTATTTATAACAATTATTATTATTGATCTAAAACACATTCCTGTTTTGTAAAATAATTAAGTATATTTAGGTATTTGTATATTTTTTTTTCGTCTTAAGTTTAGAATATCTGATTGTTGTACAGAAATGTTTCAAGTAATTGCTGTTTAGTTGAGTAATTTTCAATATGAGGGCTTAAATCTTTGAAAATAGGCAAAAATTGTGCAAGATTTTTAACAACAAAACTGTAATAGGTATTATCTTTTGAATTTTTGTTGAAGTGTTTTGTGGGTAGCACAAGGCTTTGTTAATTTCAAGGATTTCAAATAAGTTCATAATAGGTCCCTTGTCACAGTTAGGTATGTAACATTAGAAAATCTCTTTTAGGGTCAAAGGTGTGTTTTCCTTTAAGAATGTGATCAGAAAAGCTGGATCTACTTTGGATAATATTTATAGGAACTGAAGAATATCTTTCAATTTCTCTTATACACACAACAAAAAAAGTTACCACCCTGTAATCAGCCATATGAATAGTGTATCAAAAGTGTCCACAATTCCGTCTGTGTGGTTTGTCAGATTAAAGCTAAGAATTTAAATGTTTAAATACTTAAATATTTTCCTTTTTCAATCTTCACCTCTGGTAAGTTTGCCACATTTGTTGAATTCAAACTCACAAGCTTCGTTTCTTTCAGTTTTGTAATTTTTATGTTGGATATGGTCATGAACATTTTTTATATACCCATTGTGACTTTTATGTAACCTCTTGGTTGTTAGATACATCCTTGCTAATCCTCCCTAACTCCCATAATTTTTGTCTCATAGAACTTATGCTGATTTTTTTATTTTTTTTTACGGATATGCGCACTCGCAAGGAAATGTCCTATCACGCTCGAGAAGCGGATGATGGATCTATGATCGATCCGAAACATGTATTTTTTTTTTTTCTCTTGTTAAGTTGTTTTTAACCATTACCTATAATTACCTCATCGGTGTTTGTAATGTGAACGATAAATAAATAAATAAATAAATAAATGTTCAACCCCCCCTTCTAACTGATATATTTCATAAAATAAAGAGTGACGATAGACCGTGTGTTTCACTCCAATTCTATAAAAAATTGTTCACAAACCCACTCGAAAACACATTAGAATAGGTTAGTTAGTGGAAAGTAGATTTGATTTATTATAAGAAACTATTGCATATTGTTAATTTTTGAGAAAAAAAAACACTTGTATGTAGTATTTATTTATATCTTCAATACCAGTACTTCAAGCACTGCTTAATGCTTGGAAGATCCTCATGTAAATATCTATCTGTAGGCATGTTTATGTTTATATATATTGTTTTCAAAAAAAAAATAGCCATTTGTACCTCTTGTTGTACCTACTATGAAAAATATACAGGGTGGGGACTTTAACTGGAACTAATTCGCTAGAGCCTTCGAATAAAATATGTGGACAAAATGCAAAAACACATCGATCAAGATTTTTTGCTTGAGTTTTTTTCACATTAATTTTTTTATACAGGGTGTTCCACAGCTGTACGGTTGTCAACTTTATTTTTCCAAATGGTAGCCCCTGTATATTATGACATTTCTGGATTCTGCAGAAAATTCTAGACATATTTAATTCACAATGTCATATACCTACCTTCAACTCTTTCGGAAATATTGACAGTTGAAAATGGACTTTTTTGCAACTTTGACAGGCTGTAAAACCTTAACGGTTAATTTTAGAGGAAAACCGATTTCACATTCCTATCTTAGATTTTCATAAGCTATCATTTGACACCAATTTTGAATTTAATCCATGATTGAAAATTCCAGTTAAATTCAATCTCCAGTTAAATTCAAAGTTAGTGTCAAATGATAGATTATGAAAATCTAAGACAGGAATGTAAAACTGGTTTTTCTCTAAAATTAACCGTTTAGGTTTTACAGCCTGTCAAAGTTGCAAAAAAGTCAATTTTCAACTGTCTATATTTCCGAAACAGTTGAAGATAGGTATATAACATTGTACATGAAATATGTCTAGAATTTTTAGCAGAATCCAGAAATGTCATAATATACAGGGGCTGCCATTTGGAAAAATAAAGTTGATAACCGTACAGCTGTTCTTGGAACACCCTGTATAAAAAAATTAATATGGAAAAATTTCAAAAAAAAAATCTTGATCGACGTGTTTTTGCGTTTTGTCCACATATTTTATCCGAAGGCTCTAGCGAATTAGTTCCAGTTAAAGTCCCCACCCTGTATATGTATAAATGTACAAGATGCTCACCAAATTTCATTCCAGCCATGTCAGAGCTCATTCCGACATATTTATCTTTATTCTTTTTAGCCTTTTTCCTCTCCTCCCGTAATCTATCATCATCTTGTATAAAGTCTATTAGCTCCTTTACTTTATGCCTAATGTTTACACCTTGATCTTTTCCATTCTCATCTATGGCTGTAAAGTTTTCTAATGACCTTAAATCATATATATGTTCTCTAGATGATGTGACAACACGCTCAGAGCCATTTTTAATGAGATAGTTCAAAACCAGGAGAGCCTGGAAAAGAATTGATGTTTGTAAAAATAGTGAATAAAACTCTATTGATCACAAATAATCTACCTTATAAGTTCGCCTCCAATGTTGTTTACTGTCCTGTAACATCCGTTTCCAAAGCATAGACATAACTTCCGGAAAATGTTCATAAGTGAATGTGGCATGTGCAAGTTCTTGCATCAAAGCCCCAGTAGGACCCCAAGCTTCATCGTTAGTAGCTTCCCTTACTTTGGCCTCGATTTCCGTATAGTTCATAACAACATTCGTTCTAGGACACAGAGGATAATTTGCAAAAACATCTGTTGAAAAACCAGTCACTTCTACTTACACCTTGTCTGCTATTTCTCGTACTTTCCACATGCTGAATAAACTCTCCATTTTTCTGAATTAAATGTTCTTCAATACGTCGTAATTAACTTTATTAGCCAGCACCCACCCTAGCAATGAACTATTAGCAGGTTTTTTTTTCTTCTAGAAAGTAAAAAATAGTTGATTTGGCTAATCAGCCATATTTATTTGTCTACAAGGTTCGACGCAAGGGTTCGACGTCATTAACGATGTGTCAATGTCAAATGTCATAAGCCGTTTTCCAGCTGTGCGCTTCAAGCACAGTGTTCTGTGTTTGAAACGCAAAAGTTAGAAGCTCTCGAAGCGCAGTCAGGGATGTGCGTCTACACGTAGACTTTAATTGTCTACTTTACGTGTAGACAATGGTAGACAATGTAGACAACGTGTCAACAATGTGAAATAATATAAATGACGTCTAATTCTAACCTCACACTTTCCTTTCCGAAAATTATTTTTATTTTATTATCGATTTTCCTCATATTTATAATCAGTGAATGCTGATATCAAAGTGATAGGTATTAGCTACTTGGGTAGTAGTAGTTTTGGATCTTTTTTTGAATTTTCTAAAATGGGTTTATTGTTTACGCCACATGTAGACAATAGTTCTTTTCACGTGGCTCCGGTTTAACTAACCGGGTTACAAAACGGTTAGAGAAATGACATACCATTTTCTAACCCGGTTACACAGTGACGTGGTGGATACCTACCACTCGAATTTGGGCGGTATGTTGCGGTTAGTTAAACCGGAGCCACGTGAAAAGGGTTAATGTGTAGACAAATGCCACAGCCCCCTACATTTAACTATAGAAGGCTGTGCAAATGCCCACGTAAACAATTCGAATTGTCTACGCGTAGACAATCAATTGTTTACGTTGATTGTCTACAGGCACATCACTGAGCGCAGTACGGCTGGAACACGAACACGCGCTTGAAAAATTTGCGCGTGCAAAAGCTCGATTGCGTGCTCAAAAGCGTCAGCTGGAAAGCGGCTATTATACATAGGGATGGTGCAATAGTTGTATTCCTTTCACACCTAGCAGAAGCTCCGGAACAGCTCCGGGGCTTCATGCGCTTATTCCTTTCGAAAAGTGTTTGTTGCACCACGCATCTGTTCCCTGCAAATCGGGGGTGACTAAACACCGAAGCGAGTAGCTCAAGTGTTTCAAACTCTTGAAAGGAATACAGCTAATAAAAAGCGGCTTAGGGCGGGTATTATAAAACTACTTTGAGAGTTGACTTAAGGTTAACTTCTGGAATTACATGTAATTCAAAAAGTTAACTTTAAGTTATTTGTCAGAGCAGTTTTATAATACCCACCCTTAAGTGGACCGATCAGTCATCTTGACAGATGAACCATTAATTAAGCGTCATTTGTCAATGCCAATTTTGCGCATAAAGACACACAGCAACTATTAGAACTGTCATTTTCGCGGACAAGACATGACGCCAGCAACTTGAAGATTTTGTGAGCGCCCTCCAAAGCAAGCCACAAAAATCTTGAGCGAAAGAGTGGGAATTGACAGTACATTGAAAATGGAAAAATGGATCATAACCTGTGGAAACAGCCTACGTCAAGGCAAGAGCCAACATGCTGCACGTCACAGCTGGTGATTTGGCGTCGTGACGGGCTTCAGATTTGTTTTACACAGGCCTTATGAGGATAGGCTAGGCTATCCTGTAGTTGTACTATCCTTGGGTGCAATGGAGGAATTTTTTCGATCTGAACAAACTGATCGGAGTCACTTGAGGTTTGTACGAAACAATTGGCTACGTTCACCAGAACCAAAACGGGTTGTAAACAGTTTACAAATACCAACAGAATACGTTGGGTAAACTCTTGGTTCTGCTGAACGATTCAACTTTTCAATGATAGAATGTCACCCTCTGAATGTAATAGCCGCTTTCCAGCTGTGTGCTTCAAGCACGGTGTAGCACAGTGTTGAGTGTTTGAAACGCAAAAGTTAGCAGCTCTCGAAGCGCAGTACGGCTGGAACACGAACTCGAACACGCGCTTGAAGCATTTGCGCGTGCAAAAGCTCGATTGCGTACTCAAAAGCGTCAGCTGGAAAGCGGCTAATGTCACCCTCTGAATGTCATGTCACCACACAAGTGTTGAAATTTATAAACACTCTTAAATTATGCTTGCAAAAATGGCAACCATTTGCAAAACATGTTTGCTTTCAACATAAATTTAACGTAGCGTTCAGCAGAACAATTGGCAAAGCGTTTACCAACGTCTGTATCTGGTGAACACGGCCATATCTTGGGGTTTTATAGAAGCTCTGTTCAAACCGACATGAGAACCGTTCTAGAACGGTAATTTCCAGTTGTCCACCTATTTTGCAAGTCGAACGTTTATCCTGATTGACGAATGAATTGATCTACTGGAAATCACCATTCTAGAATGGTTCTTATGTCGATTGGAACAGAGCTTATGATTTAATTGGCCCTAACTGGTTTTTTTTTGACGTCGCATAAACAAATCTAGTGATGATTGCAATCAGTTTGTGCAGTTCATTCTGAGAAATCGACCCTCATTGGTGCAAATAAACAAATATGCTGCTGCTACAGCTACAATGCTACATAAAAATGTACTCTGGGCGCGTCAGGTAGATCCTTCAGTTTACGGACTTCTAGGTACTCCGAAATCAATAATAATTTTCCTCTTTCCAAAACCTAATCCTTAACCACTTCCGGTATTACGAATAGAATAAACTAGTAAATAAACATCTGGACTGTTCGTCGTGACAAAAATTGTCCTCGGACCTCGACAAATTCGGCCAAATACTTTCACTACTGTGACGTCACAGATCTTTGCGGGATTGCTCCGATTATAATCCAAACCAGGGCACTCCATTTGAAATCAATAGCCGAACGTACTTTATTATTTTGGGAAAATTGCTTAAATTCGAACATGTGAATCCCGTCCAGAGCAATGCTCCGTTTTAGGCCGAACATGTGAATCCGTTTCGGATAGCTTTTTGATCAATCGGGTGCAATTTTGAGGCGAAAGTCACTGATAGGTTTGTTTCTGCAGAAATCACAAACCAGTCAGAGCGAATTTCATTGGTTGAAAACAGTCAGAAAACTAGTTTCAACCAATAAAATTCACTCTGTCTGGTTTGTGATTTCTGCAGAAACAGACCTAATAAATAAAAGTACTATGAGGACGAATAAATAAATGCGCAAGTGTAGCTCAATTCAGAACTGATTCTCTAAGTCCGAACAAACTTTATTCCATGAGCATGTCGAAAAATATGCCTCCGTTTAGTTTTACCTAAAACGCTTATAATTATTATATGCGTTGCTACATTTCTTTAGCTACCTGTTGGCGGATTGAGGGATATTTGGAAGGGTTCATTTGTATCTACTAGGGCACCCATTCGTTCTGTTACGAGCAGATCCAGGGCCGAGTTCAGAAATAACGCACAGGGTGCGACTGGTGCGAGTGCGATTTTATGGGTGTGCCTAAATTGACAATTGGCCATTGGGCCCATAGCACCGTCTAGCGTTTTTGAACAGCTACGGCGTCGCACCGGTGTCACACTCACACTGGGTGTGTCATTCCTGAACTCGCCCCTGCTGATACAAATAAAAAAACCTCTTTAGTTGTATTCCTTTCACACCTAGGAGAAGCTCCAGAACAGCTCCAGGACGATACGCGCTTATTCCTTTCGAAAAGTATTTGTTGCACCATGAGTACTCAAGCACGAACTACCTTTAAATGCACGAAAGCCAGCTCATCTGTTCCTTCAAATCGGAGCGACTAGCACGGGAGAGAGTAGCTCGTGTTTTAAACTCTTGAAAGGAATCAGGTAGGGTGCTTTTTTTATTCAGCGGTGGATCCATCGGTGACCAGTCTATTTTTGTCTAGTTCATGTAAAATCGGAATGGCTGTCTCATAATGCTGGCAGCAGATGGATCCATTGCTGGAATAAAAGAAATCGCCCCTAGTGATGTCACCAATGAACTATAACCAAAAACTGGAATGTGTACACATATTGACGAACGTGAAGCCTAGTGCCGCTGCTGCGGAGGGGAAACCTGTTTCTGTCGCACTCATTATGTTAAATGGCGGAAATTGCTTCCAACACGTATTCCAATTGATGAAACCTGTGAAGGAAAATATGACAAATCTTTCGAAAACGTCATATGTCAGCGAGCAACAGAAAAAAACAACATTCCCCCTTATGGCATCTGTCTTTCATGGCTACATTTTTTTGGCAGATATGGCAATGTGTGCGCATTCCAGTTTTTGGCTATAGTTCATTGGATGTCACTTTCCATTCGAACTTCACTTTGACGTTCAAAGGTCAATGTTTTCAGTTGTCATTGTGTTGTTGACATTTCGCATTTCGCCCACTCTTCTATTGTTTTACAAAAGAACTCTTATCTTTGAACAACATTTATATTTTTTATTTTTACATGACTGAATCAAAATGAGTGATTTATTTAAATCGGCGTTTGAATACTTTAGCGGGCCGACAAACAGCCAAAACGAAAACAGTTTTGTAGGACAAGTAGTAGAAATCTCCAATGTCAAGTTGAAAATCAAAAAAGTTATAGCAGAAGGTGAAAATCGTATTGATCCCCTTGTTATCTGGTTAAAATATTTATAATTTGTAGGCGGATTTGCTGTAGTTTTCGTTGCACAAGATGTGGCTACTGGAAAAGACTATGCTCTAAAGGTATTTGTGTCAGCTTATGCAAATAAAATATCAGTTTTTGATATCCTGCGTTTTCAGAGACTTTTAGCAGCTGACGAGGAAGCTAAAAAGAACATTACTCAAGAGATTAATATACTTAAAAAGATATCTGGACATCCTAATATAATACAATATTTTACCGCTTCGTTTATTGATAAATCACAAACTCAACATGGCCAGTCGGAATTTTTACTTATCACAGAATTGTGTCCTGGTGAGTGCATACCTATATTTTGTAGCTTTAAAAATTTGCCCCTAATTGTGTAAACTTATATTTTATACCCAAAATTTAGCATCTATGCCTAGATCTTTGCTGTCCTCAACAGTCTGCCTATTCTTGAAGAAACTGTAAATTCTGCTACTCTATTCATAATGAATAACATCATGATGGGCATTTCCAAAGCTATGTATTACAAACTGCATTGACAATCCTCGAAGTTAAAGTTCATTGTGTGCATCATAGTACTTTGATTAATGATAAAATATGCAGTTCTTAGTAATAAAACAATGGGCAAGATATTTTAGCTAAAATCTATAATGTGATGTGTCAGACACTTATTACTGGAAATTGAAAAAGTGCCCATATTTTATTTTTACATGTATCCTCAAGGTTGTCAGGCTGAGTATTTATAACTGGAAAATGTACAGATAGGAAATCCAATTGATTCACCATTTTAACTCATGGACTACTTTCCCAATCCAATTAATGGTCACTATATAATATAATTTTTGTATTATTGTTTAATTGCCATAAATTATTCACAAACTACAATTCAATTTTTTTTCTTACATTACAATATTCATTTGATAGGTGGCTCTTTGGTTGATGTTCTACAGTCAAGAACATCACCTTTCAACCCAGATCTAATCACTCTAATATTTTACCAAGCATGCAGAGCGGTAGCTCACATGCACTCGCAAACACCTCCAATACAACATAGAGACTTGAAGATAGAGAACTTTCTAATTAGCGCAGAAGGAACTATTAAATTGTGCGATTTTGGATCTGCAACCAGTGAAATTTTTCGGCCCGATTTGACATGGTCTGCTAATCAACATTCGAGTTTAGAAGACAGTGTAAGTTTTCAAAAATTGGTTTATAGGTTTTGCCTCAGCCCGTACTGACTTCATAGTAATAGTAATAGTTTATCAATATGTTCCAAAGGGTTCTTATTGAGGCTCTTAACTATTATAATATTACAATTAAAAATATAGCCATCTAAGAAACAAGTTTCTTGCATTAATAAATTACACATTTTCCACTATTTGAACCAAAGTTTGAAGAAAAGGATCAATTTTTAAGGATAGTAAAATTCAGAATATGTAATTCAGTCCTACTTAGATGCAAAATTTGGTCTTATTATGGGCCTTCAGAAACTTGTTTGAAAGTTTCTAGTGGACATTCAAAATCCTTGATTTATCATAATGAAATATTTAGCTATAATATTGAGTCGAATACAATATCCATTTTATTATGATTTAAGAACAATTGTTAATTAATTAAGATAAAATGGGTAATCTATTAAGGGAGCCTTGATAGCTTAAAGGTAATTAGTTGAACAAATAACTGCTAAATTATGTTTAATATTTAAATCAACAGAATGTGTGGATGAAATATTATTATGTTTTCTTAGTATCCAATTATCAAATTATCATTGTCAATTCATACATTAAATAATTATTGAGTGAACATTTTTTAGGGTCATTAAATTAAAAGTAAGTGGACTGCTGATAATAATTTTGTCTGCTTTTATTGATCGGTAAAATAATTTTCTTGGCTAAATATCTATAAGCGAAGGGAAATCAAGAACAGAGAAACTGCAAATTTCAATAAACCAAAACCTGTAAAAATGTCACAGGGACAAATTTTTGCAAATTCAATATTTGATTCAGCTTGTGTCAATAAATGATTATTTTTCACTCGAGAAGTTTCTGATTGGTGGTACGGAAAGTTCCATTATTTCACATTCACAATTTGCAAGAGCTAAAGGCAAATTGTGTCAAAATTTGACTCTCAAACTTTTGAAAAAACTAACTGCTCAAGTTCATTATGAGGCTTTTTGGGTCAAAAGTTGGGCTCAAAAGGGAAAATTGAGGGTCTTTCAATCAAACGTTTGAACAGAAATTTTTACTAAAAACAATAATGAATTTAACAATATACTTAATTATGTAGTTTGTTTATAATGTCTAAAGAGAAAAAATCAGTGAACAACACAAATTACAATAGATTTTATAATATCACAACTAACAAACAAATTCATTGAGCAAATAACATGTCAATAACTATATTCTTATAATTCTCAAAAATCATATCCAGTAAATACATGACACATTTAACAGGTTATTTTCAAGTAATTTGTCTCTTTTTCTGCTATGTCAAAAAACTTCACATTCAACCAAGTAATCCAATATCAGATAGTGAACTTATCAGATTCTTTCCTTTTCCTAGCTTGCCCAATTTACAACTCCAATGTACAGAGCCCCAGAAATGGTAGATACATGGAGCAATCACTTCATCGGTCCTCCAGTAGACATATGGGCCCTAGGATGTATTTTGTATACATTATGTTTCATGAAGCACCCTTACGATGATAGTGCAAAGCTTAGAATCATCAATGGAAATTATACAATACCTCCTGATCCGAAATTTTCATGTTTTCATGATATAATTCGTAACTAATGCCAATTGATGAGCTTACAATTGTTAAATTAGTATATTTTAGGAGGATGTTTTCAAACTAACCCAGAACATCGTCTTACAATAACAGGGATATTAGAAAGACTTGCTGCTATTGCCGAGACTCGTGGCTATAATCTTAAGGCCCCCTTGCCATTTAAAATTGATTTGATCCAAGAATATCAAGTAAGTGTGAATTTTCAATATATATTTCAACATTATTGATATATTTTTCTTATAGGGAAATGGAGATTGCTTAGCCAACAACACACCAACACATAAAGTTCCTCCTCCAAGACCTGAACAACCGAGTCCTGCCCATCATCCTAATGGTACTAAACCAGAAAGGCCATTACAACCAGTAAATTGAACTTTGAGCATTGCTTCTATAAAGAAGATTTCATATAATTTTTTTACAGACTCCTCCAAGGCCCGCTCCACCACCTCAAAGACCAGCTCCTCCTGAACACCGTCATCAACCACACCATGCACAAATACCTCCTCGTCCAACTGAACATCCAAAACAAGCTGGTTTGTTTTCTTCTTTAAAAGGTGGCGCCGGTAGTTTCCTAAAAAATCTCAAAGATACGAGTTCAAAAGTTATGGCTACTGTACAACAGTAAGTGGATGTTGTTTTTTTTTTGATAATTATTTATTAGTCTTTTTTGTTTCCAGAACTATGGGAAGAACAGACTTGGATATCCATTATGTATCCTCTAGGATTGTAGTGATGCCATATCCTTCCGAAGGACTCGAATCGGCTTATAAAACAAATCATATTGATGATGTAAGACTGTTTTTAGATTCTAGACATCCAAATTACAGGTAAAAGCAAATTGTTTTTATCGTTTTTGCAAGTTTTTAAATGTCTTTTTACATAGATATTCTGTTTACAATTTAACAAATAAACCATACCAAGCAAAATTTGGTCAGGCTAGGATAGTAGACTGTTCCTTTGCATATCCTGATCATTTCAAGGCCCCATTACTTAATTCTATGTATCAATTGTGTGAGGATATTTATCAATATTTAGCTGGTGAGTTGCTTTCATATTTTTATCTTTATAATCACAATTATTGTGCAAAACATTTCTTTTAGGTGATAGTAGGAATGTAGTTATAATACATTGTACAGATGGCAAGGCCACATCATCTACTTTAGTGTCGGCTTTAATGATTTATGCTGGTTTATATGAAGTGCCTGAAGATGCTTTGCAAATGTTTGCTGTGAAAAGATGCCCACCCAATATGAGAGCATCTGAATTGAGGTTGGTATTGATAAATTACAAAACTTTAAAAATAAATGCAGAATGTTACTCTTTTCCAGATATTTATATTATTTAACCGAAATCGTCAGAAATCCACCATTATTCCCACACTACAACCCAGTAACTTTGGTATCATTACAAATGACTCCTGTACCGCTCTTCACAAAAGTCCGGGACGGCTGTAGACCATACATAGAAGTCTACAGTGAAAATCGCTGTATTCTTAGCACTTTACAAGACTACGAACGAATGAGGCTTTTCAATATATCTGATGGCAAGTGTTTATTGCCAATAAATGCTACTGTTTGCGGAGACGTTTGTATTATTATATACCACGCAAGAAATATTTTAGGAGGTGTAATGACTCAAGGAAAAGCTACCGGAATTAAAATTTGCCAAATTCAACTGCATACTGGATATATACCGGAAGAAGAAACTTCCATACGTTATCCAAAATCTGAACTTGATGAATTGAGTGATGGTCAAGAACACTTTCAGCAAAGTTTTACCATAACTTTGAACGTTTTTGTTGGAGATACAGAAAGAAAACTAGCGCAGCCAGCTCCATGGCAAACAGATCAGACTGAAAGAGTCGCAGACACATTATTCACGTCACAAATAGAAAAAGACGAGACAATAGATAATTTTAGAAGTAAGCCAAGTAAAAAACCTGTACAGCGGCCTCCAAGACCTACAAGACCTTCAAGACCTGCACCTCCTAGTAGTCCTATTCCTACTGTAGTTATGGACCACACAGCAACCGTTTCTGAGGAAGAAAATGAACCTGAAATGAAACTTATAGAAGAAGTTGATCTACTTAATTTGAATAATGCCTCTTCGATGGCTCAGAATACTGTGAAGCCATCGCCAAGCTCAAATTTTGATCTCCTTAGTGGTCTAGGTCAGTGATAATATAGATTTTTTGCGATTAAAATATACAATTTTATTCTATAGGTAATACTGATGGAAGCACTGACACCTTCTCAGCTTTCACGTCTGCGCCACAGGCGAATAACAGCAGCGCCTCTAAATTGAGAAATCCTGGTATATTTGATCCATTTGGTGCTATCATAACTGGCGGAGGAGATAATGGCAACCTTTTAGATGGCTGGAGTAACTTTAGTAGTGCACCTTCTAAAGTTGATGATAAACCAGAACCTCAGCTACCCAGTGAACAAAAAAAAGATTTCTTTGCTGATTTTGGTAAGATTTTTTGGATTCATTTTTTTCACAGGTGTGAAGGATTCTCGTGATAAACTTGTAGATGATGAACAGTTAATTTCAGCTCACTTCTGATAACAGACACCATATCTAGACCAATTTAAAATATAAAGGCATTTACATTTGCTACCTCTTATCTATTCATAAAATAATCTTCAGGGATTTTAGGTGGTCTGAACTTGGGTTCTTCCCAATCAAAAATGGGACAACCATCTGTCACTCCTACAAGTGGTAGTAGAACGCCTAACGATGCCCCAACAACTCCCTACAATCAGTCAGCTACTAACACTCCACAGCACATGGCAAAGTCTCCTTCTGGTCCTGATTACAGCAGGTAGGTAAATCCTGATGTTTCTTGCATTTAGATGAAATTTATTTATCTAAAATATTTATTTAGGTCCCACTTTGAGCCAATGAACAAATCTAACACACCAAAAGAAGATCTCAAAGCTAAACCAAAAAGTGGGGATATCTTTGGAGATTTGCTGGGATCTCAAGGGTATGCTTTTACAGCCAAAAAGGATAATACTCCTAGATCAATAAATGAAATGCGTAAAGAAGAAATGGCGGTCTACATGGACCCTGAAAAATTAAAAGTTATGGAATGGGTAAGGCCTTATTACAGTTATGAGTTGGATTAGGAATTTTTTTTGTTTTTCATTTTAGCAAGAGGGAAAGAAAAATAATATTAGAGCCCTGTTGTGTTCACTGCATACGATTTTGTGGGAAGGTTCAAAGTGGAACAAGTGTGATATGCATCAGTTGGTTACTGCCTCTGATGTTAAGAAAGCATATAGGAAAGCTTGCTTGGCTGTGCACCCGGATAAGGTGAGAATTTTCAAAATATTTATATTATGCAGTATGGTGTCTTTCAAGTAATTGTACTTTTGCACAAAATGCAAATGCAAAATAATTAATAGTACCACACAATTAACTAGAAAAATTACAAGGATTGTGAAAAACCGCCACAAATTTTAAAATTGAATAAACTTACTTGGATCATCAACAAATAGGAATATTTTTAACATTTCTAAATACTTGAATTGTCTTACTGTTGCATTTATGTATTTAGGCATAATTTTCTTGTGTTAAAGCATGCAGCGACGGACAATGAAAACCTGGCAAAACTCATCTTCATGGAGTTGAACAATGCGTGGAGCGATTTTGAAAATGACGCTTCTCAGCAAAACATGTTCATCAGTTAAGGAGCTTTTAGAAGAATAATTATTTAATCACCTTCTAGGCCATTCCATTAATCTAATCCAAATTTTTGATGTTTTGAACGTTATTTGAAGCAGATATCTTATCAGGTTGTGATTTAGGATCTTCTTAGCTTTGTGATAAAAAAAAAAGTGAGTGTAATAATTGCAAGGTAATAAGGGCATTTTACCTCACATGACAGAGATGTGTCAGACCATCCTATGAGGTTCTAGCTTAAGTAACTGACCTTATTTTTATCTTTTAATAAATTGGTCTGCCTTTTATGTTTTTTTCCTGGTAACTGATTATTGAAATTTACTTCAGGCACTAATGTACCAGCAAGTTTTATGGTCAATTTCCATAAGATTTTGAGGGGATTCTACACCTCTCTGATAGAAACTAGCCCCTTTATAATAAAGTTTTGGACAAGAAGGATCTTTTTGCTTTGGAAGTAAAAATATCAGATAGGTTTCTATAGGATTTCTCTTGTGTTGGTTGAAGCAACTAAATCGTCATAGACTAGGGACAATTTTAGGCATAGTAACGTCATATTGAAATTTTATTAACTTTGACTAGGAGCCAGTTTCTATAGGAAAAGCCTGAGATTTTTCAGCTTTGATTTTTGTTTGCAATGAGCAATTCTTAAGGGTTACAGTACATAAAAAATTAATAATCGTTAATGTGATATAATAAATACATAACGAAAAAGGCATTATTGCTAGAGACAAAAAACAGAGGGTCTGGAACTTGCAACCTTGTAGGTTTGTTGTTTTTTTTTCAATCTGGAAAGTCTTAGGGAATATAACGCCCGCAAAATGATTCAAAGTAGTCAGGAAAAGAACTCGATGGCTGCCGCATTATTTGAAAGATTTAGAGTTAAGTTTGCTTCTAAAAATCACAACCTAAATAATAGCTCTAAGTGATAAAAGTTTATTAAAAAGCAATGTTTTTCATAAGAAAAAGTATATAGATAGTTTCTTCTAAAAGAAGTTTATGATATTATCCTGTTCTGTTGTGGCTTAGGACTACAACATCTTTGTTTTACAAATATCTGGGTTATTAGCCGAATTCATATATGTATTGGAAACTTAATAATCAAATATTTATTTTTAATGGAATATGGAGTTTTACAAATGCCAGTTATTTTTTATTTTTACCTATTATTTTCTTAAAATTATCGCTGTGATATAACTGTGACTTTTTCAATATGTTAGGTGATATTTGTTGGGAATTTTGTGGAAATCCTGGCTCTTTTTATTGTATCTAACGTATTGCCAAATCTAGTTGAATTTATATGCAAATTGCCAGAAAAACACTATGAATTGTTAGATGACGGTGTGAAAAGAATGAAGTCCAAACATATCCAGTATTTTATTTTCTCAGCTTTTAGCACAAAACAAACAAAATATTCCAACAAATTTTATGTTCTGCCAATAACACAGATAATCGTATTTTATATTCTGTGTTCGACAATATAGTATGTTTGTTTATACATTAATATTGTACAACTTTATTTATTTTTTATTTTAGCATTGTGTTCTTTATTTCATGTATGCTAGTTTCAGGATAGCAAATAATAAATTCATGTTATTTATTGTTTTTTCGTTTTCTTTATATTTAAATGTTCTCCCAGAGCTCTGTTGAGCTTTTGGGTTAATAGGTTTAGAGGCTTTGAAAGTTTGCGCAACCATAGGTGGTATAAAACTAAGTCCCTCTGTATACTTATAATATTAATACCATAGAGGGTTTGCAAGAAAGGGACAAAGTTAAACAAACTCCTCTGTTTCAAAATATCGCCGATTTTTTGAAAGAGAAATTTGTTTTACATACTTTGTCACTTGATTTTTTAACATTGGTGTATTGAAATATTTAGGTATCTACTTCTTGGAACCCTAAAATTTAATTACTTCAACTGTTACTTGGAAATATGGTTCTTTCGACCTCCAGACGCGTCTCAGATTACAGTCGTAAAAAGACCGACGCAAATTCTAGACGCTACATCAGCAGTCTGAACGTGTCATTTCAGGGCCACTTCACCGGGGTAACGCTCTCATAAAAACTTTAACACATTTTTAAACATAAAAGACCCTCTGTCTTTTTAGTTCAAGGCGTCATTAATAAGTTAGACATTAGTATGTCCATTATAATTTTAAAATAAATTCGTGTTTTTTTCTAAGGTCAATTCAATCCTATATTAATTCTCTACTATGAGATTTGTGTATAAATAGTTTGTTCTGATCTAGTTTTGTAATTTTGTACCTATCTCATTTGCAAATACTACCGCGTTTTTGCCGTTTTATTATATATACTTTAAAAAATAATTTACATTGCTCTGACCTTAGGACCTTTTTCACCTTACAGGTAGATACCTATACCTAGTTCCCTATCCTACATAACAATTCTTTATTACCTACCTGTTTTAAAAAGTCATAATCAAAGAGAATTGTTCTTTTAAAAAATATGACTGATTCAAAAAGACTTTATGAAGTTGGATCGTCAATAAGAAGACACGAAATTCAACGCTACACTCGACAACAGTGGTCGCAGGATTTCCAACCAGACGATTTTATTAGATATCGACTCGACGGTCGATGGGTTATTTTCTTATGTGTAACAATCCAATAAGCGTGGGATTCCAGTGGAATTCCGTGATTTGTCCAGAGTCTTTAGCATAAATTCCATGGAATTCCTCGAGAAATTCCATTGGATTTCAGAAGGAAACCGTGGGATTCCAGTAGGATTGCGTGGGATTTCAGTAGGATTCCGTGGGATTCCAGTAGGATTCTGTGGGATTCCAGTAGGATATCGTGAGATTCTAGTCTATGTACACATTTTTCAAAGTGGTTTTTTACCCATCGCCCAGTAGCTAGTTGAAATTAATAAGAAAATTAGCATTATTAAAATATTGGACTTTTTCTATTTAATTTTGAATCCGCCGAATCATTCCCATTTCCTCATCCAATGTACAATGTACCTATAGCTATTTTTTCAGCAATACAAGAAAAAATAAAATTCAAATTAGAAATAAAACGGATAGTAGTATTGTTTGACCGGATACCGCAGGTCCGGCGAGCTCGGAGGCCGGATATCTGGTCCAACTTTTTGGTGTATGAAACCAAAGAATAATCGCCTGTTGCCTGCAAAGCGTGCAGTCATAGTTTTGAGCCATTTTGTTTTATTTTATTGGCCACATAAAGTTTTATGTATTAAAGTTGATTTTAGGGCATTGTGTTGTAGTTTTTAAATATCCGGTATCCGGCCGGATATTAGACTGATGTCCGGCATCCAGCCGGATATAAATTGAGGCCCGATATCCGTTTCATCTCTAATTTAAATTATTTACAATACCTACCTACATTCTGCGCGATCTTCTGTCTATTTACAGATAATAAATCATTATTTTTATTTCTATTTCATTTATTAAAAAACTTATTTTTCAACATCCATCTTTTTTACCTGTCATCCTGTCTCTGCCGGCTTTCTTTCTATTATTTCCTTGATTTTTTAATCTAATGAACTCATGTACACATTGTCGACTAAACTGCTGGAACTTGGATACGCATAAAGAATTTTTTTGCCTATTTTTGAAGTCAAATATTTCAGAAAGTATAAGAGATACTTGATTGCGGTTTGAAGCATTTTGGGGCACATTGTTTGGTGTTCAAGGTATATGGTATCGTGCTGACGAACAGAAACGTTTTCTACAACATACAGGGTGGACAATGAAACATTGCAAAGTTTACCAAATTTCAGGGCGTCGCCATTTCTTTTCAAACTTTCTTTTCAAACATACTCCTACTTTTTTTCTGGGTTTTGAAGGAATCAGTATAGTTCAATGGTGAAAAACAACTTGAAGGGTTTTTGAATAACTCTCGTAGTTTTGCAGAAATTACAGTTTAACTGAAAAACGACTTTCATCACCCTGATTCTTTGTCTCAGTTTCTCGGAACAATTTTCTTCATTATCGTTATTGGTTCAACGTTTTCGTCTTTTTTCGTGTTTTAAAAAGATTTTATACAGGGTAAAAAAAAAGTAAGTTTTTAAAACTTATTATTGGGTGGGTCCATAAAGATAATTGCTCCTCAGAGTAACTAACTAAAAATAGTACGCGCGTCGTACACGCAACATGTACTGCGATTTCTGGGGGCACAGTCCTCTTTGTCAATTGATATGGCACCAACCTTTCTCTGGTTTATTGTATAACCATTCTGAGAGCAAATTATGATTATATTATGTTTCCTAGGTGGAGAAGCTATTCTGTTCTCGAGACGCCAAGATATTTGGTGAATTATTAGCACGTACCATGTCATAAGGGGGCCATTCATACAGAGGTGGTAAAAAGTACCGGAACGGTTGAATCTCTTTCAAACCCGCTTAAGCTGCATCCTCAAATTTCGTTATCTGGAGGTTGAATGATTCAATGATATCGGCGCAGCATTGCCCTACATGTAAGACAGGAATGAGATAAAAGCTATTTTTAATAGAACTACAACATACAAAAATATAAGATAGCTCAAATAAATTAAATTGACCTTAAAACCTTACTTAAATATCTTAAAAATTTCGTCGAACACTATCTAAAATTAATGCATTTTTAATTCAAGGGTGATATCCTAAAAATTCATACAAAATTGACATTGCTATGATAATTTGGATTGCTATGACAATTTAGATTGCGCTGACAATAGATGTCAAGTTAATAATTTCAGGACTTCAAATTAATATTTTAATTTGAGATGCATAGATTTACTAGAGAAGAAAGAGATAATTGTTTAAGATTCAACCGTTCCGGTACTTTTTACCACCCCTGTATAAATAGTCCCCCTTTTGATGGTACGTGCTAACAATTCACCAAATATCTCGGCGTCTCGAGAACAGAATAGTTTTTCCACCTAGGAAACATAATATAGGTAATGATATTTTGCTCTTAGAATGATTATACAATAAAGCAGAGAAAGGTTGGTGCCATCATATCTATTGACAAAGAGGACTGTGCTCCCTATAAATCGCAGTACATGTAAACGTGTTACGACGCGTACTATCTCTAGTTAGTTACTCTGAGGAGAAATTATCTACGGACCACCCAATAATTAGTATTAAAAACCTACTTTTTTTCACCCTGTATAAAATTTTCTTAAAACACGAAAAAAGACGAAAACGTTGAACCAACAATAATAAAGAAAATTGTTTCGAGTACCTAACTGAGACAAAGAATCAGGGTAATGAAAGTCGTTTTTCAGTTAAACTGCGATTTCTACAAAACTACGAGAGTTATTCAAAAACCCTTCAAGTTGTTTTTTACCATTGAACTACTGATTTCTTCTTAAAACCAAAAAAGTTTATTTGAAAAAAAAATGGCGAGCCCTGAAATTTGTTAAACTTTGCTCTGTTTTATTTTCCATCCTGGTATGTTATAGAAAACGTTTCTGTTCATCAGCACGATACCATATACCTTGAACACCAAACAATGCGCCTCAATATTTTTCAAACCGCAATCAAATATCTCAGCGCAATCAAATATCTCAGCGCAATCAAATATCTCTTATACATTCTGAGATATTTGACTTCAAAAATAGGCAAAACAAAAGATTTCTTTAAGTGTATCGAAGTTCCAGCAGTTTATTTGGATGTTTCACCCAGACAGCACACAAGGTCTTAAAGACGTCTTTTTTAGATTTGCATTGAGTCTGAACGTCTGAAGACCAAAAAAGACGTCTATAGATATAGAAGACGTCCATAAGCATTTTTATAATTTTTCCTATTCCAGGCTTTCGATATTTTTCCTTATTTCTTTATTCTAAATTCTTAACTTTCTTTTGGCTCTTGAATTTTTTATTCCAAGTACTTGAATTCTCATTATTCCCATAATTTAGAATTTCAGGCTCTTGATTTGTTTTTGCATTTTTACTCCTGGTTCTTCTTATATTTTTCTTTCAAAATGAATTTTGCGTATGTATTCGTTTAAAAGATATCCAAGAAGTTGAGAGCCTTTGGAATAGACAGAAATCAATAGTTTTTTGAGATAAACATATTCAGCTTTAATACAGCAAAAAGTGACGGAGCTAGAGTAAAAGCATTTGCTACATTTTATTCATACGATAAATTTTTGAACTTTATGAAAAATTTTGAACAGCACAAAAAGGTTACACGCAACGACATGACATATTGTGCGATTTGCATGCGCAAGTGAAATCGTTACAGACGAATCGCTACGTGTGGATGGCAGATTTGAGCAAATTTTAATTTTAGAAGTGCAAAGTCGGAGTTCAGAGACGAAAGTCAGAGCCGATAAGCGATAAGCATAGATTTGGGAGATTTGCGCATGCAAGTCGTAAAGTGTGTGCGCTTGTCAAAGATTTGCACAATTCTTAATAAACTGTATAATAGCTACCAACACATCTAAGTACGGCAGTCAGTAATTTATTGAAAGTTTCAGGAATAAATACACGCTAGCGCTTTCTTATAGATAGTAGGTATTATAGCTGTTGAGAACTCTAGTCTTTATAACTCCTGCCAGTTGCCAAAGGACTTTTCTCAACAGGTAGATATTTTGCTTTCCAATATGAGGATTCAATAATTCCAATAAATAATTGTATATTTCGGTACCCATTCTTAAATAATTTCGCCAGTCTTCAGGCTCACCTCGCAATTTTTCAAGTAACCGTGAGGTGCGTTTTCACGCTCATGCAATTTGCGCAAATTGATTTGTGCATGTAAATTTACACAAATAAAACTACGTTGGTGACGTCGTTTTCAGGCTCGGCGTAAACTGCACAAATTTTGCCACCACCACTAGACAGTAGAGTCCACCAAACTTAAGAATGGTACAGGCTTGGTCTGCGCGGAGCTCTGACTTCGAAGCTAGCGGGCAAACTATTATTTCGATAATTTTCATTTAATTTGGAAATAGATCTGATTTAGGTACACCACTCAATGTCCCAACTACTCACTGTTGCTATGGCAAATGGCAACCGTGATGAACATACCAATGGGCAACTTTACAACGAAACACGTGCCTGTACCATTCTTAAGTTTGGTGGACTCTAGATCTACACGTACGGATATACAGGGTGGAATTCCTAAATGGAATAAAGTCAGTATCATAAAGCCTGTTAATTTTCTGGAAAAATGAAAAAAAACGGGTCCCTTTATTTTTAGTTTGGCACACTTTTTCGGCCTTTTCGTGGAATTTACCCCTCTCTTAAGGGTAGAAATCACCCCCAACTTTTTTTTCCAAATGTAAAGATATGTATTGTGATAGCTCGTTGGAATGAGCATAAAAAAAGGAAAATGACCCATTATTTACTTTTGCATTTCGGTGATCTAGAAAGCGAGAAAAAAATGAAAACATATTTTTCCACACAATTTTTTTACAGTTAAATTGTTGAATATCTTCAGCATTTCTTCTTGGTAGAACCCTAATGCGAAACATGCCCCATTTGTAACGTTATCTAATTACTTCTGACGTCAACGCACTATTTGATGCCTGATACTCGGATTCTAAACCCTAAAATAGTGCGTTAATGTCAAAAATAATTACATAACTAGATCACCGAAATGCAAAAGTAAATAATGGGTCGTATTCCTTTGTTTATGTGTTTATGCCCATTCCAACGAGCTATCACAATACACTTATCTTTACATTTGAAAAAAAAAAGTTGGGGGCGGTTTCTACCCCTAAGGGCCGGTTTCTCAATAGCGAGTCACCCCCGGATTGAGCATAACTCCAGGGTTAACGTGTAAAATTGCAATGTTTACCCTGGAGTTAGCTTAACCCGGAGGTGACCTGTTATTGAGAAACCGGCCCTAAGAGAGGGGTAAATTCCATGAAAAGGCCGAAAAAATTTGCCAAACTAAAAATAAAGAGACCCGTTTTTTTTAAATTTTTCCAGAAAATAAACAGGCTTTCTGAAACTAATTTTATTCCATTTAAAAATTACACCCTGTATATTTCATCTTCCCCGGCACCATATCTCTTGGAAATAAGAATTTTTTTCAATTCTTTTCTATAGGTGGTTCTCATAGAATTAGAACTGCTTGCACTTTTATCCACGGTCTGCATTTTTTCAATAAAAATTTCATAGGCTTAGGATTTTGTGTTTCTATCGCTATACTCTTTGGATTTCACTTTCCAAAGACAAGGAAATGAATTTATACATATAGTCCAATGAACTCTACCATAAATTCCTTTTCCTTTTTTGACATTTTTACCAAATATAAATACAGACAAAATAACAGAGAAACAAAATAACACAGAATCACCGAAAATATAAAAGCCAATTCTAAATTATTGTAAGTTGAGACGAGGAATTGGCTGCTTCACGCATGCGGACTATGGGGCGCTCGCTTTATAAAGTTGGAGTGTCATTTACACGTTCATGCATTTGCGCCATGCAAATTATCTGTCCGCTCCAGATTTACTCAAGTCTAACTTTTTGGCTTGCGCAAGCAAACGATTTTGGTTTTCACGCTCATGCAATTTATGCAAATCGTGCATGCACAAATCAATTTGCGCAAATTGCATGAGCGTAAAAACGCACCAGTCATAAGATAATAAACCTCGTTTTAATAAACCATGCGCTAGACCACCTTAGAAAGTCTTAATTCTTTTTAAACATTTCCTAATTTCTCGTTTTCTTTTAATAGCCAAACAAAACATCAAAGTACTCCCCAATAAGTCGTTATAATGAGGGCGCACTCAGTTAGTAAACTCAAATCTGTAAGCTTTACTTGCGCATGCAAATCGTATGATACGTCGTTGCGTGTAGACCCCGCTTTAGACTTTATGTATAGAAATTCTAACCGTTATTTCAAAGTTCGAAGTAATGAGGTTATCATGGGTTTGTCCCGGCGTGGCCGCCGTCCCGCCCAATGGTCCCGCCAGGCAGTGGCAGTTTCTCAAACATACATCAGTCATCAATGTTGCCAATGACCCAATAATTATTGAAATCTACCATAATTTTGGCTACGATTCAATCATCCATAATAACAAGCTATTTCTACCATAATTTATTGAAACTATTGAAACTACAATTTCGATACAAATTTTTCAAATTTTTAGTAAAAAATTAAAAATTAATTAAGAATTGAAGGTGGTTGGTGGTTTTGACGTAGGTACTGGTGCGAACACCACTTCTAGTCCCAGCTAGAGCTAGAACTACAGTTGAGCTTGAGCAGTCAGCACGCTTCAGCAAGGTGCTGGCAGCACTTTTCAAAAACCTAGCTGCTTATTAATAGAATAAACTTTTTGGTCAATTTTATTTTTGTTTTTCTTTCTCAGAAAAATAAAAATAGAGATATAAACTCAAAAAAGTTGATAATTTTTCTTGGAATCAATTTTTGTTCTCATATCCTGGTAATTTTAAATTTGACATCCGGCAACACTTACAAACATTTACCAACCACGCTTTACCGCTTGCCAGTGTTGCCAATGACCCGATAATTATCGAAATCTACCATAATTTTGACTACGATTCAATAATCGATAATGACAAACTAATCTACCATAATTTATTGAAACTACAATCCTAATACAAATTTTTCGAATTTTTAGTTAAAAATTGATAATTAATTTAAAAAATTTAAGGTGGTTGGTGGTTTTGAAATAATTTTGTTCTCAAATCCTGATAATTTTAAATTTGACATCTGGCAACACTGCTGCTTGCTTGCATTTGTTTTTGTTTGCGTTGCTTGGTTTCTGGTTTCGCCATTTTGGTTTGATCTTTTTGTGGTGTTAGGAGGTAGTCAAACGCGTCGCCTCTGTTTCTGCGATTCCAGCCACAATTCCAGCAGATCAAACAGCACAATGAATACTGATAGTACCAGTTCCGAAGATGAATATAATCCTTCCAATAGACAAGGTAATTTGAGAACGGCAAGAAAATCCACCACTGGTTCGCAGTCACAATCCAGGTCTAGTAGTTCCTCAAGTAGAAGGTAATTGTGATTAGATTTATCAAAAGTTAAGCCCTAATCCTATGTTTTATTTAGGCAAGCAGCTAAGAGAGCATCCAAGGCCATTTCGGCATCGGCTTCATCCACCTCAACTTCGACCTCTTCTTTCGAAAAGACAATGGAAACGTTCAATCCAGATCTGAGCCAAAGGGAGAAGAGGAAGATTATTAAAAAGTTTCAGCCCCCAGTTGTCACCACTACTCGTAAACCTCTAGGAGCTGTTTACGATGAATAGTAAGAACATTTTATTATTTATTGCAATAAGAATCTGTACAAGATTTTACTTGTACTTGTAGCAGGTGCATTATTTCATTTCTAAACATTTTTTTTAATTTTTAGTGGTACACATATGTCAACTAACATTAACATGTGCGATTGTTTGGATATAAAATGCGCAGGATGCTTTTTCGAATGCCCCAAATGTGGAAGCGAAAAGTGTGGCAAGGAATGTAGAGTGCATCGGAACTATATAATAGATTGTATGGAATATCATGGTCGCGAGAAAATTGTGAAAAATCCTCTGCTGAGGAAGTAAGGAATTGAATAGGTGCTTCTACCTTTCCACTTTACATTTAATTTGCCAATTATTGTTTGATGTATGATTTGTTACATTTATCTTTAGAATTATGTTACTTGTATTGTGTTTAGTCACAAAATATTAATGTCTGTAAATAAACAAAAATGTTAATGCTAGTTTGGAGTTTTCTTTGTTTGGTTGAGGCATCACAGTAAGTCTTGTTTTGAAGTTTAGGGTGGCATCGTTTGCCTAATTACTGATAGAACGCCGTTTTACTGCTTTGAACCAGTATAGCAGGCAGAAATTCAAAGAAGGGAAAGTAATTGGTCCTCTGAGCTTGCCCTATAACCTTGCCTTCAGTGCAAATGATTCATTATCTGCCTCAATCAAATCAGACCCCAGAATTCTGCAAATTAAATCCGATTTTTTTTTCTTTTTACTGTTGCTGGTTTCCGATATCTTTTGTTGTCTGGTATTTTCTCATCTATTCAAAGAAAATCATTTCTGACTAGCTGACTTAGGGCCGGTTTCTCAATACAAAGTCACCCCCGGGTTAAGCATAACCTCAGGGTAAACATTGCAACTGGACACGTTTACCCTTGAGTTAAAACCAATTCGGAGGTAACTAGCTATTGAGAAACTAACTGACCCTCAAGCCAAACAAAGTATCAGTGATGATAAAAGGTCTGCTTCCACAGAAATCACAAACTAGTCAGAGCGAATTTCATTGGTTGTAAATAGTCAGGTAACTGGTTGTTGGCGATTTTGACCAATTAAAAAGCTCCGACTGGTTTGTGATTTCTGTGGAAACAGACCCATTAGCTCTACTGTTCCAACACAAGCCGCACATTGTACCCAAGGGGGTCCTTCGCCTAAAAGCGTAGCACCATCCATTTCTATTCGAAATAAATAGATGTTTTGTGGGCTGGTTTCTCAATAGCGAGTCACCTCCAGATTGGTTTTAGCTCAAGGGTAAGCGTGTCGAGTTGCTATGTTCACCCTGGAGTTACGCTTAACCCTGGGGCGATTCGCTATTATGAAACCGGCCCGTTTAAAGTCTAATGTCTTTTCTTCTGGGCCTCATTTAGGCGTGACGCTCAAATATAACAGCATTTAATAAAAAAAGAATCCACAACCTTCGCCTCTACAACCTTGTATGTATTCTGAACAGCTAGGGGGCAACCCTAAGGAAATAATAAAACCTAAATAAAACAAATCAACATCATTTCGAATCGAAATGTAATTCAAAATACAAAATCTCAACATAATTGAACGAGATAAACGAATACATATTAATAAACTCAAAAACATAACCTAATGCCCGGTTTATTCACCTCCTGATAAATTATCAGGTACTAGATTCGCATTTTTGCCTTGTAGACAATTACCAGGAAGTTCATCGGAAGATGAATAAACCGGTGCTCAAACAAGATAAACAGTATTGGAGAAAAGAACAAAATAAACAAAAACAAAAATTAATAAAGCTAAGACGGACCACTATTTCGCCTTCTAGAAGAGGTGCTGCTGCCGAGATCCAGTCTTGGTTTGAAAAGATCTTCCTTGGCGTATCTTTGGTTAGCACCTGAAAATAATATATAGGTATGTTTTGTCCTTGACAATCAAGATAGGGATAATAGAATCTACACATATACACATATGCATTCATAAATTTATTTTTGTTAAAAGGATCCCTATAAAAGTAGAGGTAGAAAATACCTGTTGAACACATTGTCAAAAAATCCTAACAGATCCTCAAGGGCCTATATCAGGACAGGATTTATATTAGATCTAGCCAAAAACAAATTATACATAAGAACAAAAATAATTTGGAGGTTGTGAGCAAAAGCTATCGACTTACTTCTAATAACCTTTCGTTTAGCATTTCGTGATCGTACTGGGATTCCGTTAGGTTTTTTGAAACCATTAGTTCCGGCCTTCTTATTAGGATCCAACGTCAATCGATCATTAGCAGGTGCTTCTATAAACAAAATAAAATATTTACAAAATATACTGGGCCAGAAAGAGAGAGAGCAGGTGCATTTTGGACTTTAATTGTTCGCAGTATTTATTGGTAGGTACTTTGACTCGAGAATAATTATCTTTTAAAGTCCAAAAAGCTCAAAATTGCATATAGAGTAAGGTCTACCATAGAAAATCTCGCCACCACCACGTAAAGGAATTCAAGCATTCAATTTGAGGAGATATGGTGTTAGTAAGGACAATGCTGAAATGTTTTGATTTCTGCTATTTTGAACTCTGTTTTGATACGTGATGGTTTTATTCAGTTATTTTTCTTATAGGATGTACTTTTTTCTGTAATTTATTTCAGTTTGTTCACATATTTCTCAATATTGTCATTCATATTGTTTATTTTTAAATATTTTGAATAGGTATAGTCTTATTGAGTATTTGGTAGTTATATTTTTGATCTGTGTTTGTGAGAGCTTTGTCAACAAGATTATTTGTTTTTTATGGCAATTAAGTCAAAGATTTTGATTTTGTGAGCAAACTATTGTTGAATATGTAAAATAGGAACATTCCTCTATTCTGATCTAAAGATCTAGTGAAATAATAGAAACAGTAACACAAAAATAAAAGAATACTAATGGCCGTTTTCACCAACCGTCTTACAGAAGCCTTAAAGATAAGTATTCCTTGAAATGAAATTCATGATAAAATGTCACTTCAAGGAATACTTATCGTTAAGGCTTCCTTAAAATAGTTGGCGCAAACGGCCATAAGGCTATCTACTCACTTTTAGCAGGTTCCTGTTTTTGAGAGAAGATATGGTCATGCTTTTTCGATGCACCACCCCGGGATCCATCCACAACAACTAATTTCCCATTTACACAAGCTAACCAAGTAGTAAATGGGATGATAGGAAGAAAAGAAGAAATATATGAATAGAAAGTGAGAACACTCTATGATGAAAATTTCTGTCAGTGACTCGTCCCGAATTAACTTGATATTTTATGTACATGGAATGCCTCGTCCCCTAATACAGAATCCGTGACTAAAATATGTCACGGGCAACTAAGAATGTCATGGCACATATTGTTTCATATGTCGCTACAATCGATAAGATAGAAAGAGCCCTACATGCCAGTGGCAACTGATAATAAGTTGACCTGTTTCTAACATTAGAGAAAAAGGGACAGATATGCATACAGTTCACTGACAGTAATTTTGAAACAATAGGGTTGTCTACTCACCTATCACCTCTCTTCTGATTTTGACAACCAATTGTCGTTTACCAATTATGGATGCCAAATCTACAACCACACAATTTATTTACAACATATTCAAGAATTCAAATCTAGCAGAATGAGGGAACAAAAAAGGAAACTACAAGCGGGTATTTGAAAACAAAGAATAATCAGGCCATCTACTTACCAATACTTTTCTGCAGGATTGTTGGTTCAGTACTTTTTTCATTCTTATTGCCACCATTACAGGGTGTTACATCTACAACAATAACAAGACATTTACTTTTAAATATATTAGGAATTTAAAGCTGGCAATATAAAAATAAATACTGTTTCGAAACACATACAAAAAATGCAGGCATAATGTTAACTACTTCTTTACACTCACCACATATATTAGTGTCGTCTTGGTTTTCGTCTCCACTAAACCTTACCCGTTTGCATTCTGCAATATCAAAAAGATTAAAATAATTTCATGTTGCTAGATGTAAGCAAAAAAAAATCAAATTATACTACATCTGAATACCAGTGAAAACAATTATTAAAATTCCACTCTACAAATTATGGTCTACTTAGCTCCACTCCAACCGAACGGTTCTCATGTCAGTTGGAACAGAGCTCATATCAATTTACTAATGATTATAACCTTAACAATTTTCAATTTCTAATCATTCACCTAATAAAATAAGAAGTAGGCAATAAGTTGCTTATTTTAAAAGAGATTTTAAGCGATTTCTACTTGATCTATCCATTTATAATATTGATTAACTTTGAATACAATTATTTAAATCTTTGGTTGAGCACACATTTGTTCAAAAGACCGGTCCTTAGCCTCCACCAGTTATCACCTGAATTTATTTACCTTTAGCAACTTTAGAATTTAGATTTAGTATAGTAAATTTAAAATCAATGCACTTACCCCGTTTGTCCTTACGATTGAAGCCATTGTTGTTATCAGTTTCTGAAATCTTCCTTTTTTTGCCAATCTAAAATTGAATAAAAAACTCAATACTAAATAAATATAATTAACGGTTGGTAAATTCATCAATTATTGAGTAGGGACTTTGTCAACAGACCCAACTATTAGCAACCCTAAAATGGAAATACTTATTGCCCAACCAATTCTGATTCAAAAAATGTATATTTATAAAGTGCAAGTGCCATAAGATAAGAGCATCATTATATTGGGAATTATGCATGCATTTAATTATTAACTCTCCGACTCTATTGAAAACAAGGAACAAAAATTAATGCAACCATAAATCTCACCTCTATCTTTGTAGCTGCTTGATGTTCCATTGTTTTCGTCATCTATTGGAATTAGCATGGGATTAGTTAAATTATTCACAAATCCCAAGTCTCTTGAGAAAGTGGAACAAAAATTAATGAATTTTACCTGTACATATTTGGAGTTGGAGCCGCTCGGTCCTGCTTGTTTGACAGTTTTCCCTTTCATCTATAATAAAAAAGGTCATTACGATTTTAGAAAGACTCGACGTGGATGAAATTCATAATGTCATCTTGTATTAGATTTGGTTAACGTAATAATAGTTTTTTGAATAAGAAAATGTATAGCATTTCTTGGAAAGTGCCTTATTGGCTTTAGCAGTCTTCATCTAAAGTGGTAATGAAAAACAGGATGTAAAATTTACAGCTGAATGGGAAGATTCGAGGAAATAAGTCGATGATGCGCGCCGGAAAACAAAACCTCAGATTTCGAAATTTAATTGTACCATCTTATCTTTCCAACTGGACCTTTGGCATCTCAGAGACAATGGCAGGATGACATACAAAATATTGCAGGACCAAATTTGATGCATGATTGGTTGGTTTGTAGAAGCCTTCATCCAGGTGTCGATTACAGGCTAAAAGAAGAAGAGGAGAGAAACATGTTGGTACAAAAAAGGATAATATTTGATTTATGTAACACTCTCTGTTTGAATACAAATCAACAAAACTACTCGTTAGATAAAAAATGGTTGGTATCTGGTGGGTCGAATGGTATGGTTCAAATTTGGAACAAAGGAGTGAGTTCGCATCCCTTCAGCCCACCTTGGCAACTTCGAGAAGATAACTTCACAACAGCATACATACCAGAAGTACTCAAGTTTATGAAAATACTTTGTGCATTTGGTGGGTGAGGCTCCAACAAGAATACGGTTTACTTGCTACTTAAAGCTGCCACTGATAGTGCTGCTCAATTTTTGTAGCATAGGATGGGCAACAATCATACATTTTTAAGGGGAAAAAAAAACGTACCTTATTTGTAAAACACCGCTATAACACATTGTAACAGTTGAACATGAATAAGCCATTGTAAAACAAATTGTTTTAGTAATAATAATACAATGAAATTTACTAAAGAAAAGGTTGAAACTTACTCCTGAATCAAATTGTGCTTTTAGTCTCCATTTAGACTCCTCAATAAACTTCTCCTCTCTCATTATATTTTCATTCAGCTTCCGCAATTTCGCCTCAGATTCGATCGGTTTCTCAAAATAGTAGACGACGTCATCGTCATCTGCATCTAATGTTAATTTCGACATTTTCCGTTTAGCCATTTCATCCGATCTGTCAATCTCTGCTTTGCTAAATCCTTGGAAATCAGGTTCTGCCGTGATGTCTTCCTCGAAAGGATCTTTGGAGTGAGAGGTCTACAAATTCAAAATTGAATTAATAATTTGCTGGAAGAAGCAGTCGTCAAAGGACAAGTCCGCGGCGTTTTAGGGTATAAAAGTAAGGTTTGGTCCAGCTTTTTTGGATTCAATTATAAAATTAAATTACATTTGTTGTTCAGACAAATTATAAAAATCTATTTTTATAAAGGGTATCCCAACTAAAATAAATTACATACGAATTTTGGAAACGGTAAAAGATACAAGGTGACTCAAATTAGAAAAAGTGGCCAATTAGGTGCTTAATGAAGCTGCCTAGAAATTTCAAATTGTATTTGCTTAGCAGATATCTGGGAAGAAACGAAATTTTGCAAAATCATTTTTTCCTTCGCATACAGTTCACTTTATTATGGAAACTTTTTCGCCTCTATCCCATGGTACTGCCGAATAAAGTAAACCTAATTTCAAACATCTTTTCAAATAGGCCAGCACTAGTTTTTTCTAATTTAAACCACCTTAATTGTCTTATTCCTAATTTCATGTCTTATAAATTTGGATGAGTTGAGAACTCCTTTAAAAACAAGGGATAAATATGTAGATAATAAAACCATCAATCTTACCTCTGCCTCTGAAGCAGAGAAATAGCTCGAATCAGTTCCGGTGTCTGTGATTGGCATGATCTATAAATAAAAGTATATAATTTAACAATTATTTTATAATGTAACAATTACACAGGTATTGTATCTGCTATAAACAAACGACATCTTCTCCTAAATTCCTTGAAATTAGGAGAATGTTTAACATCATTAGGTAACTCATTGTAAGTTTTTAATCCTTCATGAAAAATATTTGTTTGATCAAAGTTTCTTCGAACAGTGGGAATATAAAAATTGTCTGCATTTCTAGTGTTTCGGTCGGTACAAGCGAACAGGTATACAGAAGCCTTCTAGATTCTCTGGTAAGGATCCCTGCACGATTTTGAATATAATATATATTATATAGAATTGTTTGAGAAAAGTTTTTGGATTAATTTTCTCCGCTTTTCCATCCATAGACGCGTTTCGACCTATATCAGGTCTCATCAGTATGGCTAGGAAAAGCGAAGAAAACCAATCCAATTTTTCGCCTAAAGGCAAATGCAAGAAATTCGAAGAGCGAATCTTGATCTTAACGCCATCTAGGACACGATAATCAACACTACACGCAATTTTGCTGTGCAAAATGGTGAACGTTCCAAAGGCAGACCAAAATTCAGTTCGTTTGGGTTTCACCCAAAAGTACCACTGTTTGAGAAAAGTTTTTGGATTAATTTTCTCCGCTTTTCCATCCATAGACGCGTTTCGACCTATATCAGGTCTCATCAGTATGGCTAGGAAAAGCTTGTGCTGTGCAAAATGCACAGCAAAATTGCACAGCAAAATTGCGTGTAGTGTTGATTATCGTGTCCTAGATGGCGTTAAGATCAAGATTCGCTCTTCGAATTTCTTGCATTTGCCTTTAGGCGAAAAATTGGATTGGTTTTCTTCGCTTTTCCTAGCCATACTGATGAGACCTGATATAGGTCGAAACGCGTCTATGGATGGAAAAGCGGAGAAAATTAATCCAAAAACTTTTCTAAAACAGTGGTACTTTTGGGTGAAACCCAAACGAACTGAATTTTGGTCTGCCTTTGGAACGTTCACCATTTTGCAAAGCAAAATTGCGTGTAGTGTTGATTATCGTGTCCTAGATGGCGTGAAGATCAAGATTCGCTCTTCGAATTTCTTGCATTTGCCTTTAGGCGAAAAATTGGATTGGTTTTCTTCGCTTTTCCTAGCCATACTGATGAGACCTGATATAGGTCGAAACGCGTCTATGGATGGAAAAGCGGAGAAAATTAATCCAAAAACTTTTCTCAAACAGTGGTACTTTTGGGTGAAACCCAAACGAACTGAATTTTGGTCTGCCTTTGGAACGTTCACCATTTTGCACAGCAAAATTGCGTGTAGTGTTGATTATCGTGTCCTAGATGGCGTTAAGATCAAGATTCGCTCTTCGAATTATATATTATAATTTGAATATAATACATTGTTTCACACCCATGGCATGGCTCGTAACATTGTCTCTATACTCGTACGTCGATTACAGTTGAGACTAACCACAGCCTCCTATAGTTAACAAGCCACGAAGTTGGAAATGACGGCAACGTCGCGTATGGTGCTATTTTGTTATTGGGTTATGTGTTTCTGTGTATTGCTTTCATTGTGTATTGTTGCAATTTAGTATTTTTATGGGCATTATTGACGAAAAAGTGGATAGAAACACACCAATATATTGCCCATATTTAGTTGATACCTGTTCCTTTGTGCTTTGATTGCAAATTTTTAGCAAATGGGTACAGGAGCAAAAATGAAGGTAAGGTAAGGTAAAACAATAAAAACAATATTAATATTTGTCTGCAAGAGCATAGTTCTCGATATATTACCTAAGATATTTAAACTTGTTCCAGATGCCATGAAACTACTGTGTTCCTGGGTGCAAATCGAACTATTAGGAGTTCCTTAAAAACTGAAGAAATGCAAACATTTTTATTTCCAAAAAAATTCTGAAGTGCAAAAAATGTGGATGAAAGCAATACACCAAGATAATTATACCCGAGATTATACAATAACGAAAAATTCTGTGGTGTGTTGTAAACATTTTGAAGAAACCGAAATAATTAGATTTGAAACAAACAAGGATAAAGGTGTAGTTCGAGAGTTCAAACTAAAACGTCCAACTCTTAAAAGTAGGTACCTCTTATTTTCGAAAATCAGCTCAAGTATTTGATGGACTTGCCTTCCGAAAAAATCCCGAAGAAAGAAAAAGTTAGATTTTCAAAAGACATACTGAAACATAACACTTTGGACTCTAGAAATATATTCATTTAAATCAATTATTTACTGTTCTTATTTACACAAATGGTTAAATTATTCATTGAATTACTGTTTTTGGCCCTTTAGTACAATAAATTATGCATTTTTTGTGATTCATAATAATAAAATAAAAAATATATATTTATACAAACAAACACCACCAGCACCACTTGGCGGTAAGATTGCGGTGTTGTTGCCTTTTTAACTTCATGGCTTGTTAAATGTAGGAGGCTGTGGACTAACACGTAGCGCCATGTTTTTTCCTTTTTTTTATTTGTGCTATTTCAGAATTAGTTAAGGTAAACAATACTGTTGGACAATAGAACAAATGTGGTTGTATAACAAATTTATAAATTAAAGTTTTTGGCCATGCAGTAAGAGTATTACGCATACGACCCAATGCATACACTTTCTTTGTTATTTTTCTTGTCACATAGGTCGCATCGTTGTTAAAAGTTAGATGTTGGTCGATAATAACTCCCAGATATTTGAATTCCGTCACTTTCTCTATTTGAATGCCGTCTAATTCTACACCGTGATGTAACTGATCATCTCGCGCCGTGTTCCTATTTTACACCATCAGTCTTCAATATTTAATTTCAGATTATTGTATTGTAACCACCTTCAAATGGATTTCAGTTCTTCGTAAATGGTTTTGACTATGTGTTGTACATTATTTCCAATGAAGTACAATAATATATCATCTGCAAATAGTTCTATGTTACAATTTTTCATCCATTTCACAATGTCATTGATGTATATAATGAACAAATCTGGATCCATTACAGTCCCTTGCGGCACTCCCAGTGTGATTTCCCTACTCGATGATTCAGTGTTGCTATATCTTGTTTTCTGTGTCCTGTTCTGTAAGTTTGAATCCATCCTTCACATAGTCCTAATCGCTCTAATTTTTTTTTTAAATAATGGCCTACTTATGGTTTCAAACGCTCTACGAAAGTCAAGGAAAACGCCCCCAATGAATAGATTCTCTTGCAATGCAGATTTCCAATTGGCCAAAACATTTTGAAAAGCAGTCTCACAGCTGTTATTATTTCTACATACTGCCTGGTAGGTTGTCAGTAGTCTATTTTCTTCTATGTATTGAATTAATTGGTTTTTTACACTGATTTCTAGTAACTTTTCATATATCGGTACCATATTTATGGGTCGAAAATCTTGGCAAAGATTGGAGATTCTATTTTTTGAATTGGAGTAACAGTTGCTGTTTTCCATGTAGCAGGAAATTTTCCGATTACTATATACTTCTAATAATTACTTCTAGAAATTGATGTCCAATGGCTTCGAATGATAGTTTTAAAATCTTTGTGTTTATCCCATATATACTCTTCTTTTTGGCTTGTAAATTTTTTACTGCGTTCTTCAAATCTGCAAATTCAATCGATTTGAAATTGCATATACCACATTGCACAATAAATTGTTAATTTGTTGGAATGATTTATATTTCATTGCTTATAAACCTTGATGCGTGAAGTTAAACTCCTTTGGAAACAAGGGATAAATAATAATAAAACCAAATCTTACCTCCGTCTCTGGAGCCGACAAATTGCTCGAATCAGTTTCGTTGTCCGTGATTGGCATGACCTATAAATTGTTAATTGGATGGGATGGGTTAGATTTCATTGCTAATATACTTGGATACATGGATGGAAACAAGGGGTAAGTAATAATAAAACCTTAAATCTTACCTCCATCTCTGGAGCAGACAAGTTGCTCAAATCCGCTGTATTGTCTGTGATTGGCATGACCTAAAAATTGTTAATTGGATGAAATGGGTTATGGGTTAGATTTCATTGCTAATCAACTTGGATGCGTGGATGGAAACAAGGGGTAAGTAATAAAAAAAACCTTAAATCTTACCTCTATCTCTGGAGCAGACAAGTTGCTCAAATCCGTTGTATTGTCTGTGATTGGCATGACCTAAAAATTGTTAATAGGATGGAATGGGTTAGATTTCATTGCTAATAAATTTGGATGCGTGGATGGAAACAAGGAGTAGGTAATTATAAAACCTTTAATCTTACCTCCATCTCTGGAGCTGACAAATTGCTCGAATCAGTTCCGTTGTCCATGATTGGCATGACCTATAAATTGTTAATTGGATGGAATGGGTTAGATTTCATTGCTAACAAGCTTGGATGCGTGGATGGAAACAAGGGGTAGGTAATTATAAAACCTTAAATCTTACCTCCATCTCTGGAGCAGACAAGTTGCTCAAATCCGCTGTATTGTCTGTGATTGGCATGACCTAAAAATTGTTAATTTGATAGAATGAGTTACATTTCATTGCTTAAAAACTTTGATACGTGGAATAAGTTAAAAACTTTGGGAACAAGGGATAAGTAATAATAAAACCCTAAATCTTATCCCGGTCTCTGGAGCAGACAAATTGCTCAAATGCGTTGTGTTGTCTGTGATTGCCATCATCTATAAATTGTTAATTTGATGGAATGAGTTAGATTTCATTGCTAACAAGCTTGGATGCGTGGATGGAAACAAGAGGTAGGTAATTAAAAAACCTTAAATCTTACCTCCATCAATGGAGCAGACAAGTTGCTCAAATCCGCTGTATTGTCTGTGATTGGCATGACCTAAAAATTGTTAATTTGATGGAATGAGTTACATTTCATTGCTTAATAACTTTGATGCGTGGAATAAGTTACAAACTTTGGGAACAAGAGATAAGTAATAGTAAAACCCTAAATCTTACCCCAGTCTCTGGAGCAGACAAATTGCTCAAAGCTGTTGTGTTGTCTGTGAATGCCATCATCTATAAATTGTTAATTTGATGGAATGAGTTAGATTTAATTGCTTATTAACTTTCATGCATGAAATAAGTTAAAAACTCGTTTGGAAACAAGAGATAAGTAACAATAAAACCCTAAATCTTACCCCGGACTCTGGAGCAGACAAATTACTCAAATCCGTTGTGTTGTCTGTGATTGCCATCATCTATAAATTGTTAATTTGATGGAATGATTTAGATTTAATTGCTTGTCAACTTTCATGCGTGAAATAAGTTAAAAACTCGTTTGGAAATAAGAGATAAGTAATAATAAAACCCTAAATCTTACCCCTGACTCTGGAGCAGACAAATTGCTCAAATCCGTTGTGTTGTCTGTGATTGCCATCATCTATAAATTGTTAATTTGATGGCATGACTTAGATTTAATTGCTTAATAACTTTCATGCGTGAAATAAGTTAAAAACTTTGGAAACAAGGGATAAGGAATAATTGAACCTAAATCTTACCTCTGTCTCTATAGCAGACAAACAGCTCCAATCGGTTCCGTTGTGCGTGATTGACATGATCTATAAATTGTTAATTTGATGGAATGAGTTAGATTTCATTGCTTATAAACTTCAATGCGTGGAATAAGTTAAAAACTCCTTTGGAAACATGGGCTAAGTAATAATAAAACCCCTTAATCTTACCTCCATCACGAGAGCAGACAAATCGCTCGAATCACTTCCGTTGTCTGGGATTGGCATGATCTGTAAATTGTAAATTTGACAGAATAAGTATATTTCATTGCTTATAAACTTTGATCCGTGGAATAAGTCAAAAATTCCTTTGGAAAACAAGGAATTGATAATAATGAAACCATAAATCCTCCCTCCGTCTCTGGAGCAGACAAATTACTCAAATCTGTGTTGTCTGTGATTGTAATTATTGTTTTATTATTCCAATAGTAGGCGGATTAACCAATGTAACTATTGTTACATATAGTTTCAGACTAGCTTTTAAACTTATTTATTTTGCAGTGTCTATCATAGTTCAATTCTATCAATTTATCACAGGCAACAATGTTAAGATCACCAATTTAGAGGTTCTCACAGATTTCAGATAAGCCTTTGCTAGTTATTGAAGTGCACCAATAGAGGCTTCTATTTTCATGTCCAATGACACTTTGAACAAGTTTATATTTCGTTTACTAACAGTTGTCTCACTCAGGGCATTCCATGTCTGAAATAAAGTTTTTGCTTGGCAGCCTGTTGGTTTTTCTTTACACAGTTTTTTGCTCGGAGTTGGTTAGATTGGCTTCTCCGAAACAGATCCATTTCACAGGTGTAGCTATTGTTTAGAATTTAGGTAGGTTTCAATTATAACTCCTCTGGATCGTCTTTCTCTTAGTGTTGGTCGACCAAATATTTTTAACCTTTAAGGATAGGGCAGATTTCCTAATTCCGGTGGTATTTTGGTTACTCTATGCTGCACCCTTTCTAGCAATTCTATGTCACCAACAAAGTAAGGATTCCATACTGAGTGTGCAAATTCAAGTTTAGGCCTTATGTAGGTTATGTATAGTTTTTTAATCATTTCAACAGAAAGGTTTTTAAATGCTTTTCTATATATATTATGGAGCTTGCCTTCTTGACAGTTTTATTTGTGTGGAGTTCCCATTTAGGGTCACTCGTTATAATAAGCACTTTTTCACATTTAGTTTCATCTTCTAGGTATCTGTCCAGTTTTAAATCTCCTCAAGGTCTTTCCGTAGGTTGTTGACGTTTGACAATGGGTTTGGGTATAGCTTTGTATCGTCAGCAAAAAATGATATTGAGGAAGTTATTATATTTTGGAGGTCACTTATATACACCAGAAATAAAAGTGGTCACAATACCAATCCGTGGGGCACTTCACTCACTACCCTGTGTTCCTGGGACAGGATTCCATTTACTCTGACCCAGTAGCCTCTGTTGATTAGAAAACACCTAATGAGTCTCAGTAAATTGCCCCCAACACCATAGTGCTCCAGTTAAGCCAAAAGTATTCTGTGGGGAACCTTGTCGAATGCTTTTTCGTAGTCTAGATACATAATATCAATAGAATTTCCCTCGTCAAAATTCCTAGTCCAATCATCTAAGCATAAAAGAAGGTTTACTGTAACGGACCTACTGAGGAAACCATACTTATTGGGTGGATGGAATTATATTATGTTCGGTTAGAAAGGTGATTACGTGTTTCACAATAACTCGTTCCAGACATTTGCACTGGTGACTTGTTAGGCTTATCGGTCTGTAGTTGTTGGCACTGCATTTATTTCCACTCTTATAGATGAGAATTACAATAGCTTTTTTCCAAGCAGGTGGTAGAGTCCCTGATTTTCTGCAGTAGTTAAAAATATTTGCCATAGAAAAATTGGTGGAAGGTTATCAGGTCCTGAGCTTGTCAGGTTTTAGGCGTTGTTGAGCTCTTTTACTTCCAGGATTGAGATTGGAATTGCACTTATGGATTCATGAATTCTGGTGGTTTCATCCAACTGTGGCAGACTTTCATCATCTAGCTCCTGAGTGTAGACACTAGCATATTTATCAGCAAAAATTTAGGCAATATGTTGGTTGGATGTTATTTTATCCCCGGTCGCTTCATCTACAAACATTAATTTAGATGACAGATAAAGGGTTGGTCTTAACTGTTTTTAGTGGCACCAGGCTGCTTATCACTGTATTATTAATGATATTGTCATATCTCTGATATAGTTGATCTGGTTCAGACTGGAAGTTTTGCTCTTGGAAGAAAGTTTTAATTTTATCATAGTCGGCTGACCAGAAGTATCTTTTTTGAATTTATTTATTTATTTATTTATTTATTTATTTACGTATAAGAAAAATACATTTGAAGTTGAACAGAGTTTACATCTAAAAAAAAAAAAAAAAAATCTAACCTAAAACAATTCTCCTGGCCTTCGTCTTAAATGTATCCAGAGATAAACCAAAGAACTCAAGGCCCTCACAGAACTTATTTACATTGGCAGATATTCTATTCACAGGACTGAATAGTAGGTACCAGGTTCGACAGTAAGGAATGTGCAGTAAAGATTTACTTCGTGTCTGATAACTTTGAATGTGTAGATTAAAACATTCAAGACATTCGTGGCTTTTTATGTAGTAGTTAAGAATTTTAAATGCAAAACAGACATCAAAATATTCCCTTCTGCGAACAAGAGTAGATAAGTCTAAATAAGTCATAGTCAGGTCATCACTGAGAATTACACCACTCAAAGAAAGTTTGTACCTTGCAAACTTAATAAATTTGTGTTGAACACTCTCAAGCCTATTGATGTGGATCTGATAGTAAGGTGACCAAACTATGCATGAAAATTCAAGAACGGACCTGACCAGTGATGTGTAAAGAATTTTGATAGGGCGTATACTTGTAAAGTCCCTAGTAGCTCTCTTAATAAACCCCAACATTTTATTAGCCCTGCCAATTACCACTTCAAAATGCTCAGTGAACATTAGCCTAGTATCTAGATAGACACCAAGATCTTTAATGATAGAAACTTCAGACAAGCGAACATTGTTTAAGTAATACTGCAAGGGAACACTATGGGTGCGTCTACTGAATCTTATACAACAGCACTTATCGATGTTGAGGGACATGTAATTAAGCTGACACCAATCGTGAACGATGTTAAGATCATTTTGCAAAATAAGTATGTCTTGAGTTGACGTCACCTGACGATACAACTTCAAGTCATCAGCAAAAAGTAAAAAATTTGACGAGAGCAACGATCCTAAATCGTTGATAAATAAGCTGAATAGAAGGGGGCCCAAGTGAGAACCTTGGGGTACCCCAGAGGATGCATGGAAAAGAGAAGAAAGATAGCCATCGATCTTGACTTGTTGCATTCTGTTAGTAAGGTATGATTTCATCCATGAAAATAAATGTCCAGAAACGCCGAAACTTGAAAGCTTTGAAAGAAGGATGTTGTGATTTACCTTATCAAAGGCTTTACTGAAGTCAGTATATATTGCATGAGTTTCTGCATTATTAGCAAATGATGAATTTATGAATGTTGTAAAGAGAAACAGGTTCGTCTCAACGGATCTACCGGCTGTAAAACCGTGCTGTTGACTGATCACAATCTGATGAAATATTTTTGAAAGAATTCCTTCCACGCACTGCTCAAATAATTTTGGAATCGCAGACAGAATGCTGATGGGTCTGTAATTTATTACATCATTTTTGCTGCCTGACTTGTAAATAGGACAAACGTAGGAGAGCTTCCACATTTCTGGAAAAATTCCAGAAGATAATGATTTGTTGAAAATATTAAACAGAGGAAGATACAAAGTGTTAGAACAAGATTTTAGTACTTTGTTGGGAATACCATCAGGTCCTGCAGACTTGTTGATGTCCAATTGCGTTAAAGCCCTCTCAATATCTGTTGGATCTATGACAATGCTTGAAACATTCTCAAATCGATCAGCAAAGGTTCCAGCGTCGGAATTTCTCTGAGGGTTATAGACGGAGGAGAAATAGACAGCAAAAAGATTAGCTATGTCAACACCGTTGGACGCCTTTTCTGAGGCAAGAAACATTTCGTTAGGAATAGTACCCTGATTAGATTGGGAGTGAATAAAGTTCCAAAAAATTTTCATATTGGTGCCTATGGCTCTTTCAGTATCACTTATGTATAATTTATAGCACTCTTTGGTGAGGTTTTTACAATCTCGCCGAAGTGTACTAAATGCAAAGTAATCCAAACCTCTATTCGACCGCTTGAATCGTCTGTGAGCAATTTTCTTTTGAAAAATCAGATTTTTCAATTCGTTAGAGAACCAGATAGGAAATTTCTCGCTGTAAGAATGTGCCTTTATTGGAACAAACATATTAAAGCAGTCGAACAGTACCAAGTAAAAGCTCTTAACAGTTTCGTTTAGATCGTCCATCATAATGGATCGCCAATCAAAGGAAAGAAAATATTCATTAACCAAATCAAAATTGGCATTTTTAAAGTCATAAGAAAAATAATTAAGAGGCTTCAGAAATTTAGCTTTAACAACAGGTATGGAAAACTCTACAGCTGGGTGATAACGATCACATCCCACCAGACCGTCAGATGTTACAAGTGAAATAGGCCCAAAGTTGGCAAAACATAGATCCAGGATTGAACCATGATCGTTAGCCACCCCATTGTATTGAGACAGATTAAGAGAAGCAGTACTATCGCATAACAATATTTCCTTAGTTGTCCTTAAATTTCCAGGTAATAAACCCGAGAGATCCTCACTAGTGGACCACGTTATTTGGGAAAGATTATAATCTCCAAGAACAAGCACATTATCAAACATTTCACAGGCACTAGCAACTGATTTCAAATGGTTTTCATAATGGAGCACATCCATGGTAGGTGGAATGTAGACACAGCCAATACAGAAGACCATGTCACCCAGCGTAACAGACACCCACGTTTCCTCGACCGATGCTTCACCAATTGACAGGCGATGAGATTTTAGGCAATTATTTACTGCCAAAAGGACCCCACCTCCACGGCTTTTAGTACTGTTCAGACTGCTTCTATCAGAGCGATAAACCGTGTAACGCGAGTCAAGAAATTCGGCATCACAGATACTACAGTCTAGCCAGGTTTCCGTAAGTGCAATAACTGAGAAAGACTCGGCGCGAGCCGCACAGAAAGCATCTTTGAGTTTGGTTTTTAAGCCTCTTACATTTTGGTAGAGAAAGGAAGCACAATCTAACGAGACTGGTCCTCTCTGTCTCCTCTCTGAAAATTTGCATTGGACGGTTTTGCCCCCATACGACGAGGATGAAACTCCTTGACAGCAATGCCTACTGGCCAGAGGTTAGGATCCAGCAGGCCCTTCAAAAGTGATTCTTTAACCCCAATTTTAAATGAAACCACATCTTCATTTTTGTCCAACACCAAGCATTTGACATCAGGAATGGAGAGCTGATTCTTCAAATAGTTAGAGATCTGTTCCTCAGTGGTACTCGGATCACATCGACCCAGATATAGCCACTGGCGTCTCTCACCTGCAGAAAAAAGACCTCCATCAGCACCTGTGCCAATTAATACAGGATTATTACTTGAGCGGTCCGATACTCTCACAGGATTAGGCACTGATTGGCGCTCTATGCTGCGGATCGGTCGCTGGGACTTTTGCTGTCCAGCTAGTTGCAGGCTATTAGATGACTGAAAGCTTCTTGATTCATTCCTGATGGGTACCGCCCGCAGATTAGGAGGGAACTGAGATGGGGTTTGCGAAGAACCTGAGCAGCTTGATGCAGTTTTCATAGAATTCAGGGTTGCAGTAAGCAGCTGGAACTCATTCTCAAGTTTGAGTAACTTTTTCTGTAAATCTTTGTTACTTTGTTCCAGTTCCCTTAGCTTCATATCATAAACAGCAGATGCCGCTGAGTTGGGCATGATAACGCTAGTATTGTCTATTTCCGAAAGATTATTAACTGCAGAAGTGATTGGTTTTTCCAGTGAAGAAAGAGTGGCTTTGATTACACCAACTTTGGTTGGTCTGATTGAGGAGTGTAATTGAGTTTTTGCGCATATCACTAAATGGTCGCTTAAACCAAGAGGTGGATCACATTTCAGATCATAAATTGTTTTCTTGTTAGATCCAATAGTGATTCTTCTTCATTCCGTACTCTCGTATTGAAATTTACCGGTACTTGAAACCCTTTTTCTGAACGATAAAAACCACTTTTTCCCAAAAATAATTATCTCATGTTGTAGCTTATGGCTTGTTACACCGTTTACACTAAGAAAATTTTCAAAAACTGCGATAGTTTTTCCGATGATTTAGGAATTTTTACGACCGATTTTATAGCGCGTTGTACCGGCGCATTCGCCAAATGATCTATAAATTGTAAATTTGATGGAATGTGGTATACTATTCACAAAATCTGAAGTAGGTACTTTAGAAACAAGGATCAAAAGTGAGAGAATCCATTCATCTTTCGTCGGTTTCAAAAACTATACAACTTACCTCTTGTTCTGGAGCAGACAAATTGCTTGTATCTGTTCCAGTGTCCGTGATGGTGATGTTTGAATCTTCTGGTACGTTGGCGATTTCCAGTTGGGCGCGATATTGCTGCTGACCAAAGTGGACTTTATTTGAGATATCTTTTCAAAAACTTTACAGCTTACCTCTTGTTCTAGAGCACACAAATTGCTTGTATCCGTTCCAGTGTCTGTGATGGTGGTGGTTGAATCTTCTTGTGTGGTGATTTCTAGTTCGACACGATATTGCTGCTGACGAAAGTGAACTTAGTTTGACATATCTCTTCAAAAACTATACAGCTTACCTCTTGTTCTGGAGCAGACAAATTGCTTGTATCTGTTTCATTGTCTGTGATGGTATTGGTTGAATCTTCTCGTACGTTGGTGATTTCCGCTTCGACATGATATTGCTGTTGACAAAAGTGAACTTAGTTTGACATATCTTTTCAAAAACTATACAGCTTACCTCTTGTTCTGGAGCAGACAAATTGCTAGAATCCGTTCCATTATCTGTGATGGTCATAATCTAGAAATGAGTTATCATTATTCACATAATCTTGACTAGTTTAGAATGACGATCAAAAAGTAAGATAACCCAATAATCTTACCTCTTGTTAGAAAGATTTTTACAGGTAACCTCTGTTTTACCTCTGTTTTACCTCTGTGCTTACCTCTGTTTCTTTAATATTTAAGTTGATTGGTTCCTGTTCTACTTTCTCCACAATATAAGACAGATCTGTGCTTGTGTCTTCTGTTTCACTGTTTTTTCCCTGTTTCACTTTTTCAGAAGTAGAATCAGTACACCCGCTATTGATAACCTCTCTTTCTTTGTTAACTTTTTGTGACTTCAAAAAATCTTCTCTAAAGTTATTATTTTTGCTTGAGTCATCATTTGAGTCTCGGTCTGTGGATCGTCTATCATACATTTTGTCCTTTAAGGAGTAATGATCATCTGTGACCTTCTTTCCTTCTTTTTTATCTGATTTACTGTTATCAGTTTCCTTTACTTTGCCAGAAGATTTCAAGTCTCCACCACTTTTTTTCTCCTTATTTTTAGAAGTGGAGCTTGATCTACTTCTATCCTTCGATTTATCCAAGTAATGCTGTTTGTGGGGACATGTAGAAGAATGTTTATTTTTGTGGGAAGACTCTTTGTTTTTTCCAGAAGATGATTTTTCTTTTGCACTATTTTTGTTGTCATTGGTATCTTTTTTACCAGAACTTGACAGGCTTTTATGCTTAATTGAGCTGCTTCCTGCTCTATCTTGTGCATCTTTGTCTATTGATTTTGATTTAGGATGCATCTCTTTCTGTGACAATTTTTCTTTATCAGACTTTTCTTTATCACATTTTTTCTTATCTTTTGTCGACTTTTCTCCATGTTTTTCAAATTTTAAAGTATCTTTGGTTGACTTTTCTCTCTGTTTTTCAGATTTTTCTTTACTTGACTTAATTTTGTCTGGTCTCTCTTTTCCTTTAACAGATGATTCTTTATCTTTATCTGGTAATTTTTTATCTTTGATCAAATGTTCTTTTTCTTTGTGTGGTCTCTCTTTATCTGGTTTTTCTTTCGGTTTATCAATTTTTTCACTTTTGCTATCTGATTTGTCTCTATTTTCTTTTGGTTTTTGGTCAGCCTTGTCTATGTTCTTGTCCCGTTCCTTGCCATCCGTTTTGGAAGACTCCCTATTTTCAGAATGTTTCCTAACATGTTTCTCAACTGACTTATTTTTATTCTCTGACTTTCCAGATTGGCGATGACGATGGCTTTTGCATTTGTCTTAAACGATAAAATACAGAAAATTTACAATCCAGAATTAAAAAAAAAAGCTCACCCTTATCATCCTTTCTTTCTAAATGACCTTTGTGTTTATCATTGGATGTTTTGGAGTCGGACTTCCTTTTCGCGCTATTGTTGTCATTTTTCTCTTTACCTCCTTTCTCAGCATTGATATTAGCGTCATCTGTCCCTGACATATTTTTAACTTCAGAAATTTCCATTTTTGTATTTCGCTCAGATGCAACAAAATAACGTTTTGTAGAGGAACTATTGGAATCATCCTGGCTGTCGAGTCCAGATACATCTGAGCCTATACCGTCTACTTTAGTTGACATAGTATTTTCAGTAGCATCAGCATCATGAGGACTCCCAGCTTTACGTGTTGATGCAAGTTCCGGACTTTTCTCTATCTCTGTAGATTTTTTATTTATCTCAGATCTATTACGTGATGGATGACCTGAAAAACAAAACTTGTTTATGAACTAGGTTTATGAAAATATGGTGTGTTTATTACCATTTGATGAATCTGATGATACAGCTTTCAAATCTTTTGGCAATAAATTTTTATCTTTAGACTTATCTTGTTCTTTTTGAGGTTTTGCCTCAGGTTTTGCAGGTGTTGGGTTTTCTATTCCCAAGTGCTTATAAACTACTTCCTCCACTTTGGCACCAAGTACTGTGTTAATTTTGGAAACAACTAGTTGTTCCACTATTCTTTCTACACCGCTGTCCAATATCTTAGAGCTGAAAAAAACATAAGTTTTGCACTAAAAATTATAGATACAATATGTGCACATTGGCTTGCTATTCCATTTCCAGAAATGGAATAACAATGAAGAATGTAGGTAAATATGAAATAATAAACGTTCACAGCAGTCCTAATGCAAAATAAAGAGGAATTTTGCAAGTATGCAATTGGAAAGACGTCTATTTGGTGATAATAATTCCAAGTGTGAAACTTCCAAAATGTAATCAATCTGGTGATTGGTCAATATAAAAAGCTGAAGTTCTATAGCTAGAAAGTACTCAATCGATGAAATTTTATTGCTCAAAGTCAATTAAGTCAAAAAGCAACCTGTCGAGATTGTTTCAATTGTTGCTAGGACGTAAAGAGTCAACACCAAAAGATAAAATCATGATTGAGAATTAGACAACTGGCTTACCTGATCTGAAAAAATCAAGGGAATAGTAATATTAGTGAAACACAAAAATTCCACTAAAATCATACTCTTTACATATCAAAAACAATGATTGGTCTTCAAATGTACTGATGTTTCTAATAAGTATGACTAGATGGTCCATGACATTGTGATGTTCCTGAATCCGAGTTTCCTCTAAGTTGGGGAAAAACCGCCTTTCGTATCTGTCGAAGGGCCATTTTTTAATATAAATTTTTCTCATAATGAAACAACAATTCCATTTCAGTATAAACCAGGTTTTAGAGAATCAGAACTTCGAAATTCCAAGCAACTCAATCCAGGTGTGTTATTATAATACAAACATAGCTGACAGTGTTGAAATTCTAACTCCTTCAATAAACAGTGGAACATATTGTAAATTAGTCTTGACTAAATAAAGGATTTATATATATATATATATATTATTATTATATTCCCTCGACAATAACAACAGTCATCCATCATAAATGAAATGGTACCTTTACAAGCACACAACTTAATGAATCAGCATATTATACTCTAGTAATCTAAGAATAACTTGGCAAAGATTGTATACCTGGTGAACAATAACTTTGAAATATTAAATATTGAACAAATTACCTCATTGCAAAACCAGCACCTTTCCAAAGAATTCTCATTACCACAAATTCATGAGGCATTTTGCAAAATTGACAAAACCAACATCGAGACCAACATCTTGTTTGGTAAAAAGACAAAAAATTATACACAATACGGAATTTAGTGGTAGTTTTGAAGCTTGTAACAAAGTATCATTAAATAACCATTTTTGCTGACAACATATACATCAAACTATGCAATTGGAACCATTTTACCTCAAGGTCACAATTTGATCCAGACATTTACTTTTCTCATTTCTGTGTTTCATTAAATTATTTTTGTTTCTGATTCAAAAATATAATTATTCAGTCCAGGAGAAATTTTTTGCTTTGAAAAATACTTTATCGGCTGTCAGGCTAGCTTGATTTCAAGTTGGCACTGATGCTATTTTCTTGAAAGTTTCAAACGCAAAAACCTCGGCAAAAACATTAAAAATACTTATGTAGTGACGTCAAATTCCAAGAACATTCAAAAGCCGCAAACATTCTCAGAAACTTACGAGGAATATTGGAAACTTATGGAAATAATGTTTTTGTTTTATATAGCAGAGTAAATCAAACAAATCAGTAGTAAGCTTTATTTATTATTGTAGTGTACTGACTATAGACTAATTAATAAAAACATAGAGAAAAACACTTAAATAACAGCTAAAAATAAAACTAGTAAAAATACTTTTATGGCTGTGTGAGGACAGGCAACATCGTCCACATAAATTGAAATGACGTAATTGAGACCTTGTATTTTCAATAATTTCGCATGTGTTTAAAATTCTCCTAGAACGTTCTAGGAAATATTCTTGAAAGTTCTCAGAGATATTTTAAGAATTTTCAATTGAAAGTTCACTTAAAAGAAATCAAAATACAATTGGTTTTTTGAAAACTGCACATACAGGTTTTTTATACACTTAGGTGCACATCATCCTTGAAAAAATCTAAAAAGTCAGGATAGGAAGCCGTACAGGTTAGCAGTTTTTTCCCCAAATTTTTTCAGCCTGAAATTAATAAAGGTACCTAGCTTTCTGTTAACAGAGCAAGAAACCCTACATTCTATTGTCACGATTCTGCGCAAAATCGAAAATTTGTATGTAGAATTTTAAATTTATATACAAAACCGTTGATGGCACGGTTTTTCAGACATGTTTAGAAGCAGACAGACAGAAAACTCTAAAAATCTAACCTAAAAATGTATCTAAAATTTGTTGATGGGAATGGCACTGGTAGAGTTTATATTGTTTTTGAATGGTCACAGGAATGGAATGGGGAACAGGATACAGTATAAATCAGGCTTTATTAACACTCGAACAAATATACATGATTTGTGCTGTTCAAAATACAAAGGTACTTACTCAGTAATATGTTTCCGAAGCAGTTCTCTTAACTGGATCTTATTCAAATCTGCTGAAAATGTAATATCATCCAGGAAACTCATTACATTGCTTTCGACTCGGAGTTTCAAATTTCGATAAGCTGGTTTCATGTCAGCATCTGATACGCATTCTCTCCGAAACTGGTCATACAGGCCTTGAGATTTTATGTCAGAAATGACTTCCTCAGTCAGCCTTGACTGATCGATAGGCCCCTGTCCCGGTAGAAAATGCCCTGGTCCCTGCGGTGGCATGAAAGTACCTGGTCCATGTCCTTGCATATAATGGCCAAAATTTCCCTGTCCTGCGGGAGGCGGGTAGTTAGGCGGGCCCGGTATTGCATGGTAACTATTTTGTCCTTGCATAGGTGGAAAATTCCCTTGCATGAAACCACCAGGTCCCTGTCTTTGAACAGGTAGATAAGGACCATTTCCCTGCCCCATCATGTAAGTCGGCATCATGTTCATTTCTGTGGCGGTTTGGGGTCTCTAACCCTTGCCCTGGTAACAAACGTTAGTAATAGGATATTGAAATATTTGCAGTTGATATTTTTTAATTATTTTATATGCATAAAATATATAGAAAAAATTAAATTTATCTGCCACCGACATTATTTTCAGTATGACATACGAAAAACATCATGACAACTTTGACAAGCGACATGGAAGAAAACACATGCAGGGCAGTGCAGTGTTGCTCTGACCTCGACTCTGATCAATATTCGTTTCTCCTCTCTATTGATTTTGATAAGAGAGACGAAGACAGGGCCCGGATCACGAACCCACGATTCGATAGTATAGGCACTGTAGTATCGTCTATTGTAATTATGGACGATCGAATCGGGGGTTCGCAATACCCGAACCTTAACCCGAACGCCTGTAGTGCGAATGGAGTCACTCGGAGTGCACGGAGTGAGCAAGCCGAACCCACCTAGAATTGACCAGCCCGGGCACTGATAAAAGAAACTAATCAGAAGACAACTTAACCTCAATGCAAATTCAATATGGCGGCAGCGGTCAAGGGGTCAAGTCTCTGTCATCTGTGATGTGTTTGTAAACTACGTTTTATTGATTTTTTTTGCTCTAAATTGCGGTTTTTGAATGGTGTAAAGTATGTATTTTTTAGAAAATGCCTGCGATATGAATTGCAGTTGGTTGTGGAAACCCTTCTTATCGTGATAGTCTCGTTTTATTTCGTTCCTGCAAAGACAAAACACAGGTTTTTAACGTAGTGGAACGATTTGTTTTGGGGCGTATTAGGTATGCTTTCTACTAGGCAGAACTACCCAAGTTTTTTGATTGAATTGTATCAGCTATTCCATTTTTTGTTCACTTAAAATCATTTTTATTCCTTCAAAGCTGTTTAAATGATACAATTATTGTATTTTAGCAACAAGTCTCATCAGTTTCATTAGAACAAAAACATCATGAATAATTGAAATACTACAGGAACAGAAAAATTATGTCCTGTAGATAATTCATAATAATTTATTAGTAGTTATAGTTTTTGATGAATTACAAAGCAAAGCTTTAAATTCATGAAGATACTAGATATTCTATTTTTGATATATAAATTATAATAAAAATAATCGTTTATTTGGAAAAAGACAATACTACAACAAATTTGGCATACAAAAAGACTTAAATCAACTTATTGCTTACTTCTAGTAAGGCTATACCTATTATTAACAAAAACAGAAGAGAACCTTAACTTGATTCCTCTAATAAATAATTTCTTGATAATTTTTTTGTTTTATTTAAACAACCCGTTTCTATTTTCTTAGGTAATAAGTTATACAATGACAAACCCTTATTGAACAAGCCATTGAATTATTTCTTACCATACATGGATGAAAATTGTACTGATTACTGGTATAATAACTGTGGATTTCATTATTTCTCTTCAAAAAATCCATATTTACAGGAGAAGTTTATGGTCTATTTTATAAATGAAAAGTAAAAGCTGATATTTGAAACTACACAGTTAACGCCAAGCCAATTTAAAGATGTTAGGATATTTTCAATTGGTTCATACTGCCTGCAAATTAGGATAGCTATCATTGCTCTATTTTGAAGCACTTATAATTCATTTATATCATAGTGTAGGCAAATCAGACAAAAATTTGGACGAACCCGGACATTTGAAATACCAATCTGAAAATTGGTAGAAATGTTACTGATAAAGTCTTTATTGAATTCCCAAAAAATCTATCTTGGGGAAAATCCGCTATCTGAGAAAAACTAGCCCCGTATTGGAGTATTTGAATTTCAAGCATAGCGAGTGATGAACCGAGCGTCCGATTTCATTTGTTTTGGTCAGATTTACAGGTAAATGAACCTTTTTCTGTCTATTTCTGTCTGATTTCTTTTTGTTTTTGATCGTTGCTTGCTCATGTGTCTATTTATCTATTGTATATTCTCTGTTTAATTTTCTTCCCTAGCACTTTGTGTGTCTTTGCTAATCGTCTGTGGTTGTGTCTGTGACTGCTATGTTAGCCCATTTGTTTATTTTTGTCACTTATTTGTTTGTCATAGGTTGTTGCGTTCAATATCGCCAAGAGCCTGCTATGACTAGCAATTGGTCGGCTGTGTATATGCTTGCGGGTCAACTACTATCTCGTTGCTGGTTCTTTGCCACTCCTCGTTTGCGGCGCCTTTGTTCTTAAATCAGCCTTGCATGACTACTGTCCATAGCGTTGGTTCTAGACTAGGACCCCTGCGGTTAGCTCTGTATTGTCATTGTCCTGGTTATTGTTCCTGCTTTCATAATATGTATGTCTTCATGAAGTTCTCGCAGATGCGTCCGAGGTTGCCTGGTGTGCTTGCAATTTCCAGTTCCTCGCTCACATTTCGCCCCAATGCCGAGTTGAAAGCATTTTTGAGATCTAGGCCCACAAGCAGCTGCTGTGAGCCCCCCTTCCTATTTCTGTCTATAGTCCTGTTCAACTGGTGAAGCGCTTCAACCGTTACCGTCACTTCTCTGAAGCCGTACCGTCTTTGATTTATATTGCTTGTTCTCTCCAGCTGAAGTTGTTGTCTTTTGTTGAGCATTTTGTCTGGTATCTTTCCCAACATATGCCTTATGTCTGTATTTCACGCATTGTGTTTTCGTTTATAGCATTTAAATAAATATTATTCTTTCTCGAGCACCAAATTTGTTCTATATTTATAAATTTTAGTATTTTAGCAGCCTAATTAAAGTAATTTGGTGCAAAAACGGATATAACCTGATGATCGGTTCAGTTGCTGTGCTTAAAACTCGACAAATCCAAGATTGCAGTGTTCTTTCAAAATGGCCGATTTTCCTCAAGATGGATTTTTTGGGAATTTTGGGATATCAATCAGAACACTATACTCAACATTTTCACCAATATTTACCTTGTTATTTTAAATGTCCGGGTCAATGTCGTATTTTCCTGTACTAATCATTCTCACGTCCAAAATAAAGCAACGATCCACAGTAATCAAAATGTGGTTTTATGATACAATTAAAAATTAACTTCTTTGTTTTAAATGACATTCTGTGCCTACCTTAACAAGAGAAAAAAAAAACAACTTTTTCAAATACCTAGAACACAGACAGAGATGTTCATATCTTTTAGGTGCTACAAAATTAATTTTGTTTACTATTACCTAATTTGATTAAGGGCCGGTTTATTCACCTTCTGATAAATTGTCAGGTATGCAATCTGACGGATAAAAACGTACTCTGTAATCTTATTGGTCGGACAGTTATTCCCGACCAATAGGATAATAGAACGATAAATTTATCCTGCAGATAGTTACCAGCAAGTTTATCTGGAGATGAATAAATCGGGCCTAAGATTTTAATTTTATAAACTTCTCGTGGACCTTATGATCACTTTTACTTAGTCAGGTTAAGCTTTAATAATTTATCATTAATCATTAATCTACCAAGCACGTAACAACTTTAGTTCACGATTGACATGTTAATCCCAACAGACTGATCATTATCCTTCATATGCCTCCATGTTGTAATAAAAACTGTAGGATTTTTATCGTTGTCTAGGGGTATTTTGGGGCAAGCAGAAAATCAAACGTAACGGTCCATTGAAAATATAAGGAATTTTAATAATATTTACGAAGAATAGATAGATTAGATGGTAGATAAATACGTCATTGATAAATATACAATTGGCACGGAAAATCACAATAACAACTTCACAACTAAGTATAGGTACGTCTTCACGACCACGTCTTGGTCGTTTTACGGGTTTAGAAATATACGTCTTGATAATTAATTGAACGTCGCGTCTTAAATTTACCCCGTCTAGGAAAAATCTGGCGGCCGTCTTCCGCCTTCAGCGTTCAATTAACGATTGACCCCTCTTTTTAATATTATTCGTTCGTGGCTACTTCCCCACTGGCGCCGTGCCATTCGGTGCCACCCTGTTACCGTCGCGAGTCGCTCCCGCTCGTATCTTTTATCCTCTTCTATCAACCTATATAGAGATATTCCCTTTTCGTCGCCCTGTTGCTACCCTGAGATCCAGCGCGCCTCGCCTATTCAACCGTGACGGTACAGTCTATGTAAAAATAAATAGGGACAGTCGGAAGAGAATTATTTGGAGAAATGAAGAAATATAATATTTACATAATTACAAACGGAAAAAAATACTTATACCTATAAATACAAACACAGATACCGATTAGGTTTCGTACCCTACAAAACTGTACAATAGACTCACATACATGATTTTTTTTTAAACCTGATTGATATTTATTTATTATTTTATGTTCTGTAAAATAATCTAATCACTGTTCAATTAATTTTTCTACTGTCGGAAGCATATTGATAGGGCGATAATGTTCTGGTCCCTTAGGGATTTGTGCGAGGGGTAAACCACTAATGGAAATATAATCATTGTATATTTTTCTGGGAATCATATAGTATTCAATCAGGAATACATGGAAATCACTTGGGAGTCCCTGGGAATAACCTGGGAATCGCTAGGAATGTCCTAGGACTCCATGGGAATCACTTAGGAACCATTGGCAATCGCTGAGAATCATGTGGTAATCGCTGGGAATATCATCTCATTCTAATCCAGAAATCGCATATCATACATTTCATATGATACCTACAGCGTACCTGTCAGTTGTGCTTTTGCAGACTAAGTTTTAGGCAACATTGAGTCCTAGACAATTTGAAATTGATTTGATATCCTAACCAGTTTCTTAATAAATGAGAAATGAGCCAATAATTGAACCCGGCGAGATTACGAAGAGACCGAAGAGTTAATAACTTAAAGAAGAAGAAGAACAAGATGAAGATTAGACCTGTTTTTACAGAAATCACAAACCAGTCAGAGCGTTTTTGATTGGTGCAAATCGCCAACAACCAGTTTTCTGATTATTTTCAACCAATGCAATTCGCTCTGACTGGTTTGTGATTTCTGTGAGAACAGACCTAAAGTATGACAATGTTGTAGATCATAAACATGAAAACATGAATCTTGAAACCTCTCTCGAATCTAACTTGCCAAAAGCAGACACAGAATTTCTTCACACATCAGGGTTTACCAATTGCGATTTGCTACAATTAAGAGATTATTCAAGGCTCAACTTTAAGTTGGTTCTTTTCAGAGAAGCAGGGACGTTTGTCTTTCGAGTATTAAGAGCTATGGGAATGTCCCTGAGAAAGATACAAAAAAAAAAGTCGGGAATCCAAGGCAATAAGAACTTGAAAAGTGAAAGTAGAATAAATACTAATACCAGGCAGGGCGAGAAGCAGAGACGATAGCACATCAGAATCAGAAATAAGTTTGTCGAGTGAAACCCTAACTGAAGATATCTCTGATTCAGATGAACATCCGAGTGAACATCCTAGTGAAATCAAAGAAATATCCATTATTTTAGATCCATATTATGCGGTGTAGACACGTAATGGTATCTACTGCTCAACAACTATTTATACCTACAACAAAATCGATGTGGTGTGGACAACCATGAAAATAAAAGTTGCTAACTTTTGGAAGAGTTACAAATACAGAAGTTGCCACTTTTTCAGTGGAAACGTGTTTTTATAAGAGAAATAACTGTTTATTTTGGTCATATCAATGCGAAGCTTAACAATATTAGACATCGTTTTCGTAGTAAAATCAGCTCGAAATTGGATGATTGTTGGAAATCAGGTAATCAATTGAGAATGATATAGGAATCCTGTGAAAAAATGGAAATCATCTGGTAATCATACAAAAATATCTGAAAATCATTGGCAATCAGCCGCAATTCTTCGGACGGGGATACATGAGATCGAGCATGAGATTCATTGATCAGTGATTGCCTAATATGGAAATAATTGTACATTTGTAAGTATAGTGGCTGCCCCTCAGATTTGTGTTTTTGGAATAGGTTTTATAAAAACAAGGATATTTTTAAACAATGCACAGTAATCGTTTTAGAATCTTGCATGGCATGGAAACAGTTGCAGCAAAAGTTCTTTTGCAATTTTGTTTTCAAATTTATATATTCTATTACTTCAAAGTAACCTACCTATTTACAATGAAACTAATCATGCAGAGCCTTAAACACTGGGCCTCGAGTTTATAATTTTGTATACCGTATATAAAAAGTTATTCTGATGAAGCTAAGAAAATCAAATTATCAAATTATTTGTGCATAAAGTCTATAAAATGTTTAGTACTTTAAAACCTGGACAGAGTTAAAGTTAACTCAGCTGCATGTTCTCCGTACTGGCATTAGGTATGGAGTGTGATAAGAAAAAAGCATTGGCAACAAGCCGTTGTCCAAATTCATTTTTAATTTATTAAAGTAGAGCCAATGGAAATATTATTTCTTCAGGTCAGTAATTAGTTTCAATCAAAGGTTGTATAGGTTACCCAAATAAACTAATACAGTGTCATCGAAATATCTGGCCCCTCAGATTAACACACCTTCTTACCAAATTTCAAAACATAAATAGTTTTAACATTGGCCAAAAAAGGCCCCTAGGGCTAAAAGAATGGAACAAAAGGGAAAATAACATTCCTAGAGCGGAAGATTACTCCAAAATATAGTAATATTGTCATATACATACAAAATATAGTATAAATTGAATTTCAGTCAACTTACATGAAATCCCAGAAAACTTTTTAACAATCCTCGAGCTAGTTTTTGGACAAAATGCACGAATAAACGAATAATTGTGATTGTGAGAAAACACAACCAAAAAACAATTGAAAGTAAACATTCGTAAACAAAACAAATGAAGCACGCAGTAACCTTGGTAACCGTAAACAACATAAAAATTCGACAATCCAAATCCAACCACGTGACCAAAATGATATTTTCAAAATGGCGTGGCGGCCAAGCATATCATTATGCAGAGCCTATATTTGCAGGAACTTTCAAGAAATTATCCTGGCGTTGAAAATATTATCTACAGCTTTTTTGGTTTTTATGTTTTTTTTTCGAAACTACTTGTAGAGTTCATTTGACTACCGTAAAACGGGGATACTTTGTGACAAGGGGGAAACTTTGTGACATTGTAAAATTCGATTCAAATTAGCCAAAGTAAATTCCGCGCGCAGAGCCAAATTTTTCTACGAGCTGGTGGAAGCACATACCTCACTCGCTACAAAAACCGTTCGGCAAGCTGGTACGCTCTCTTGGTAACTTGCAGCCTCATTCGAAGGGAGCATCGAGAATCTCGTTTTTGCAACTTTTTCGAAACGCCCAAACTTTCTACTGGGCCGAGTTCAGAAATAACGCACAGGGTGCGAGTGCGATTTTATGAGTGTGCCTGAATTGACAATTGGCCATTGGGCCCATAGCACTGTCTAGCATTTTTGAACAGCTAGGGCGTCGCACCGGTGTCACACTCACACTGGGTGTGTCATTCCTGAACTCGCCCCTGTACATCAGAATTTGAACACTCCCCAGAAAAATTTGTCAGAATTTCTAATTGCTTGGGTACTTGTTGGGATATCTACGTGAATACGCTTACGATTTATTAATTTGACAAATTTTTTTTAACAATAAACAAAAAAGAGTAACCTACCGGGGTAACTTTGTGACATGCAATTCTTATGGGAGAAACTTATGCTCAACTTAAAACAATGCTAAAAGGATCGACATGTCTCCTAATGTAGACGACTTCCTATGGGAGGAGTTCACATCCCAATTTCTGGATGAATATGAGGGTGATAAATACTATATCGTATGATATACAATAATAGTTTAAAATGTCTAAATCAGTATAAACCCGTGTTTTTAATGTCAGAAAATTATCGAGCATATATTTCTTGACATTTCCTATCGTTTCAGACTAAAAATGACGGGGTTACATTATGTTTTCATTGAAAAAACGCACTGTCACAAAGTTACCCCGCATCACGGGATAAAATTGTGACACTTTCAAATTAAAAAAAAAGCTGAATTATTATTTTTTTCAATTTCCTAGAACTGCCATTTTGTTGCGGAAGAACGGATATACATAGTGTATTTTTTTTAGAATTTTATATGGCAAAGAAATGTTTGAGAATTTCAAAAAACCCCCAAATCTGTCACAAAGTATCCCCGTTTTACGGTATAGTCGAAGATGTTATCTGCAAATTTTTCGGTTTTTATGCTTTTTTTTTCAAACTGTGACTCCGATGTTTGATGGAAAAAGTAAAATAAGTCGAAAATGTTATCCACGACTTTTTTGGATTTAATGTTTTTTCAAAAGCTATGAAATCTGTGGCTATGACTCTACCGTTGGATAAAACAAGTGAAATATTTATATAGTTGAGAATGTTATTTACGACTTTTCCTGTATTCTCATCTTTTTTTTTTCAAACTGCGACTCCAATGTTTGATAGAAAAAGTCAAATATAGTCAAAAATGTTATCTACAACTTTTTTGAATTTCTTCTTTTTTCAAAAACTTGTCTGTTCGATAAAAAAGTTAAATATAGTCGAAAACGTTATCTACGACGTTATTTTCGGTTTCATGTTCATGTTCATCCAATGTTTGATAGAAAAAATGAGAGGCTAATGGGGCGATATGCTTTGGGTCTAAATTTTGAGATTATTCGTGACTCGTGTATCTTCTAAACTGAAGGTGAGCAAAAAAAGCCCTGAAGAGGCAAACATGAATCTACATTTTTTTTTTGAAAATTCTTGGATTTTTTGTCTTTTTTTCTCATAATTTCAGTTTGCTATTACCACCAATATTTTGAAGTTTAGAAATTCCGACGTTTTGAATCAAAACATCAATCCTCGGGTTGTGGTTGAAACAGGAACAAGTCGACGACCACTAATGAAGGGGCAATTTAAAACTTATCACAGCCAGTAGAATGCGAAGCAAGAAGTGATGCCAATGTCCTGCCAAGAGCCTCGAGTTGTACCCGTTGGATAATTTTTTATAGGCATTTCCAAAAAACTGTTTGTTGAGCTAAAATTTAATTTAGAGATAACAATTCTACGAGTCAGAGGAAGAGTACTAGAGTAGGTAATCTAGCGGGCGGTTACCGGCAATCTGCGAAGACGTATGGAAAAATGCAACCAGGGTTATTCGAGCATTTACTTACACGGAAAGAAATTTTGGATACTATTAATCCAGTAGGGTAGTATTACAATCAAATTTTTGATCAATATAGCGTCAATCTAAATTTAGATTAATATCAATAAATGATTCGATTGATTTACTTGTAAAGCTAAAATCTGCTAAAATATATCAAACCATGATAAGTAGCAGCAAATGAGTTCCAATAAATAACAACCAAAATTTGATTATTATTAGCAAAAATAAAATTAAATTTGCCCATGATATTCCTGAATATAATTTATATATTCTTGAATTTAGCTAAGTGTTGAATAGTATCAAGCAATTTTTGGATCAGTTCAAGTTGATTGTAGATAATATTTGCTAAATATATGATTGATTTTAGAAAAAGATATGACGAAAGATAGCAAATTGACAAATAATTAGGATAAAATTTATCAAATAATTTGATTACTACTTGCAATATTTTGATGTTATATATCTAATAATTGAGTGCAACTTATCAAATCTTTTGATTATGTGCATTCAATATTTGATTGCTGGCCAATTGATTTTCCTAATTAGAGATGGTGGTGGGAAAATAGTAACAATAAAATGAGGTTTCGGTTTAATTATTATTTATTCTGCATTCGTTTACAATATTGAATACTAAATTATTATTATCTCCTACTAATTTAACCTGAATAACCTTCTCAAAAGGAATACAATTTATACCTTATAGTTTATAGATAATAAGAAAATAATAACAGCCGTATGCAACATCCTCTTTTAACTTTAAAAGCGACTTTGAAAGTCAATTGCTTAAGAATAATTTTTTTAAAAAGTGACAGAATAGGCTAAAAGTGCTTTTAAAATTAAAAGATGATGTTGCATACGGCTATAAGTCTTTAGTGTAAAAGCAAATTGATCGGCTTACAGGAACCAAATTAAAAATATAAATTTCCTTGTATAAAAAAAAAACACAATTCCAAAACTCCGTAACACCCTATGTTATTAGTAGGTTTTTTTTCAAAAAAAAACAGATGAAATTTTCGTTTCTACTGGAAATTTCAATTTCTCTCCCATAAAGAAACAAATATCACAAATATCACTCACAAAACTCAATAATTTATTATTGCCAGTTAGCACTGCGTGGCACTACGAGTATGGGTGCGAGAGTACGAAAAAATACACAAAGAAAACTTAGACAAGTTTTTCCTGTGGACCGGGTGCGGCGTGCACTCCACATAAACAGGAGAGACGTTCTTCCTCCAACAAAACACCACACACTAAAATATTTTCAAATGAAACATAACTCAAGTAGCCAAAACCGTTAGAAAAACTTATAGGTATTTGCTTGATTTACTCCTTATATTATAGATTAAGCCAAATAATGGCTCGATTCTAGAAGAGTTTTATTAATTTGGTCAAATATTTGATAATCGTAGCAAAAATTGGATAGAAATAGTTATAGATTTGATTGTTTTCAGTTCACTGTTTTTTTCTGTTTTCTAAATGTCAGTAAATTCTATGAATAACTTAATCCAGACAGAAATACATTAATTTAAAATATCATAGATATTAAGCATTTATTTTATTGATCCCATCAAAACCATATAGATCAAAAGTAAATTAATGCCCATATTATTCTGTGTTGAAACCTAAAATATTTTAAATCAATGTACCTAGTAATTCATTCCTAATTGATTTGATTTGGAAATGTATAGATCTGTGAAATATGTAAAAAATTTCACTATGATGCTTGTTGAGATAACTTTGATGGAACCTATTCTACCAGACACTAGGAATCTCAATTTCTCAAATTGATCTTGTTGATAAATCAGATATTATCCTTTAGTTAAACTATTATCAAATACAGCTAAAATAATATAATCTAAGAGTTAATTTGAGCAAATTTCTTGCGAAAATTAATCATAGGAGGTACATCAATTCGATTTTTAATGTTTGATTGATTTAAGAAAAGCGTTTTCTGTAATCAATCGAAATTTTGATGTCCCAAGAAAAAAATTGATGAGATTTAGCAGTTTAAGCATAAAAACAAGAAAATTGTATCTATTGATATTAATTTCAATTTGATGTTATTAATCGTAAGCGAAATTAGCAGATTAATCTTAAAACGCTAATATTTGTCAGTTTTTTTCTTGTTTTATTCCATTTTAGATTAAACTAATTTATTTGGCATAGATTATGGTATTTCTTATTTCAATAAGTCGATTTGATTCATTTTATCAAAGCATTTCTTTCCGTGTAAAAATACCGAAAACTCAGTTTTTGTCACCGAAAAGTTTGAAATATACTATAAACTGCTGACATTGTTTGGGGTATTAGTGTATGAAGTATGTTAAACAAAATAATAAATTAGCTATCATGTCATAATATGTTCCATTATACTGTATGTAATATTTAAATCATGGATGAATGAGCCATTCTGACGCAGAGCCACAAAAAAAAGCAAGCTGGATTTTCATTATGAGCTATGCTACATTATATAAAAAAGAGCTGATTTTACTCACACTTAAGATTTAGGTGACTACCTATTTATTTCAAGAAAAATCTGACGAGTAATAAATCTCATAACAAAGCTATTTTGACAGGTCCGTAATTAATTAGCCCAACTCTAAAATTTCTCTTACGAGGTACTTATTTTATTAGATTATGATTCATTATCTTCCATGATAAGTAAGTAGGGTAGCGATAATGAACATTTATAATCTATCGGATTGATAAGGATTTCTTGTCATCTAACTAAACAATGCATAGATAGGCATTCTTCCAGAGATAAAAATATTATTCCGGGATTATTACTCAGTATTAGATATGATTTAGTAGTGATAAATAATGTTAAAATGGCCACAACAAATAGATTGTACATTTTGGTGGCGTTTGTTTTCTCTTCGGTAGCGGCAATATTTAATATCGTCTCCTTAGGTACCGAATATTGGATTACTGGTACAGCCTTATGGATTAACAGTACCAGCGATACTAGCGAAGTCACTTATGGCTTGTTTCAAGGGATCTATAAAAGAAATGTCGCGTTTCCTTATACGTATGAAATTACAAGTGAGTTATAAATAGTTAGCATTTACTTTAAAAGTAAAATTACAGACGAGGGGGCGACATTTTTATATTCATGTTCCAGTCCCTACGTTAATAAACCTCTAAGTGAGTATGTGATCATATGAATAATAAGCATCAGTCAGTGATTATATTTTTCTAAATGAATCACTAACCTACTCACTCTGTAGAGAGTAGACATCCAAATGAATATGCGCCGAAAAATAGGGTAGTCGAATTCTAATTCTAAAACAAGTATCAGAATTGATACCTATTGAATAAAGGAATAGTACTTTACTATAAGCTACCTACTGGTTTATTTTGTAAGTTAGAATCATCACAGTGTATTGAGGAATGTTACAACAACACAAATTAGACGAACAAAAAAATTTACCAGTATTTCTATGGATGTACTGAGAGTATTTTCTTACTGATTCTATTAATTTCAAAGATTCTAATTGTTTTCTATTCTATTGATTTCAAATACACCTCTCGAACCAAAAAATCAAGATCAGCTGTAGATTTCAAATTATCTCAATTTTTTAGTGACTTGCGACTTCGCAAACAACATTTGCGCCTTACTATGTGGTCTGGACAAAGAGGAAAGAGGAAATTTGTTATCAAGCTTGTATAATAACAGCTACAATCCCAATTATTCGATGGACAATTGTCCAATCATCACCAGAACTAGTTATTACCATAGATCATTCGAAGACCCTGCTGTTTATGTGAGGCAAGGTACTTACGGTAAGTTATTATTTGCTTTTACTTTTTTTTTAAATTAATTTTCATGGAATATTTTTTTTTCAGTTTCGCCAAGTGCATTCATAAATGCCGGAGTTTGGCTCAGTACCCTCATATTTCTTCTTCTGGCTACTATTGTAGGACTTTTGGCAGCCAATTTAGCTCTCTACAATACAGTTGCCAATCCAATAAATTTCTTTTTAGGGTGAGATATTTGCTTATAGTTTTACTTATATGCAATTCTTATTTCATCAAACAATAAATAATGACATTTTAGGGTGAAAAGTCTCTATATCTACAATTCAGTAGCATTTTGTTCCACAGTCATGTACGTAACCTTATGGGGCTCTATGTATATCCAAAAGATTTTTCATAATCTTAGCATATTTGATACACTCGTTGGGAATTTCAATTCTGATAAAACTGCTTTTCTGGGATACTCATATTGGTAAGTGAACATTTTTGAAAATGGGGAATTTACTTCTACCAATCATCATTCGTCTACCATAGTTCCAAGAATATATATATTTTTTATTCTAGGATTAGTTTCATATCAATGGCCTTCTACATAGGAAGCATGGGAATTCTTTATTACAGAGAATATTTAAATGAGCGCGATCCAAGGCAAAAAAGGGTTGCATTGGATACTGAGATGACAGACCCAAATCTCTACTTGTATTAGAATAAAAACTATACAATGTATCAATATTATTATTTTTTTTATAGACCCACTTATTATTCAAGGTAAATCTTTAGGTAAATACCTAATTATTCTCCAACTTATACAATATTTATAAACAGCCATTGTTATACTTCACTTTTTAACCATTAACGTCACAGATAATAATTTCCTGCTGCTATTGTGAAATTGAAAATAATTTTACAGATGAAAGGATCGAGAAACCACAAAACCAATTCGATCTGATTTATTGAGATTTCAAAATTATTTATTGACTGCAGGGAAATTATGAATCCTTCTTGCATATAGCTTCACGGGCCAAGCAAGATTAATTTTCCTTGGAAGTACCTAAGATGTTTTGATATTAGAGTATTGATATGTTGCATAAAGTTGACTAAAACTAGAAGCGACCGCAAAACAAGTTTATGAATAAATTTTCTAGAAAGTTCGAGAATATTTGGTTTGGAAACCGAAAGAATAGTGAGTTTATCACTAGTTTCGACATCGAAAAAACAACTCTAGAGTGATTTTTCTTGAACATTGAGTATCAATAGGTTTCAAAAAATATGCATGGAATATACACTACTACAGGAAACCGTCGAAATGGGGCAATCAAATATTGATGGACAATTATTTGTTATTTTGTGTCTAAAGCAAGTAAATGCAGTACCTACCCAGTATTTTGAATAGTACCATCTAACTTGGAAAAATTATTTAAAAATTTTTTTTTTGTCTACCTTAATCTAAAGCGAAAATTACATTCAGCACAAAAACAAGGAAATATTCTAGTTCCGTCAAAACGACACGAAAAAGTTACACCATGAACATCCTGTATAAATAATAAGTAATAGAGTGTATAGGTGGTAAAATGCATAACCGCGAAATGCACTTTCCCATGGAGTCACGAAAATACACGGAATCGCACGACCTTATCTGACCAGTAGGTACTCGATTTTTTACCTGCTGCGTTGCATTCGAGCTTAACTTACGGGTACCTACCTTCCTTTGAGTACCAACGTGGGTACTGCCTTTCATCTCTTGCTGATCTTAACCCAAATTCCGGGCGCAATTATTTATAGACACGTTTTAAAGTTTAGGTACTTATTTTTCGTATTTTTTTTCTGGTCAAAAAAGTTCGTGTTTGCGAAGTGCTAATAATTTTTTTTTTTTGGGCAAGTGTTAAGTGCGAGGTGAGAACCTTGAAACTTTTTTACAAAACGCTCTTGAATTAAAATGTAGGCCAGAAAAAAATCAAAAAATTATCAACCGTTTATCAAATCGAATTCGATAGTTGCATAGACAAGAAACCAAAAGGACCCATCCAAGGATTTCTGGTTCAGTGATTTTGTGCTTGACCGTTTCAAATTTCAAGCGGAACGTTGTTTAATGGGATAAAAATCCAAGGTTTGTGTTTGTATCGTGCAGGAAGTGTGTAGTTTTTAAATATTCTTGGTTTCTTTAAAATTTCAATTTGATATACTTATGAAGGATAATGTGAATAATTCAAGCAAACAAAGAAAGGTAAGTTATACCGATATTATTAAAGTATATCGTTACCTCTATATAGTAAATTCTTTGCTAGTACACCTTTCATAAAGTCTGTGATAATTACTTTATATGTACCTACTCAAGAAACTGTCCAGCTTATGAAAAATCGCTGTTCGAACATCTCGATTTTGTTTTTTGTCAGAACCAAAGTTTGTTAGAACGAAATTTCATGATTTATGTATTATACTATACAGGGTGTATCAAAATGCCGTTCTTGCACCCATTAACATTGTTTTTTTGAAATAGAAACAACAATTTTTTGTCGATTTTCGGATTTCTTATTACATTTTAACATTTTTGTACTTATACCAACTAATTTTAAGTTATTTCAGTTTGAAGTTTGTAAAAAAATTAAAATTGTGACTGTTTCATGACTATAATTGATCGAAATTTCTTGGATAATTCGAGTTTCGAGAATTATTGAGCTTTTAAAAACCATTATTTTTAAGATGACAGAGAGCAGATTTATTTGATAATTGAAGGAAAAATAATTTTTTATCAATGTTCGACGACGTGCCAACTTCAACTTATCATGCCTACTCAAAACCAGTTGAATTTTTGGTAAAGCACGCTTTAATAAGAAGAATGCTTGTTGGATATAAGTGAAAGAATTGACTAAAATGGAACCCATTTTTGCTCTTGAATTTTTTTCTATCTTGCTTTGTTGCATGTCCTGGATTATTTTCAACAAAATTAAAACTGCTTGAAACTTTCCAAAAATTTACCAAAATGTTGTGAAACTTAATAAGGAAAATGTTGAAATTATTTTTAATTGATCCAATGTACTTTAAACACCTTGCACATACAGGGTGAGTCCCAAATAAGTACGCATTTTGTTATGATAGATAGAATACATAGGACAATCACTTTTTGCATAGGTACATGTGTCCGCAAACGTCTCGTTAAGAAAATACAGAGTGTTGAAATTTTCAGAAAATTTTGCCTTTTACCTTTAGATTCAAAATGCCTTGAGCGATTTTGTTCAAATTTTCAGAGAGTGTTTTCGATATTCCCAAGCATCTTTCTAAAAAATCCGTTTGAGTTCCACTTTTCCAGGGTATGCCTGAGTTCCACTTTTCCAGGGTATGCCGAGTTTTTTCTGTACGATGCGACGTTTTCGAGAAACAAAATAAAAATCAATGTAAGTAGGTATTGTTTGGAAAATCTCGTTGTTCGATACACTCCACTCTGTTAAAAAATAAGAGTCGCTCCAGGTTCGATCCTGGAAAAGTGGACTTAAACGGATTTTTCAGAAAAATGCTTAAGAACATCGCAAACACTGAAAATTTGAACAAAATCGCTTAAGGCATTTTAAATCTAAAGGCATAAAGTCAAAATACTCCAAAAATTTCAACACTCTGTATTCTTTTAATGAAACGTTTGCGAACACATGTATCCATGCAAAAAGTGATTGCCCTACTGTATTCTATACATCATAACCAAATGCGCACTTATTTCGGACTCACCCTGTATTGAAAACCATGTATTCTGGAAAAAAAGTTCATTTGAAAATTTCTTTTGGGCATAAACCTGCATGATACATAGTTTTTGAGCACTTTTAGTTGATGACAAAAAGGTCCATGCGTTTTCTAGAAAGATAATGGCTCGAATAGTGGTTTTTGATTAGGTATAAAAAAAAATCAATTGACACAAAAGACGCGTTTCAGTTACCTAGTGGTTCTGAAGTTGGGCGTGCACAAAATTGAGAGTCTGAAAATGTGAAACATATTTAGAAAAAAAAAAAACATTGTGGGCATCAAAAAACCCTTGGTAGGCGGGGGCGATTAGAAGGGTTACTAATAAAGTTGTGTCGCAAATACCAAAGGGTTGAGAAACGCTGTAAAATAAAATAGAGTTAATAAAAGATTATTTGACAAGCCCTGCAGTGAGAAATAATTTCAATTTTTTTAAATATAAGTACCTAGTAAATTAAAGAAAAAAAATAGAAGATATAAATACCTATAAATATGTTTATGATTTTCCCTATATGGCCTTAAATATCCGGTAGAAATTCTGTAGCTACATTTATTAGAAAAGGAAATTTGAAAATTTCACTAAACCTGTCTTTGATTAATGCATATTATTTAGTTTATGTACAGAAATCAAATACATAGTAAACTTGAGCCTGCACGGATGTAAGACCCTTATAAAACTTACTACTTTTTGACTTTTCCTGTGGCTGTGGAAAAGTGACTGATACTATCACACATATTGAATAAATCACTGGACAAAATAGTATTGAATTTGTCCTGGCCTAAAGAAATACTTAAATATTCTTTTTCTATTCGCAAGTAGAGAAAATATCTTCTAATGTTTTCATTTGCTAGAAATACTTGAAAAAAAATGTAGTACGTTGCAGTGCCAAAGTAATGAAATGTAGATTCAATTATTGAGCATTGCTCAAACCTCCATATTATGTATTATATATCCACAAGTTCACAATATTCCGCTGTAAAACTAATTTTGTGTTCGCAAATGGATGTCGTATAGAAACGTTGATAGGGTAGAAAAATTTCGATTGCCAATTGTTTCTCGCTTTGGGCTTAAGTTCTGCGAATTAGCTAGTTTTCAGTTCAATTTATTTCAAATCAAAATCGTGAAAGCTCATTAATTGTGGCAAGGGAAACTATTGTGCCCCAGGGCTATTTATAGCCCTTTTAGACCTGGTGTATACTGTGGCCTTGTCTGGGTTCTAAAATAAAACTTGCTGAAAATGAGGTACTTTTGGAATTTCTGTATTTTTTTGTGGGAATGTAATCGTACTATTAATTACTGCAATTATTGTAGGTACTAGCTAATAAATGAGAGTATTACTTTTACGAACCAAGTTTCGTAAAGTCAAGGCTTAATAAATAAAGTGTGGCAGTTTTTGTGTACGAGCAAGCGAAACAAGTGGCTGATCTGAAGCTTTATGACTTTAGTTAAACCCCAAGTTGAACCCTTCTGTGGTACCCATTATAATTTGCCTAGCAAAAAAGGTACCTAAAATAAATAAAAATAGGAAAATCCTAGATAATTGATTTGGGCGAAAAGTAGCAGAGTAGTTCATGAAGCAAGAAACCAATATTTTTCGCCCTCATGTCTCATTCAGTCAGTCATCAATCGCCTTGGCCAGTGCCTGCCACATACTTACAAACTAAGCCCCACAAGCACGGAAAATGTTAACTACTTACTGATCTGAAAGCCTTTATTCTTTGAGTGCCATTGAATTCGAAAATGCGACATAAATTTCACTGCAACTTGCAAACATTGTTTTTAATGATTGATAAATACACGTTAATTGAAACTCGGAAACACCCACAAGATTTAAGAATTCTATAATTGAAATAAAATACCTGAATGAACAAAATTATAAATAATGTGTTGTGCAAAGTAAGTTTGGACATGAAAAATAATTAAGTATCGAAAATTTTGTTTTCTTTTTTCTTAAATTTTTTTATTAGGTATTTGATTTGTAACTTAGGTACATTATTTATTTCTTCCTTATTTTTGTAAAAGGAATCTTCTGTAGGCGGACAGTTTTATTTTTTCTAGATGAAAACCATAACAATTTGTGAATCATAACTTTGGTGAAAGCTTTATTTTTCTTTCAAATAGCGGAACTTATCTTAATTTGAAAACGAATTAGCGTCCCGAATTGAAAGAAGAAAAGGGAAAAGTGTGGTGATAATTATTTTTTAATAATCAAAAGCACACTTAGATATCTACGAATGAAAATCAAATTTTACTTAGTAACTTCTTCTATTGTTTGGTAAACTTTAAAAATTATTAACTATTTTTACTGAAATAGTATAGAGTAGGTACCTACATAATTATAACTTATACTCTTGCAAGTATTAACATAGACAGTGGCTACATTATTTTTAACTTTCACGATAATTATCTGCAAAACAAATTTAAGAACAGTTTTAGGATTTACATCATAATCCAAATGTGTCAAATATTGTCAACTTTTACTTTTCTTGAAGAAGATATAAACTTAGTCGAAAACCTGTTTATTTTTACATAATTGAAGATTTTTCATACGTTTCTAAAAATGATGTAATTTAATCGCATAATTATTGACACACTGAATTCTGAATTATATAAATAAATTTTGTTTGTAAAAATTTCAGGTTTGAATATGGTCGACTGCTCCAATTAAGATGATCCAATTAAACTACTCGAGAAAAACACCATAACGAACAAAATGAGCAACTTTTTCAAAAAAGGTTTGGTATTCTGTACTTTTTTTATCTCTTGCGCAGCTGCAGCTTTACTGTTAGCTGCCTTGGGCACAAAACATTGGACAGAAGCAACAGCTAAACGTTCCAAAAATCCATTAGAGAGCGACGGGAGAATTTATTTTGGATTGTTTGAGGGTAGAAAGGAGTTAAATGTTGCTTATGGATGGAGGAATTATGATATAGATGGTAAGAACTTTCATATTATAAAAATAGGATTTTTGCTTTGAGATCTTGCTGCTTTAATTGTTGGCCTGTTTCATATTAATTTCAAGAACATGGTTAAATAAAGCAACAACCAGTAAATGACTTCGCAATATCTGCATACTAAAAAGAAATTGACCATGATTATGTCATTATAAAGGTTAATATTCTAAGGACGTACACTTGTCACAACCACGTAGGTATGTGAGCATAACAAGATGTAAAACGGTACATGAATTAAATTATCCGTTGTATTTAGCGCCCGAACAGGTTGGTGGGTTTTTTCAATTAGTCATGCATGCATTCGATGTAGAAAGCTTGACATCGAGATTTGTTAAATTCTAAAATTAGGAATTCCATATTTTATTTTTGAATACAAGTTTTCTAATCCTGCTTAAAGCGTTGTTTTTTGCATGTTTTGAGACTTTGCCTTTTGGTCGTTTTACATTTCTACCGTTGTTTTTTTTTCGAAATTATACTGTGTCAATTTTAGTAGGTATAGTTTTCCAGTAGTTTTGGTTGCAATCCGGCGGTAATTATTGCGTCAAAATTTTTGTGTGATACTAGAAATCTAGATTGTGTTTCTTCTTCTCTATCGTACAATTCAATTTCAGTCTTTTTTCAAGAAACTTCGTATAAATACTCAAAACTATAGTATACACTGTGAGCCAAATTTATTTGGAACCCCATTTGGCTCTGAATATTTATTCTTAATTTGGCGGATTTTTATGAAATCTTATGTGAATATAAGAGGGTCTTTCCTTAATTGTAGAAAAAACATCTAATCAAAATGTACGGGGGGAGCCGAGTAACAAGCAGTATCATTCCTCTGGGGCTGTTGCGAAATTAAATTTTTCACTGGAAAACTATAAAGTTACTTGAAAATATGGGGGAAAAGGATGACATTATTTAACAAAGTTTTCGAAAAAAATACGTTTTAAATACAAAACACAAAACCATAAGTTTTTCGAAGCATTTTTTCATAGCCTCTTTTCTGATAATTTCTTAATATTTCAAATAATTTAAGTGGTTTTAAAGTGAAAAATTGAATTTTGAAACAGCCCCAAAGGCAATTATTGAAAATGCTGCTTCTTATTTGGCTCCCCCTGTACATTTTGATTAGATATTTTTTCTACAATTAAGGAAAGGCCCCCCTAATATTCACACAAAATGTCACAAAAATCCGCTGAATTAATAGTGAGTTAAACGAATGTTTATTCATGAGAAGAAAGTTTAACCCACAAGCCCTAGCGAGTGGGTTAATTTTCTTCGAATGAATAAACATTTTAACTCACGTGATGCATACAAAATTGTATCCCATTTTGTGGAAATTTAAAAAATAAAGTACAAGGAAAAATGCCAAGAGTGAGTTAAAAATATTTTAAATCACTGAGGTTTCGGATATTTTTAGTTGGGCAGAGTGACTTAAAATGCCGAGAGTGAGTTAAAATGTTTTTAAATTACTGCGGTGATAAACGTCTACTTACCTTTATTGTTATGCGTTTAATAATGATATTTCAAAACGTCAAAATAGGATTAAAAAAAATATATTTACAGCCAAATTGGGTTCCAAATAAATTTGGCCCACAGTGTAGAGCCGTTTCACACGACAAAGTTTTTTAGCGAAATTATTCATGAAATTATTGCCTGAATATTTGCTGAAAGTTTACTTACTATTCTTGGTTTTGCTTTTCACCTGTTTGACACAGCAAATAAAATTTAGCAAAATTTTCATAAATATATTGGCCATACGCAGGCGAAGGCACGTTTTGCCACAGGAAATCCAATGATGGATTCATAAGGTTCAAAGGAAAAGAATGCGCCGAAACTCATGCATTTTCTCGGCCACGCCCACAAAAACTGTAGAACATTTTCTAAAGTTTATTGTCGAAATATTTCGTAAGTTTTTCTTGTTGTGTAAAACAGGAAAAGTTGATTTACGACATATTTCGGCAACAATTTCGTGAAGAAACTTTGCCGTGTAAAACGGTTCGTAGAAACAATAAAATATAACCTTGCTAGTATCATACTGATCTCATAGATGACGCTACGGCCTACAGATGCACGTCTACTTGTTCGATGTTCTGATGACCTGCGAATTGGATCAGAGATTTTTGCTTTCTTGAATAGTTGCTCCCTAGTCAGCATCAAGCAAGGATGCAACTACTCGAGGAAGGTCGCAATTTCTTGAAAATAAAAACATTTTGTAGAAGAGAAGAGAGCTTTGTGTATTTTGTCTTCTCCTCCTCTCTTCTCTCTATCTGCATCTGCACTGCACACAAGAGCCAAGAGCTTGGTGGTGGTAGCGCCAAAACAATTCTAAAAGGTTAAGGCAAGGAGTGCTGCGTTGCCAAATTGACGTTAAAGTATATAGGGCAATCCAACGACAATTCAAAATGGATGCCAATGCCTTTTTATTTAAAAAAAAATCCGTTTTATTGCGATTTTTGATTTGTATAAAGTCAGTAAAGTGTTGATTTTTTGGAAAATGCATACGTTATATATTGTACTTAGTTGTGGGAGCCGTTTTAATCGCGATAAAGTCTAGTTTCATGTCGTTCTTGCAGAGACAAAACATAGCTTTTAACGGAGAAAAATAATTTGTCTGTACTTTGTGAGGGCATCATGATTGTAGCAAAAGAGAAAAAATCATACGAAATCCATATTAAAAAACCAAAAAGTCTCTCCTACATAAATGGTATATACATCCAAGCCATTTACTATCCTCCACATCAGCTTGTGTCGATAACTTGAATAGCAGACAAATAAAATAAACATCAGGAATCAGGATTCAGGATTTGGTTAAGAAAAAACTAAACAGGAAGCAAATCCTGGATAGTACCTACCTAATTGTTAAGTAGGTAAAGGTTTGTCACAAAGAAATCATAACTTTTGCAAACATCCGGGTTTTCCACTAATAATTTCTTAAACTAACAACTTTCCATCTTAAGATACGAAAATTATCCTTCGAAACACTAGAAAATTATCTAAAAACACCACAAAATACACAAAAAAACAGTTTTTTGATGAAAAATGTCACGGTTGTTTGAATTAAATTTATGGCGCCAATTTTTTGGCATTGACCATGCATTGACCGCCATTTTGTTTGGATTGCCCTATTATTTTGTTTGGGTTAGATTTTCCTAACAGGTGCGGACAATGTTTATTGTTCAACGAGTGACGAAAACAGCAGTTTTTAAAATATTTAGGTAATGCAATCAAGGATTAGGATTTTGTTGGGATTTTCGACATTTTTATACAACAATCGTAAACAGGATTGCTCGTCCTAATAAGGCGCCGTACGTTCACCAATTCTTGAGCAGGCAGGGTCTGTGGGTGACGTCTCCACAGCTGCTAATAGTGATGACGTCACCAGCAGACCTTGATGGAAGGCTTGCGATTCAGGCTGTGCTCGTTATTTGATTTTTTCGTCGATTTTAAATGTAGAAAAGGTGATTTTAACAAGATTTTAACGTTTAAGAATTCATTTTTTTGTGTGCTTTAAACTCGAATAATGCATTTTACTCCAAGAGTTGAAGTACCCATGCAGCTAACATAGCCGTTGGCAAACACTTTCAGCTCAATAAGCAGTTTTACTAGGGATTGAAAACAGGATAATCTCTGCCATTTTCTGGATACCTGAAACTAAGATGATCCTTTTTTTTCCTACAAATGTGCGAAAAAAAAACTGTTGGCATGCGCGAAGAGTAATCTTTCCGCACACTTTTGAGAAAAATTGTGTTCCTTAAGCCTAGTACTCATTACAGCGAAATTCGCTCTTTTTCGACATTGCTTCGACAATTTGACGTTTGATTCACGCATAGAACGTCAAATTGTCGAAGGAATGTCAAAAAAGAGCGAATTTCGCTGTTATGAGTACTAGACTTAACACTTGCGAGAAATGGTATTTCCCGCACTTGTTAGAAAAATAACTATTTTTTTCCGAATTTGATATGAAAAAATTTTCCGCCCTGTAGGAGAACAAACGAGTTTCCAGTTCCACTCCAACCAAAAGGCAGTGCTTCAAAATACAAAATTTGTAGTTTCAATTTTATTCAATTTTCAATTTATTCAATCATAAGCAGTATAATCAAATTATGAAAGATTATTATATTCTGTGTCCACTCAAAAGGCCGGGATAATAATAATAAACAACTGGGGCGAGTTCAGGAATGACACACCCAGTGTGAGTGTGACACCGGTGCGACGCCCTAGCTGTTCAAAAATGGTAGACAGTGCTATGGGCCCAATGGCCAATTGTCAATTCAGGCACACTCATAAAATCGCACTCGCACCCTGTGCGTTATTTCTGAACTCGGCCCTGTGGTGGCGTGGCGTGGCGCTGATTCCAGTCCAAACATGAAAATGCCAAAAATTGCAACGTCGCATATAAATTGTTTCGGGGCTACCACCAAGCTCTTGTGCACTGCACCGCAGACTGCAGACGCGTTCGCGAGTGTTGTACGTTGGTAGAGCGATGTAGTTGAAATTCCCCATACAAGCGCGTATAAAAATCCCTAGTTTCAGAGTATATTCGATTTCTACTACGGGGGAATGCCGCAATCGAACCTAAAACCATTTAAAACTGTCAAAAAGTACAAGTAGATGAATGTAAAACATAACAGTTGTATTAGATGACCTCACCTCGATCGTGTTCACTTTCAGTACAAAATATTTTTTTCGTATCTTTTTCAAATGATAATCTTACATAAAGCGGAAAAAATTGGGTTAGGTACCTATTCTGAAAAGAGTTGCCTTAGACTGGGACACTCATTCTAAAAAAACATAGTGGCTCCTCTAAATTTTTTTAGATTTCTCCTGTTGCGCAAAGGTTTGAATTAGAATCTTTGTTGAAAGTTTAAATGAATGCAGTGGCGCAGCCAGGGTGGCGGACAAGGCCCCCCCCCCAAGGCTTCAGAGAAAAATAGAAAAATAATGAAGATGAAGTAGACAAAAGCTGTAAAGTGCTCATATCATAAAAAGCTTATGGGGTGTAAACTAAAAATACGTATTTGGTTTATAATAAGTATGTAAACAAACTCCAAGAACAACATCGAAAACCTCGCCTTTCTGTCGGATATGTCTTTAGTGTTTGCAACAAAACGTAGACGTGACATCACATTCGCGTGTGGATCCCCAACCGATTCTGCTTTTGTGTATGTAGATACCTACTTTGGTTCAGAACCAGGAGCCATTTTGGTTCAGAACCAGGAGCCATATTTCGTTTCAGCTATTTGAGTCAACCCGTATTTAAGTGAGAGTCGTATGATTTTTATAGTCTGAGTCTAGGGTATCCGTGCGGTTGTGACGTCACGCTTCCACAATTATTTTGCAAATATCTCAAAAACCGTCAGGCATAAAATGATGCGGCTTAAAATATTATTCTTAAAATTTGTTATACAGAAATTTTGATTTTTGGTTTATATTACACCCCCTCTAAAGGATAGGTGGTCTGTGTAAACTCCTATAATTTTTTCTGCATGGCTCCCTCCAGACAAAATTTCTGGCTGCGCCACTGAATGACCGTCTTAGCTATTTTAGACAAAATTAAATTTGTTATGTTACTTTTCAATTCTTGGGAAAAATCGTACCTAAGTGTAGTAGGTAAGTAATGTCTCGAATTAAAAATTTACCGGCCTTCAAAACAGAAACATTTAAATAGGTATGTTTTTTTTTTTTTAAATTACATATCTACATCTGATAGACCAACCCTAGAGCTGATTACATAAATATGTATTTTAATTATTGGATTTAATAGATCATCAAAAACAAAAAAACATAAGTACACTAAAATGCGAAAGAACATTTAAAATAAATTAATTTAAAAATCACATAAGAAATAGGTAAAACAATTGTATATTGTTACGTTGTTGTTTGTTGCGTTAGTTGAGTGTGTTTAGTTTAAAGTCGTTAATAATTCCTGATGGAACTAATTCTATTTTGGCATTTCTATGCCTTGCGTAACACATAGCAGAAGGTCGAAAATCGTACTCTATGAAAAAGAAATTTGTATAAACATCTCCATTTCAGGCACATTATCATTTATTCAATCAAACTCCAACTCAAATGCACCGATATTTTTGCTAAAGCAAATCTGGGCATTAACCCTAACAAACTGCATAAATTATGCTCACTACATAACCGTTAAGATAGGTCATTCTAATCGTAATTAAACATGATTTTATTTGCAAAGTCTTTTCGCCGATCCCGTTTCTTTGTTATTATCCAGCCCATTTGAAATTAACGACCTACAATCTTCTCATATTTCATGCTGGTCATTTCATTAACGATTTTTTACTTTACCGCATATCTTTAGCATTGCGCTTACAAATTAAAAAAAATATATTTACAGTTAACAAAACGAGTTATATGTACGGCAAAAGCAGGACAAGTACGAATAACGTCTTTTTATTAAATATGCAGTATTAATTAAATTATTGTATTAGTGTTTTCTGCATTATCTATACTATTAGTCATTACGAAATCAAAAAGTTGAACCATCTTACATCTAACGTATTTTGTTATATATTTTTTTGAAAATCAAAATTTATCCTTGTGGTGCAAATTTCTAGTCATATAAAATAGGTATCTTCTTGACATGAGCAAACAATTTCAAAATTTTAATTGGTTTGTTGGTAGGTGCTAATTTTTTGTCAACAGCATACAAACCAGTCTATATAAGGAATTTTGATTTTTTTTTTCAGTGCTACAAACTATTAAATATGAACCCGAATTCCTAAATTACTGGTTTTGGTTGAGCACAGTCGCAACCCTATGTCTCGGACTTTTAGTGGCCATCATTAGTGCTGTCTTAGCAGTAGTCAATACAGCGACAACTTCTTATAGATGCCTGATAAAGTTATCAGGGTTAATATTTTGGAATTTTTTAATTTGTAGGTATTTTGTACATTACTTTATTATTGAATAACATTTTAATATTTTTTAGCTCTACTTTCACTATGTAGTATTGGATTTTGGTTAGCACAGTTTTATACAAAAATTCAATATAATGTTTTGACCCGAGAAGACAGGAGTAATGAATGGACTTCGGAGGATATGGCTCAGTTGGGCTACTCTTTTTGGTAAGAATACTTACCTGTTGTTTAGGTATTTGAAAACATTGCAAAAACCAATTTTTTGACTGAGATCTGAGAATCTATAATATGATAAATTCTTGGTCTTGGTAGCTACTTACTCACTCGTACATGAAAATTTTAAATGGGAATTGGGATCGAGTAATAACTTATTTTCAATATAATCTGTTCACATTGTTGAAATGTTTAGAAAATCTTTGTAGATCTAAATCTGAATAATTTCTCCTTTTTAGGTTTGTCGTTGGAGCCGCTTGTGCAGGCCTGATAAATATTATCATAATTTCAATAGCAACAAGCGAAAAAGAAACAGAAACCGTTATACCAGTATTAGAAGAGAAAACCAACGGTGCAATTATGTTATATTAAATAATTTTTAAATTTTTTTTTTTTTCGAAAGTCTGCAGATACCCGTTTAGGTATATTATGTATATACAAACCTAGGCCGGATGAGGCCCAATCTTGATTTTGTAAATAGAATAAAAACCGAGGTTTACCAATGTATGTTACATATTAGTTTTAAAATAATAATTGAATCAAGTTTGAAGTAGCTCAGACATCAAAGATTATTGTGTAGAAATCAGGCTATAAATCTGATTTATGTGTACCCAATATTTTGTGTCTGGCAAGTATTAAATTCTTTCAATTATGAGCTCATTCGGCCAAAAACTAATAGATTTTCCTCCCTAAATTACTTAAGTTACTTTTTGTAATTTTGATAACACTGTAAATATTAACAAGCAATTTATTTAAGTATATTTATTTCAAATTTGAGTTAAAACCATTAGAGTTAGGTATGTTAAAATGCTTATTACCCAATACTTGAATGTTGTAATAGTTAAACATCAAACACCAAATAAATAATAAAAAAACTGGAATGTTCAAATAGAAGTATATTTAATTTAGATCAGCAAACAATTCTTTCCTCTGTTTTACATATCTTAATAATCTGAACACTGAGGATGGTGTAACTCCTGGAATTCTACTTGCTGCTGCAATCTACAAAAATATTCCTAAATTGAAAGACAATAAATTCCCAAAAAAACTTACTGTTTGTGGTTGAATTCTCGCCAACTTTTCCCGTTCCTCCATACTTAGACTCAAAGATTCTGAATTATAATCTAGATTTTTTGGTAATAGCAGAGATTCATTCTCTCTGACTTCATTGACCTCCTCAAACTGTTCGGCAGCAGCATGCTCGTACAAAGCTTCAATATGAAGCCTATTCACTATGGACTGATCATAAGTCAACTGTAATAGATCAGGGGCGGCTTTAGCTAATGACCTAATGTCGATTTTTTCATTGTTAATGTCCAACATTTCCCAGGCACTAGAAAAAAATAATAATGAGCTTGCAGCTTTGGTTTTTTTTAGTTTTCAAAATTTACACATTTGTTTGTTAATTTATTGAAACATTTTTGATCCATAAAAAAACCTAATAGATGAGCAATTTGTTCTAACCCAACTACCAAGTGATACACTTCCAGCTTTATTTGATGGGCAAGTTCAATTTTGATTGGAAATGCGACAAATAGGAATGGTGCAAAAAAAATTTTTTTGCCTAATAACCACATAGTCGCTTAGAAGACTAACACATTATTGGTGTGCAATCAATGGGAATTAGATTCCCCAATATATCAGAAGCAGTGCATATGGAGAATGATTTTTCTCAGAAGCTGAAAATGTACGTTTTTTTAGTATTCATGCATACTAGAAGAAAAATTCAGTTTTTCTTCTGTAATATTAGTAGTAAACCTATAGTTATCAGGAGATTTTTGGCGGAATAGATATTGATTATCCTGTAATATCCAGAATAAGTAGGGAGATTTCCCAAAAAACAAAGTAGCAAATAAACTGCTGGACACTCGAACTTTCACATATACAGATTTTTAGATAAAATTCAAAGTTTCATATTTTCGAAACGAATAATTTTTTTTTTATCGCAGTTTGTGGATTCTAATTCTAATAGCCTGTTTTTTCAGGATAAACCTTGCCGTAAATTTCCCATAGGACCATAGGGTTATGCTATTCTGGGCGATAAAATTGAATTATGCCTAAAAATCTGTATGTGTAAGTTCAAGTGACTAGCAGTATAGTTACCCAATTCGTTACCTTACTATCATTCAATGGAAAAAAAAATTATCATAAAATCAAACATGAAAAGGTTGAAACCAAATATATAACTAGATATATGTTTACCTTTTCTTTTCACTACTTCTAGAAGGCGCTGCCCCAATCAATCTTCTCCATTGCGTCACTGGATAACTAATACTTTTTAAAAGTCCAACGCCATATTTCACCTTTTTTTCAACATCCAACATTTTGTGATATCTCTCCTTCGTTACACATCCTGTTTCATAACCCTTTGCTGTTAGTCTCTGATCTGCATTATCAGGCCTCAAAGTTACTCTGTAAATAATATTTTTTGAAAAATTTTAATAAAGAGTTTTGGATTATAAAAACCGAAATTCAGCTCGGCTAGTAAACATTCTATATGGCTCTGTGGTGCCTAGTGTAGTAAGATCATCAACCATAACTCCAATATAGGCATCAGTTCTGTTCAATGTTAATGGTGGTTTGCTATGAACCTATTAAAGTTAATAAATTATTATTGAAAACAAATATTTTAAAAAATAACTATTATCCCGACCTTTGCTGCAGCATTTATTCCAGCTAGTATTCCTTGGGCAGCAGCTTCTTCGTACCCCGTAGTACCATTAATTTGGCCAGCCAAAAATAATCCATTAACCCTTTTCACTTCCAATGACCGATCCAATTCTCTAGGATCAACAAAATCATATTCCACCCCATAGCCTGGTCTAAGTATTTCGGCTTTCTCTAAGGCTGGAATTGAATGCACCAACTGCTCTTGTAAATCTTCTGGTAAGGTACACGATAAGCCATTTGGATAAATAACGTTGCTATTAAGTCCTTCAGGTTCCAACCATAGTTGATGCTCCCTGCCTCCAAATCTCAAAACTTTTGCCTCAATACTGGGACAATATCTAGGGCCAGTTACTTCTTCAAAAACGTGCCGATTTAAATGTATATTTTTTTTAACTATAGTTTCAATCTTATGATTGGTTTTAGTTAAATAGCACACTAATTGATCTTTTGGCTGGAAAAAAAAAACAACATAAAATAACAATCATAAACTGTTAAACTTACGTACATACATCAATCCAAACTGAGTCATTCATAAACGAAAATGGAAGTGGTGGCTTGTCGCCTTCTTGTTGACCACAATTGCCATAGTCAATGGTGTCAGCTTTCAATCTTGGAGGGGTTCCAGTTTTGAGTCTTCCCATTCTGAGATTAAGCATTTTTAATGTGTTAGCAAGACCTATAGCAGGTTGATCTCCAATACGTCCAGCAGGAAAAGTTTTAAGACCAATATTAATTCTGCCATTTAAAAACGTACCAGTCGTAATTACAACACAATTAGATTGTATTCTGGAACCATCGCCTACAAAAATAATTATTAAAACATGTTCATAGGTACTTATACAATCGCGATAATTCTTACTCAATATAATTCCTTTACAATCAACAATGGTATGGTTATCAGAAGCTGTACATTCATTTTTAATAATCAAGTCTTCAACAGGAGCAAAAAGAACATCCAAATTTTCAGTATTGTCAAACAATTCTTTCTGCATATGTTTTTTGTACAATTCTCTATCTATTTGTGCTCTGTAGCCCCACACAGCAGGGCCTTTTCTCCTATTCAATATCTAAAAATATACCTCGAAATATACATTCCGGATGAACAAGATAATTTCTTAGGTTAAAAACATAGGAGAACGACAAGGCTAGTGGCATGTTTTTACCTTCAATGTATCAGTATTTATTTAAATGCAAATGAAAATCATGGTGGTAATTTCCGGATTATGAAAATTAAATGCCGATTGTTCATAAAGTTGCAATAAATAAATATAACGGACTCACTTTATATTGCAAACCAGAAAGATCACAGATCCTACCACAGACCCCATCAAGTGCATCAATTTCTCGCATCAAATGACCTTTTCCTATGCCTCCAAAGGATGGGTTGCATGACATTTCACCTTAAAAATATTTGTTTTTGTATTTGAATCCTCAAAAATAAGATGAAGCAGTGACTAGAAAAACATTGAGCATCAAATTTTTCAAAATTCAGCTCACCTACAGTTTCTTTTTTATGCGTAACTAATAAAGTTTGCGCTCCCATTCGTGCTGCGGCCGCACAAGCTTCACTACCAGCGTGGCCCCCACCTATAACTATTACATTATACTGCTTGTCTTTCGAGAAATATGAAATATTTTTTTGAATGCTACTATTGAGACCTTTGGTAATATACCGAACTTTAATCGGAAATAACATTTTAAAACAATTATTAGTTAATTTTTGAGACACATCAAAACATTTTCATTTTTCAGTTCAATTTTTTTAACCAAACAAAGATACCTAACCTCAAACTCAAAATGGAACAACTTAAAGCCCAGTTTACACGGGATCGAATATCGGGATATACTTCTGGAGTAACTTGCGCTAGCGTGACCGATTTGCATTATTAATGACAACTTTTGGAGTTAAGATCAAAATGATAGAAACATTTTTACTTCAATCTCAGTTGCTTTCATTCTAATTATAGATAATTAAAACTTGAATGAAGGTGGGTTCGGCTTGCTCACTCCGCGCACTCCGAGTGACTCCATTCGCACTCCAGCCGTTCAGGTTAAGGTTCGGGTATTGTTTTTTACCGTATTAGGGGTGACTCCATTAGCTCTATTCACTCCACTCCAACTCCGCGCTGAATAGCCGAACCCAGCTTGAATAAATTATTTTCGTCCTAAGCTTTCCTTGACAAATTTGCGGCTTCCCACCAACACAAAAATATTTAAATGATAGCAGGGGTGCTCTGAGACGCGTTCAATAATCTTCGAGTGACTCCGAGCGACTCGCACTTTTTGAGCGGCGCGTACTTTTTAGCTCTCAGCCGACATGAGAACCGTTCTAGAACAGTATTTTCGAGTTGATCAATTCATTTGTCAAGAAAAATATTTCGATTCGGTTCGGACTAATAATTTCGGTATTAGAGAGTTCTCGTGCTGTCCAAACTTCAAATACCGTAACGTTATTTGACAAGTATGACAGTTCTTAAGCCAGGCGCAAACCAGAGCGGTGGCGGGCGCGGTGGCGATGACGGTGGCGAACGAATACTGCACATGTAAATAAATCAACGCGTACATACTGCGGCGAACTGGAAAACGCTGCCTGCATCATTTTTCCGCCTAGTTCGCGCGATCTGCACCAGTACAGCGAAATGCAAACATGTCGTGTGATACTGAAAAACTTAACGAAAATGTGCGAGAAAAAAAAAAGAAAACAAGGCTTTTTCTTCCATGTCTTGGGTACATTGCGTACTTTTGCAGTCAAAATTAAAGATAAAAATGACAGTCAAGTAGCACCTGGTAAAACAAAGATTAATAAAAATGAAAAAAGAACAGAGAGCATCAAAATATGCTAATAGACCAAACTCTGCAACCAATCTTGATCCAGAAGCGAAAATGAATATACTGAAAGTACTAATATTTATCGCGGATATCAGTTCGCTTCGTCACCGCCACCGCTGCCGCCACCACTCTGGTTTGCGCCTGGCTTTACAGTATTAGCGTTAGCGGAGCCCGCTACTTAACAGGAGTTGGATGCCTTACCGTAACGCTATGCTGTCAAAATTAGTTTACGCTCCATTTACGTCTGCAAAAACAGCAACTTCTAATAATTCCTCCATGAAAAACACGAAGGGAAAATTAATGAAACTCAGGAATCTTCAGGATAAATAAAAGTGGGCAAACAAGCAAAAAAGTTTGGTTAGATCATTCAATTCGACTGTCAAAATGTAAACAAAATTAGGGATTTGAGGATTTTTGTGTCTTCGTGTCCGAGAACTATAAAATACCATTTAAAATACCGCATTGTTAGCGGTACCGTATTAGCGTAGCGTCTGAGGCACGAGAACTTTCTTTTAACAACGGTTCATACTCGTATAGTTTTTCACAAATATCTAACAGAACAATTAATTTATGTTTCTGTAATTTGTAGTTTATTTTTTATTGGATTTCTCTGCTTAAGGGCGGGTATTATAAAACTGCTTTGACAGTTCACTTGAAGTTAACTTCTGGAATAACATGTAATTCAAAAAGTTAACTTCAAGTTAACTGTCAAAGCAGTTTTATAATACCCACCCTTATTCTCGATCATTTAAGTACAGTTTGTATTTTCTAACTTTGCCCGTGCGTCATCCAATGAGACCGCATGCATATTCTTATAGGGGGTGTAACCTTGAAATGCGACTTATATTCAGAAAATAAAAGCTGCTTACGGAAACTATGATCGGGTTAACCCGACTATAAAAATCACCAATCTCGACGTACGGAAAGGGATCTAGAGGCGGTTACACACGGACGTGAATGTCTGAAAACATGTACAAAATAGAAAGTTCTCGTGTCTCAGACGCTACGCTAATACGGTACCGCTAACAATACGGTATTTTATATGGTATTTTATAGTTCTCGGACACGAAAACGTAAAAATCCTCTAATCCCTTATTCTGTTTAAATTTTGACAGCTGAGTTGAGTAACCTAACCCAACTTTTTTTGCTTGATTTCTAACTTTTACTTATCCTAAAGAGTCCTGAGCTTGATTAATTTTCCCTTGGTGTTTTTTTATCGAGGAATTATTAGAAATTACTGTTTTTGCAGACGTAAATTGAGCGTAAACTAATTTTGACATAGAATAGCGTTACGGTAAGGCATCCGCTAAGTGCCGTTAGGTAACGGGCTCCGCTAACGCTAATACCGTAAAAACTGTCATACTTGTCAAATAGCGTTACGGTATTTCAAATTTGGACAGCACGAGAACTCTCTAATACATGAACGCGCAAACAAAAACATCAATAACCCTTTTCACGTGGCTCCGGTTTAACAAACCGCAACATACCGCTCAAATTCGAGTGGTAGGTATCCATCACGTAACTTTGTATCCGGGGTAGAAAACGGTATGTCGTTTCTCTAACCGTTTTGTAACCCGGTTAGTTTAAACCGGAGCCACGTGAAAAGAACTAATGTGTATGCAAAATACCGTCGCGTTTTTGAATGTGCAAACTGTAGAATGACACTCAAATGAATTCTGGAACCGCTAGAAATTTTGTATGCACACTCAGAATACTGTAGCAAGAGTAGCAAGAGTGACAGTTTTGTGCGAGCGTCTGTACAAAAGTGACATGCACGTTGTTGTTTGCACGTTGATGTATGCACGTATATGTATCAAGCCATCCACGTCCGTGTGTAACCACCTTAGGATCAGTTCACTCTTGGTACGGAAAGTGATCGGGTTGTTCGGTTCAGAATAAATATGTTTGAATTGAATTCCATCTACCCTGATAAAATGCGGGGTAAATAGAATTGCCAGCCGTCAGCTGTTTTTCTTAACTCAACTTTTTAGTTGTTTGTTGATTGTTTTGCCCTTAAAATAAATGTGGCAAACATCGTCAACAGCAAGAAGCCAAAAAAAAGGAAATTTGAGAACTTGAGATTTAAATTAAAATCGGAAAATCAAAATAATGTTTGTTGAGGTTAGGATTGTTGGAGGTGTGATTTGGCATGGATTTGGCAGGATTGATCAGCGGATCCATCCGTTCGGGAACTAATAAGCTCCACCTGCAGCGGGATTACAATTTCACTAGTCGATACGAGTCGAGCGTCTCGTATATGCAACATCAATGTTATTTCCAAGTCGCATCCTTCGACTTCGAGTAATTAGAATCCCTATCCTGAGTTTACTAATCCTTGAACAGCTGATACTGATCCGAGATCAGTGTTACCGTAAACAGCTAAACAAAAACATTCAAACCGTGCGTTCGGTATTTTGATCTGAGTTCTCTGAGCTTGAACTTACCGTTCGTTTATTTAAAAAGTGTACTCGATGCAAGTTCATTCGCGTTCTTTTATTAAAATTTCGGGCACTCGGATACAGCGTTCAACTGCTCTGTTCGCTCGCTGGTCACGTGATTACGGCTCCGCTCAGCACGCTCTGCTCTTTGAGCAAAATATCGAACGCAAGGTAAGGTAAGGTTTTGACAGTTAACTTAAAAGTTAACTTCTGAAATGACGTTACTTCTCATAGTAATTTCACAAGTTAAGCCTAGTACTCATAACTGTGAAATTCGCATTTTTTTGACATTGCGTTGACAATTTGACGTTTTATGCGTGTATCAAACGTCAAATTATCGAAGCAATGTCAAAAAAATGCGAATTTCGCAGTTATGAGTACTAAGCTTAACCTTTTTGCTATCTGTCAAAATAGTTATATAATACCCGCCCTTAGAACTCTTGTCAAAATCTCGCATCGCTACTCAAAATAATAAGGCAGATACGCCTAAATAAATCTTTGTCTATTCATCGCGTGACGTCATGAATACACGCAAAAATTTAAACCGACGCAGCGGTAGGTAGGGGTTTGAACGCAAAAATAATTCGATAATGTTGATAATTAGTTTATTTTGGTTCGAAATAAGGACGGTTCTAGAACTGTTCAAAACAATCGCACAGTTTATTATTGGAATTTTTGATAGCCCAGCCGTTGTCATTTTGTTGATTGATAAACTGCAATTGTTTTGAACCGTTCTAGACCCGTCCTTTTTTCAAACCAAAACAAAGCTAAAAAATATGCAGCAAGCATGAGCAAACGCGCAGCGCCGGAAGGCGGACTCAGTTTGTGCATGTGACGTCACAGTGCTAGGAGTGGAAACTTTATACCACGGTCTCTTCGCAACGGTTGGTCGTAGCCTAGTGCGGTTTGAAAATTTGTTCTAAGATTTTTTTTTCTGAAACTTTTATTTTTGGCTCACACCCCCTTTAAGGGCGGATATTATAAAACTGCTTTGACAGTTAACTTGAAGTTAACTTTTTGAATTACATGTAATTTCAGAAGTTAACTATAAGTTAACTCTCAAAGTAGTTTTATAATACCCGCCCTAAGCCTAGTACTCATAACCGCGAAATTCGCTCTTTTTTGAAATTGCTCCGACAATTTGACGTTTGATTCACGCATAAAACGTCAAATTGTCGAAGCAATGTCAAAAAAGAGTTGTGTTGAGTGAATTTCGCTGATGAGTACTAGGCTTTATGAGATTTACTGGTATTTGAATAGACTTTTGAATGATTATTAAATATTATTATATTATTATAAAAATAAATGAAAATCTCAAGCCTCCCACCACGCCAAAGTACCAGTGATGACGTAGACAGCGAGTTCTTGCCTTGACGTAGGGTGTTTGCATCACAGATTAGGATTGCGCTGATTTTTGCTTCACGCATATTTGGTTGTATTACATTATTTAACATTCTAATGGCCGTTTGCACCGTCCATTTTAAGGGAGGTTTAACGATAATCAACGCTTAAACTGACATTTGTAAAGGTGCATCCAGACCGGTGCAACAAACAGCGCAAAACGTTCGCGAACGTCTTGCAACAAACATTTCGCGCAGCGCGGATAACGTACAAACTGCTGCAACAATTTTTTTGTTTATGTACCGACACCGCATAGAAAACATTTTGCGTCGCGCAAAACAGGTCTGAGCGCGCAACCGTCCAAACTGAAATGTTCTGCAACGTTCGCGAACGTTATGCGCTGTTTGTTGCACCGGTCTCCGGTCTGGATGCACCCCCAGAATAACGCCATAAAAAATGCCTTGTTAAAATCTCGTTTGCAACTTCCTCTTTGCCTATTTATGTTAATCAAAATTAAATATTTTTCATCATAAATGTATATTCTTAACTACGACCGCTGGCGCAAACCGCTAACGACAGCGTTGATGACGTCGGCAACGGTGCAACACCAAGCACCAACTTGATTCCAAAAATCGAGGCCGATGAGCAATCCTGTAGTAGTGTGTAATATCCTTGGTGATGTCTGAGTTCAGAAATCCGCACTTTCCAACACTCTGTTTTTTGTTTTGGACAGGGATGTGCGTCTACATGTAAACTTTCATTGTCTACTTTACGTGTAGATAATGTAGACAATGTAGACACTGTAGACAACGTGTCAACAATGTAAAATAATATAAATGACGTTTAATTCTAACCTCACACTTTCCTTTTTTTGAATTATTTTTATTTTATTATTGGTTTTCCTGATATTTTATAATAAGTGAATGCTGATATCGAAGTGATAGTGATAGTATAGTAACTTTTGATATTTTTTTTCGAATTTTTTAACATAAGTTATTGTTTACGCCGCATGTAGACAATGTGTAGACAAATGCTCACGTAAACAATTCGAATTGTCTACGCGTAGACAATTAATTGTTTACGTTGACATTGTCTACAGGCACATCACTGGTTTTGGAGTGTTAAATTTATAATAGCCGCTTTCCAGCTGACGCTTTTGAGCACGCAATCGAGCTTTTGCGCGCGCATATGCTTCAAGCGCGTGTTCGTGTTCCAGCCGTACTGCGCTTCGAGAGCTGCTAACTTTTGCGTTTCAAACACAGAACACTGTGCTGCACCGTGCTTGAAGCACACATCTGGAAAGCGGCTTACCGAAAAATACCGGTTAGAACCAATTAATTTATATCGGTTCCGGTCCAGCCTGCCTTACAACATTTCTATGAAATATGGGTTTCGGTCCGGTCCGCAAAAAAGATCTGTTTCCGTTCCGGTTTCCGGTTCAATATCGTTCCGGTCCCGGTCCCTGGTTTAGGTTTGCATGAAGCCATCACTAGTTGGGGCCTATTCGAATGCCAAACATTGAGCACTTGCATTTTAAAATTGCGTTCTGTTTAGGAGTTACTCCGAACGAATAGTGTGACTCTTAAAGGAACGCGTGTCTGTGGACGCTTTCGGCAAAAAAAAGAAGAAGAATAAATGAGGTTAGGCTTTCTGTCATGTCATTTTTATCATCAAAAAAAAAACAAACATTTAATTTAAATAAAAAGCATTTTAAATTTGCATAACAACAGAAAACCATTTTTTATTTGAGATGTTCCATTTTATTCTTTATAGCTGACAATATTTCAGTATAGAACTGCCGAAATAACATGGATGAACTACAAAGCAGCAATATAAGTGCTAGTGAGCTGGATGAAGAAACCAAAGAAAAACTTAAAGGTGATAGAATTGGTGATACCCTTTATAGCCAGTCCTTTGTAATAAAGACGTTGATGTGTCTGAGTCATGAGATAAATTGTACCAAAGAACTGGAACAAGATTTGTGCTTTTTATGGGACATGACTACAGACAAGGATGTTTGCAAATATCTTTTCGAGCTGCAATATCCCTCCTTGGCTTCTGAAGCAATTGCTAATTGCACAGAACCGAGATGTGTTGAAATATTAGTAGGAATTTTAGCTAATATACTCCTATCTGATTGTGAAAAAAGTATGACAGATACTGAAATAAAGTTAATATTGGATGCTCTTATTACACACGATCCACTGGTTTTAATACAAATCATGAGATTTATTGAAGCTATGGCAATTGCGTTGCCCGAAAAAGTCTGTTTATTAGGTGAAGAAATCATCGAAGGAAGATTCCAGTTTATATTGAAATATTCAGAAAATTTCGAACTCATTACTTATACAATGCAGGCCTTGGTTAGGTTAACAGAAGGGTTCAAATTAGATGAAAACGAAGTAAATGCCTCACTTTTTAAAGCAGTAATAGATGGATTTGATACTATTTTCTCTGTTCAGACTAACAATTTTGAAGTGGAAATTGACACAGCAGAAACAAGCAAGATAGTCAAAATATTCCTAAACCTAATTAGCAATATGTGTGCTTATGCCCAAAGATTTCATCATGATGATGCTATTCCTACATCGATAAACCAGAGTGGCCGCCTTGCCATAACAGTATGTAGAATTCTGAAACATTTTTCTGAAGAAAAAAATCTATTTCCTGTGACTCAAGATTTTAGTGAATACATCGACGCTTTCCAAACAATTGTTACCACCCGTGATGTTACCTTAGTGCAAGACTTGGACAATAATTTTTTTAGGTGCTGTTTTGGAGCCCTGTGCAAAATATTATACATTTTACATGGCAGTAAAAACGAAGTTGTGGACGTATTCAATACAGTATTGGAATTTATTGGTGTTATTATATGTTTGGTGGACGAAAAAGCAGTGTTGGATGAAATAAAAAATATTCGTTACCGCCGAGGAATTGTGGTTTTGAACTCCTTGAAAGAAAGCTCGAGAACATTTGAATTTGATATTTCAGATAAGTTGAGGTTTCTTTTTGCGGAATTTAAGTGAAACATTTGCCCATTGTCATATAATTGATGTTGTATACAAAGTCTGCTCAGTGAAAATAACATTTTTGTTTCTGTTAGTTCCTCATGGTATTTTCCTCAGTGTTTTCCTACACAGTTCCCTGTTGGTAAAATGGGCTTTCAGCAATTTCCTAGCTTTTCATTCTGTACTTTATTTTCTTGAGCAGACTTTGAACTTTATATTATATGCGTAATATGTGGTTATATACAAGTGAGCTCAGACTCAAAACGGTTTGGATAAATTCAATATTTTTATTTTATTTTTGGATTCTCCCTAAAAATCTGATCGAACTGCACCTTATGAAAATATCTTTATATTTATAAAGGCCGATGAAAAGTTGTCAGGTAAAATTTCTACTAATTTCAACTACTTGTTTAGAATGCATCATAATTATTCCTTGATGTGTAGGGACTGTTTAAGCTAAGTATCTACCTTATGTAGAAATAAGGTATGATCAGATTAAGTAGAATCCAAAAATGAATAAGGAAATGAGGGCGCAATTTTTAAAAAAAAAAATTGGAGGTCATGTAATAGGTATCTTTTTTGGACATAATATGTGAAAATTAGTTTAGAGTGTGCGAGCATTTGCTTGAAAAATAATTACCCGATTTTGTAACGAATTTACCCCAACCTTTTTGAGTTCTCTCTACCTATTTGTTGATTAGGTAAGTATGAATCATGTACATATGTACAAAGTTTTTATTAGGATCAAAATAATTGTATTCATAACGTGACTTTTTTTAAGTATCTATTTTATATCTTTTTTTTTTATGTAAATTTGTCTTGTAGCTGATTGGGTGCTCCTAAGCTACCTCAGATGCTTTATTCTTGTTTTGAAATTTTTTCACTCATTTTTAGGACCTCTACACCTTATAATGTAAAAAATTGCATGCAAAATAAAATTAAATTCTAAGATTTTGTCGTATTTAATGTTGTTTTTTTTATAATATCCTTGTTATGCCTATCTTTACCAGGCAATGTTAACAAGAAATTATATTCAAGAAACAACAACAAAGGCACAACGTTAAGCCTATCTACAAGCCCACAAGAACAATTTAGCAAAGTCTAAGATTGGCCAAGGAGCCTAGGGCACCTCTTGAAACGGCTGGCGTCTATAGAATTCCCTGCTCTTGTGGATCTGTCTATGTAGGAACAACCAAACGCTCTATCAACATCAGGGTCAAAGAGCACAAATGAAACTGTCAGCAGGGACAAATAGATAGATCAGCAATCGCCAAACACAAACAAACCAAACATTTTTACACCAGACTCCACAGAGAAGCCATAAGGCTCGCTTTCCTCGGATGCGGGACGGAGACGGAACGGGTGCCGCAGACGTTGCCGTCATTAAAATATGAAGATGTGCTTTCCTAAGCAGCGGTGGCGCGACGGCGGCGGAGCGCAGTTTTTTTGACGCTAGCGGAATCACGCCACCGGTCGGTCGACAGGCAACTTCGACGGAGCGCAACACGGAAGGAATAATATTATATTGAAAAATGTAGAATTTTACAGAAGAGCAAAGTGAGTTATTGACTGATTTAGTGAGGCAGTATCCCGTGTTGTATAATTTATCTATTCATATGTTTATTAAAATAAAAAATAGCGAATCTTGGGAATCCATTTCCATACACGAATTGCCGAACCGCCCACGTCGCGTCGCCTTCGAGGAAAGCACTACCTCCCTAGCGCGATACGCCGGGAAGCGCTATGACTCCTTCACGCTTGCGTTCCGTCTCCGTCCCGCATCCGAGGAAAGCGAGCCTTAAGAGATACAGAAACACTACAACAACTTCAACAGAAAAGAAGAGGGCATGAACCTTAACAAGAGCTAGTTGCCAGTTCTCCGAAAAACGAAGACCCTTCCTTTCCGAGAACAAGACAAGGAAAATAGCATAATACAAGCCAACCCCACAACCCTGGATAAAATAACGCAGGTCCAACAACGTCGAATCCAGTCATCAGAGGAATATGGAAGAGAACACTTTGTCCTCTACCACACCGCCTCTGAAAATGTCTACCGCAGGAGTAGAAGAAACATTAGGTAGAAATATCACTGGACCATGGCATTAAAACCTGGAAAAACTTTTTTACTAAATGGTGTTTGTGTTCTTTACCTTGACACCTCGCTTGAGAAATTTTAGGCCAAACCAAGATAATTCCATGATAGGATAATCTAGCTAATTACGGAACAATTGAGAAGTGAGAGACTTTAAATGTAGTTTTTACTCGAAACTCTTCATTTAACCATATCAAAATGATATCGTACTGTGAAGATAAAAAAATGCACTTTTCGATTTTGCCAAAAAAATAAGGGTCTCACAAAAAAAAAGACAAAGTTAGTTGGTCACCATAGTGACTTTCAGTTACATAAAAGTAAAACATGTAGTCTTCTTTTATTTTATTTTTGGAAAAAGTTCACGCCACGACAATATTAGAGGTATGATCTCACAGAAATCACAAACCAGTCGGAGCGTTTTTGGTTAGTGCAAATCGTCAACAACCAGTTTTCGCTCTGACTGGTTTGTGATTTCTGTGAAAACAGACCTAAGGACGCCTTTTTCAGTACCTAGAGAAAACTACTGTGTAAAATCCAATATTTTGTTTGTGCTCTGTAATTAAAGAGAAAGTGCCTGGCCAAATGTCAACCCCATCTGTTCGTGTGATAGCGATCTCTCTATCCAATGCACCCTACTGGAAAACCAACAAGGCTCTGACGGCCAAATCACAGCGATACAACTGTTCAATAAAAGTTGAGGAAATGCAACACTTGATTCGCAATCGATGATACGATAGGCAAAGATAGTCAGAACTTTTCATAGTGGAAAGCTGTATGTCGAATTTGAACACGATAATACCCGCCAGGTGAGTAGTTGCCTCAGAATCTCGCACTAAAAAAAAATCAGGTTGTCTCGTGGATTCTGGGGGAGGCAAAGATTGGATTTCGAACAACAGAACAATGAGAACTCCAGAACGTCTTGAAGAAGGAGCTCCCATCAAATGGGAAATGACACGTCTTGACGAAACTCATCCTTATGCCTCATCAACGGCCTCAAAGTATGTTTCCGGAAGAATTATTTACCTTGGGATACGACTCAACAAAAGATCCAATTTACAAATAATAGTCCTCAAATATGCACCGACCTTGTGCACCGACAACGTTTAACATTTACGGAGAACATAACAAAGGCACTGAAACAAGAAAAGACACATTTTAGGATTGTCATCGGAGACTTAGTTTCTTGCAATTTGGCCAAAATTTATTATGTATATCAATTAATTTTTTTTTCAACAAACCAAACGAGTACCTACCCAACTATGGTTTTAAAGGAACTACTCCAAACTACTCTAAACCATCTTATATAGCACACGAAAAAATCTGACTAGATTGTGCCATGAGGATGAAATGATTAACACATTTTTCTCAATCGAATGACATTTGATTTGGCCTCCTTTGCATCAAAATCGAGCTATTACACTCTCAAGTTAAATTGTCTTCCTCTCTTCTACTTCTACACAAACAACAGTAGTATCTATTTTAATGTCTTATTTATTTGGAAGACATTTTTTAATTATTATTAATATAAATTGATTGAGTATGGATACAATAGCAGTAAAAGTTTAGCTCTTTTACACCATATAGAGAACATAGTATTTCGTTTTTGATAAGCATTTATTTTTATTTGGGACTTCTATATTACAAGCTCATATTTTTGAGAAAATAATTAATCAGTTACAAATTTTTACTTATTATTAAATAAAAACAAATTCGTTCTTGTCAAAGACCTGAAAGAATTTTTTTATTGATTATATGCAAAATAATTTGACAGCAAAATTGATGGGTTTAATCTTTAAGATCTTTGAAAATTATTTTAGAAAGATATTGTAAAAATATCTTTAAAATGGGTTACAATACAATACAAGTAGTAACAAGTTTGATCACTTTGTAATTTGATGTAAACATAAAATTGCATAAAATGTCAATTTACATTACAAACTATTATATTTATTACAAGTTAAAAATAAAATAATACATATTACAAAAAAACTCAAATGAGTTTTAACATTAACACAGAATAATAAATAAGTATAAAAAAAATATCATAATAATAATCATAACCATCAATTTTATTTAAATTTATGAAACAGTGATAATTTTAGATTTTTTTGAAGTACAAAAATACAAACTTTTAAATTAGACGATATACCTAACCAGTTTTCAATTGTCTATTTTGTATGTGATAAAGAATTTTGTTTATGATATTAACTGAGAGAAGGAAAATGAAGTTTATTGATATTTCTGAACATTAAATTTACTTTTAATAAGAATGGTTAAATATTGTCATCACAAATAGAGTGGTTAAAATATCAAACTATTGGGATATAATATTGACACCAACTTTTGTTTATTTATTTTATAGTTAACAGGAATTATAAATATTGAAATCAATAGTTGTAGCTTTCTTGCTTTGAGAAAAATCCAGCATAGGATTAATAATAAATTTAAAAAAAAATAGTTGTACCAAATAGGATTTTTCCTCCTGTCCCTGCTATAGCTTGACATTATTTGACACAGTCCATCATGTAAGAATTGAAGTTTATATTTTTTCTAACTAATTTTTTGGAATCAACACACAACAGTGCCATTATTGCACAATTAGTATTAGTGATGTAATTTCAAGAGTAATTTCTGTTTTTTTTTTTGTCTACATATAGCTTATTTACAGTGTACTATAAGTTAATTGTATTTTTTTTTCATTCATGGACCAGCGGAATTTACCAAACAAAAGAAAATAAATGAAAATAAGTGTAAATTAAATTTGGATATCAAGGTCCAGGTACTTGTTAATCAAAATTTTCCAGCTTCAAACACTGGCCCAACATTCAAAATTCTATGCTCTAACGAATAAAAACGTCTATTTTTTTTGAGTCATAAAAATCAACTATGTACAAAAAACAATTATTATTAATATTCTTTAATATTATCATTACAATATATTTACACAGTTTGTGTAATTTTTCGCTGAATCTAACTTATTTAATAAAAACGTCGTATATCCCAGCAAGACGCTAAGCGCTCACGGCAAAATTAATAAAACCTACTACGGCTACGCCCATCACAGAAATTTGGTTTTCTTCTAAGGTTAAGCCTTGCAATTGTCAAGGCCTATGGAATCTGAAAATAATTTAACATGTTTAGTAATTTGTTCATATTATACCTGAAAGTAGATAGGTATCTTATAATAAAAAGCTAATGATACAAAGATGAACTTTCAACAAAACTACAGATAGATGATTTGAAACAATTATTTGGATTCGCCTGCTCATTATTTTGTCAGATACAAAAAATGTAAGTTCTGTAAATAAAGTTTCAATTTTTACATACCTAATTTAATTTTCTTAAAATTTCAAAAAAGTATTTATTTTTTTTTCAATTGAATTATGTTTAACTTTCTAAAGTAAGAAGTTTTTCTAAAACATTTGAAAATTCAAACATTATTATTTATAATTTTCTGTTTTTATTTTCCATCCATGGTTGGAATAAAACAATTTATTTATCAACAATTTGTTGTGTTTATTATAGTTATTTGATTATCCAGGTTATTCCCCCAACACCAATATTTGCAGACTAATGAGCTAACACTTTGGCAACATTAGCATAACATTTAAATTATTAATGTACTTCAGTTTTTTCTATTTTGAATGAAAGAATATTTGCATGAAAATAATATAGGGTTTTCAAATGCAAAGTGTAAAAAATGAAATGTTGTTGGTACTAAAATTGTCTATAAGCTGCCGTGTACGTACCAAAAAAAAAAAGAAGTTAGAAAGACTAAAATACAACATGATTTGTTTTTAGTTGCAACAAATAAGTGAACCTAGTGATTTGATTTTTTTTAAAATTAAATTATAGAGGGTGGTATTTAGGGCCTGTTACCTCTCTAAGCGTGCGGTGAAAATTGATATTAGAGAACCTAAAAAAATATCTGCCACTATCGTGCAGGGTGTTGTGCCAAAAAAAAATAATAATAAACAACTTGAAGACAGATAGTTTTTAAAGTACTCAATCAAAATAATAAATATAACTCAACAAGATTAAGCGTCAGATTTAGGGGACTGCCACAAAATAAATTAATTTCATTATAAATTACTTACATAAAAATACCTAAAATTGAAAAAATAATGTTATCCGACCACGTAAAACATATTTTGCTTAAAGTTCGGTTTAACCGGGGCCCTAGCCCTAATCACAACTCCCGGCCTATGGACAATTTTAGTGTTTATTTTGTAAAATCTGAAAATAATAGCCAACATCACAACACAAAAAAAATCTTTAGAAATTTTATCAAAGTAGTACTAGTACATAAATAAAAAAATAACTTCCTGTCCTATAACACCTTAAAGAAGGGTCCATGTATGTTTATGCATGAGGATATTGTAAAAAACACAATCTCTCAAATAATCAATTATTCATAATAGCTGCTCCACTCGGAAGCAGTTGCATTACATAATTTTAATTTGGAAAATAAATAAATGTAACCCTGTTCATCCTGGACAATTAGAAAAAGTATAGTTTATTCAAAAAACTTTCGAGATTCATCATAAAACCTAGCCTATTGGTGTCCTGTTGACCTATTATTGAGAATGAAACTACTGATTCGACGTACGTTTTTATGCCGTGGACGCCAGGTTTGGTAAAATTTCACCAGCTCAGATTCCTTTTAGTTGATAATTTAAAGAAAATTTTAACCAAATACCATGGGTCTGTTAAGTTTCAAAATAATGGAAGTAGAAACATCTATTTTGTTACAACTTGGCATTATGAAAAAAAAAGAAAAATTGAATTTATTTAGCGCTTTTCATATGATTTCGTTAAATATGTAATGAGTTTTAACTCAAAAATCAATACCTTGTTAAATGGCGACTCTCTTCGTGTACATCCATTTCCGCACTCTTGAATTCATTCAACTCCTTCCGAATAGCTGCCTTATCTTTTGGCGTTAATCTATAAAATAAATAGAATTAAATTGAATTGTGCTCACTTTTCTCAAAAATTTGAAGTATGAGTATACTAAAAAGTAATTACCTGGTCCAAGGTTTATCCGCCCTTCTGTCGTAGTCATGCGCCTGTGTAACCTCAATATAATCGTTGAATCGGATAATTTTTTTTTCTTTAAGTTCTTCGACAGTTGGCCTGAAACTAAGTTTTCTCAGTAGAAACCGTTTTTTCTCTTCTTTTTGCTTCTTTTCTTCTGCAGGACTTTGTTCTAAAGGCAAAAGAGAGAGAATAAGAAACTGATAATTTACGCCAAACTAGTGCTTACTTTTTAAAATATTTCTATCTTCCAATTCTTCTTGGGTAGGTCTCATACTGAGCCTTCTAATCAACCTCGCTCCTATTGCTTCTTTTTCACTCATCCTTTCGTTTTCTGATTGAACTTGTAGAATGTTTCTATAAAAAATTTAGTAATTAAATAATTTTTTTTTTTTTAAAAAAAAGGTATTTGTTTTTTGGTAGATTTTATTCCATGCTAATATAACTCTCAATGTGACTCAATTTTTGCTTCTCCAGAGATGTCCAATGTACTATCCACCACATAATACAGTTTTTGTTTGTCAACAGCCATTCACTTGCATTACATGGAAAACAGTGGAAATCTTACCTGTTGATTAATTCTTGTCTGTCAGGTCTCAAAGCTAGCTTAAGCGACAAACTTTCTTTTCGGGCTATCTTTATAGCTAACCTATCATTTGATGGATTGCCGTCATCACCATCGTCTCGATATTGTATTGGTCCATCGTTCGAATCGGAGTCGGTGTCATCTTCTCTGATTATGGTGTACGAAGGTCTCGTGTTTTCTTTGTTCTCCATGGTCGCTGGGAGGCCTAATACGAATTTTGGTTTTGATGTACTAAAAACAAACGACAAAGAAAATTAATCGATTTATATGCGAATTTTGGTTCAACTATCATACAATGAAGAAATCAGCTTTTGAACGAAACTTGTTATGTTTGGAGGAGTTTTTAGAAAAAGATAGGCTGAGTTTTGGTTAGGGTTGTTAGGAAAAATAAACTGATAAAAAAGAAGCTTTTTTTTCTATGATTGCTTAGCTTATTAGCTTCCAAATCAATTTAAACCAATACTGCGACATTTTCATTTCCTTTCAACCACTTCTAGGTAAATTTTAATAGTTTAAAAATAAACATACATACGCATTGGAGTTTGACTATAGCTAACACGGTAATAAAAACTGCTTGATTTTTATGTACCGTTTTTCAAGCAAGGAAAATTTTTCTATTTATTTTTATTACCGTGCATAATGAATTATGAGCACAGTTAATCTGTTTTAGTTTGTCATAACGAATCTAATTTTTCACGGATGAATGCAAACGAGAAAAGCAATGGGAAATTTCCGTTTAAATTGTCCAGATTGCCCTATGGGAGTAGCCAGGATTCTGTCGAGGGGCAGGGAGGAAAAGAACATGGCCAAGCTTAAGAGAATTTTACCACTATTTTAAATACTGTGTATAATTAATTATGATTTATGAGCTTAGTTAATTTGTTTTCGTTCGTCGTAACAAATCTAATTTCACGGATGAATGCAAATGAGAAAACAATGGGAAATTTCCGTTCAAATTGTCCAGCCTGCCTTATGGTAGTAGCCTGGATTCTGTCTAGGGGCGGGCAGGTTGGACAGGGGCCTCCGATAAAAACATGCCCAAATTTTGGGAAATTTATCACTATTCCACAAGTTTTTTAAGGACACTCATTAGGCATAACCCATTGAAATAGGCTCTTCAGTCATAACAAATTTTAGCTGTGTTTTAAAATGTCTTATTTTTTTGTATATTCATTCATAGACGATTTTGGCATGCACAATAGAAAAAATTTACAATGTACTTATTAAGTAAGTTAACAGTTCAAGGCCTATTAGCCCTACACAGATTACACTTTCCAAGCCATTTAAGATAATGTCAGGCCGATAGTAAAAAGCAAAAGAGACGATAATGAGCTTCGATGCCACGGTTTACCCACGTTTGCCTCTCTATTATAGGGCTTTTTATCGTCGCCTCAATCAACGCCAGAGCTGAATTTTTAAATCAATATTATGCTGTGTAAACTTGCGGCTTTTATGAATAATATAGTGAAACTTGGGTAATTTCAAGGGCTTTATGGACTTCATGGTGAAATTGCACACATAATATGACCAGTTAAACTAAAGTGATGTCATAGAACATTGTCAGCTTGAAATGGACGTCAAACAATGAAACATGATCGATTTAATTATTAATTAAAATAATTACCATATTCTAATCCTAGGCCTCGTCAATGGCCTTCTGCATCAATAAAAAAAGAGAGAAAAAATATTATTATTGTAATTTGGCTATATAATAGAAATGTATAAATATTAAAACAAAAACTAATAGATTAGGTATAAACGTTTTGTTTGTTTAAAATCAACATCAATATTTGAATGGTAGAATGCAGGCTATTTTTGTTTTAATACCATTATGTTATAGAAGCAAATAATTTACTGTGAAATACAGGGTGCTCATTTTAAAACTTACCACCCCTATCATCTTAGGAGTTGAAAATTTTCGAAAAAATTCCTGAAACACGTCAATTATAATTTGAAGGGTGATGAGTTTTTATGCAAAATTCACCCGTCCCCTTTCAACGCCCCAGCCCCTAAAGCCACCACCTAGAAAATCTTAAATGGAAAGGGGGGATCAAGTGATACATCATTTGAGAGGGTTTTTAATTCCATACATTATGGTACTAATTTTTGCTCCCTAAGTTCAACTGTTTCGGAAATATTGACAGTTGAAAATTGACTTTTTTCAACTTTGACAGGCTGTAAAACCTAAACGGTTAATTTTAGACGAAAACCAATCTTACATTCTTGTCTTAGATTTTTATGAACTATCATTTGACAGCAATTTTGAATTTGATCCATGATCAAAAATTCCGGTTAAAAATTCAATCACCGGTTAAATTCAAAGTTGGTGTTAAATCATGGTTCATGAATGCAAGATCGGTTTTGCTCTAAAATTACCCGTTTAGGTTTTACAGCCTGTAAAAGTAGCAAAAAAGTCAATTTTCCACTGTCAATATTTCCAAAACAGTTGAATTTAGGCATTAAAATTGGAATTAAAAACCCTCCAAAATGATGTATCACTTGACCCCCCTTTCCATTTAAGATTTTCCAGGGGGTGGCTCCGGGGGCTGGGGTTTTGAAAGGGGGGAGGTGAATTTTGCATAAAAACTCATCCCTCCTCAAATTATGGTTGACGTGTTTCAGGAATTTTTTCGAAAATTTCTCAACTCCGAGATAATAGGGGTGGTAAGCTTTAAAATGAACACCTTGTATAATAAATACATTGTGCAGCGTAAAACCTTTTCATTTGCAATTTTGAGTTTTTCCAATGTTACAATTACTGTTCAATGGAAATACGATGAGAAGGCTGTAGGGCATTTTAATTAAATAAATTAAAAGCCCATTAACATTTATAGATTCCCTGTTGATTTTCGCAGTTGCCTTTATATCCATTTCCTAACAACAAACTCTATCCCTGGTCCAATTTGTGCTGGCTCCATTCAAGTGATTCCTATAATGGGTACAAAATCCGGGAATATCAGACAAAGTAGCGTGTTGAAGCATGTAAAAAAAAATATTTGGACTTCTGTGTTAGAACAAATCAGCGCATTTGGGACATGGGAAACTGAGTCCAGTTAGAAAGTTTCCAATTTACACAAATTTAAAGGCTGAATCACATCATACTAAGTGCGCCAATAGTGTAATCAATTCGAAAAATTTAATAAATATAATTCAACTTTGAAAATATCGATGTCACTTACTTGAAGCTAGAATTGTGCTCCTGTTGTCTAACGCCCAAGGGTCGATTCTCTTGAGTCGGTGTACTTTGAGGTGTTGATCCGCCGCTGTTTTTCTTTTTTAGAGCCGATTTCAAAGGCATCGCGTTGAAGCGCGGCTCTTTGGCCGGTATCTCGTCAATCCTGCTTGTATCGATACTCGGATCTGGCTGAGGCATACGATACATATAGGAGTTTTCTTCTTCTTCCACATCGTAGTCCTCGTCATCTTCATTGTCTGGAAACAGAAACAAAAAATGATGATAGTACATTTTTAATTTGCAAATGCTGTAACGAAATTTGTTACATGTTGGTGAATAACCTATTCACTTTTTCAGATTAAGACAGATTTAAGTAGATATAGTATTAATGTAGAATGACTTACCATCATAATCATAATCCCCAGGAGGTGGACTAGGATTCCGTCTAGTCTGAGGACTCGGTGAACTGAACATAGGAGGAGGCGGAATGGGACCTATCTCCGACACCGGGATCGGCGGCTCCGGTAGCTCGGATAGCACGAACTGCGGATGACCTGGTGGCGGTAGCGGTGGTTGAACAGGGTGCGGTCCGTGTTTCTCCTGAGCCGGTGGCGTTGAGCCTGGCGGACCCATATGTGGTCCTTCGGTAACTGGAATAGAATAGACAGAAACAATTACAAAAAGTAAAGTTCAATACATTCTTCGACGAAGTAGTACAACTGGAAAATAAAGAAAAACGAAATTTGAGAAGGCATAAAATAATACCATGTTACATTAAAGCAATCATTGAGCAAATGAGTTGAATTATTTATATACCGGGTAACAATGAAACTACTACCCATGGCGGCATTTCTTAACGGCTCGAGATAGAAATATGCAACTCGGTTTGTTGATAGGATTGAAAATTGTGAACAATTTTGATATAAAAACAATTGAATATCTTTTTCGGTTTCACCGGAAATGATAGTTTTTACGTAAAATACAAACAAATAGGAATTACGACATATTTTTGAGCCACTCTATTTCAAAAACTATCAATTTTTGACATAAAGTATGTTAGACAAAAGTTATTTAAAATTGTTCAGAGAGTCCAAAAAAACAAAAATATATAGGGTGTCCCATTTAAAATAACAAAGTCAATGCCATTTTCGGTGAAACCGGAAAAGACATTCAATTGTTTTCATATTAAAATTGTTCACAATTTTCAACCCTATCAACAAACCGAGTTGCATATTTCTATCTCGAGCCGTTAAGAAATGCCACCGTGGGTAGTAGTTTCATTGTCACCCGGTATGGTGTTCGAATATGCATTTTATAATCTTGTCCCTAAAATATATTTGTCAATGTCTAATTAGGTATTATATGAGTCAGTAGTTAATCATGCGAAGTTCAAAGCTTTTCATTAAACATATTTTAAAATTCAAAAAGCCAAATTTAACTGCCAGATAATTATTATTAAACATTGGAAAGTTTATATAAGTACAAACATGAAAGTTTATTGTTTCTTAAAACATTTAATACATAGGTACTGTTAGATACCCTTACCCAAAGAATGACGACGCATGTCAAAAAAAAGTCGGCCAGGCAAAACAATATTTTGCACATCAATGTCGTGTGTAATATAGTTATTTGATGAAACGTTATAATCCTACAACACTTTGACTTTTGGAGTATTCTTTCTTAGGTATAGGTACACACGCCGAACTACAACTTTGAAAGACCGTATGGGATCGAGTGCGACCCCAAAGCCGAGTACAGACTGTCGCAGTGTAAGCGGCCTCGCGCTTCCCTTGAAGTGGTAGTAGAAGCTAATCGCGAGGAGGCACAACCAGCAAACACGTAGAAACTTGGGAAATACCGCGCTTCGAGGCTTCTTTGAGCACGACCAAAAACCGACTGAACATGGATCGCCGCGACGCTGCCTCTTAACGCGACAGGTACTTATTTTGCGGAGCGGCTTCGCGAACCAAAATGTAGCTATTCCCAGGGATAGCCAAGCAGCACTAAAAGCGGCGGATTCGACTCGCATCACTCCCCGAATGACGATCCAGTGCCTCACTGACCTGAAGCAGCTTGCACTCAGGGATACTCTTAGAGAGAGCAACGAAAAAGCAGATGAGCTGGCGAAAGCTGGAGTTGCAAATTCATTTATAGGCTGCCGGCCCAGGGGTGCGATTTTCGAAACCATTCGAGTACATTTCGTACACGAAATTTGACTGCTCTCCATTTAATTTACATTGCTGTCAGTTAACTTTCGTGTACGAAATGTACTCGAATGGTTTCGAAAATCGCACCCCAGTTTTGGAATATCGATCGGAGTGGTAAAATCAACACTGGATAAATGGTCCAAAAGACAACATTTGGCCTGTTAAAATAAAACACCTGGACAAAATCACGGAAGGGCTGTACAGGAAACCCTTCAACGAAATTAACAAATAACGGCGTGCTACGACTTACGCGCACAAAGATGAGACAAGTGATAGGGCTATTGAGAAGACAATGTCGCTTGAGGAAACATCAGCACAGGATGAGGATATTCAATAGAACTACTGAATGGAGAGGACGACGAAACAGCTCCCCACATCATATATGACTGTGTGGCCATATCACACAAAACATACAGACTCCAGAGCAATACAGACCGGGGATGGACTACCGCATGAAAATCTTGTCCAAGGGCTATTAGGCCCGATACAGGAAACAGGACTCTTATAGGGCAGGAAGGAAATTGGGATGTACGATAAGCCAAAAGACTGCAGTGCATGGAAGGCCACAGCGCCTAGATGCCCCCTATAACGAACCAACCATAGGTACTTATCTATCCCACTTGTCTATTAATCTAAATGACAGAGTATTTTCGATAAATTTCTACTGTTCTCTTACATGGCAGTCTGATAAAAACTAGCCAGATTTCAGATCACGATTGGTCAGTAGAAAGCGCTACTGTGTCCCATAATTTCTTCAAAGTTAGGAGTGCAGTTTCGCATATAACAAATTTAATGATAGCCTGGATGGTCAAAGAGAACCGAGCTACTTTTGAGTCATAAATAGCACTAGTTACATTGTAGATAACTTTCTATAACCATGCATGTGCTAAAGTGAACTCTAAAGCTTGAACCCATCTGTGATTACTGCTCCTTGTTGTACCTACATAGTAGAGAAGTCAACCCAACGAGTTGAATAAATCCTGAGTTCGAGACCTCAGATCACACAACTAAAATTTTTATTCAAATTTGTAATCAGACTGATGTCAGTTGCCTTTTGCTTGATAAAATATGGTTTGTAGTCTTATAATTTTTTTTTAAAAAAATAACATGTGGGTACTTACAATGTTCGCTATGGTAACATAAAAGTCTACGCGTGAGCTTCCCATGTCCCAGCGAACTGGGTCTTTCCGGCTTGCGACAATCGTCCCCCAATTGGTTGCTTGGTTGCGAAAGGTGTAGGAATCCCTCGCCGTTGGGGGACATGGCACCGTTCTGAGCGTTGCTTCCATCAGTCTTATCTTTTTTGGGCTCTGAAAAATTAGGTCTCTATTAAAATAAGTAAAACTTTCGACATAAGCGGCCTCTCCTTCTTATATTGAATCGCTTGAGAGTTCCCTGAGTAACATAGAAAGTTCCCAACTTTAAATTGGGATGCTTAATTATAACGGCGACACGGCCATGTAAAATGTATATTTAAATGAAGGAAGTTGAGAATTGCGCAATTAACTTTGCCACTAGAATTCCATTATTTTAACTCTTGAGTTGTAAAGTTGGTCCAAGCAATTTGGGAATTTATGATTTGTCTTTGTAAAAGTGATACCTTATAATTTTAGATAATTGTATTGAAAAAACTTAAACAAATCTTCGCTTTAATTACAACACCAGATTGTTCCATTCGTGTGAGTCAATGCTTCAATCAAACCGAATAAATGAATGAAATTGTAAATACAGCCAACTATAAATAAACCACTTACACTCCATTACGTTATATTATTCGTGTGACGTTCTGTGTTTTTACTTTTCAGCGTTTAATAATGGATTTCATTCCATTCATTGATATAAATAAATAATGATTCCTACCCTCATGCTTGAGGTACCGTAAAAACAAAAAATTAACTAAAAATAGATTTTTTATCTTTAAAAGTTGGTTTCGTCACATTTTCTTGTACAGGGTGAGTATATTAGATTCGTTGAAATCGAACTAGGTGTCATGAACTCGTTTTTTGAGAAATTTCGACTCGAGGCCAACTACTCCCAGCATCCTACAGAGTGATAATGGAAGAGAGTAATTGCTAATTTTTGGAAGTTTTCACAATAACTTTATAAAACTTAAAAGTCAAAGTGATCAATTGTATTTCTTATATGCTTACGGAATACAGTTGATGAAGTTGAAAAGTATATTCACCAAATCGACAAAATTCGCATCATTATTTCAAGCGCATATACCAAACTAGTAACTCGATTTGTATCATATTTGGGAGACAAATACTCATGCACTTAATGATTTGTTGAAAAGATTTTTAATAAGAACTGGCCATTCCCAATGGTAATATTTTGAAAAATATATCTTGTCATTTCGGGGATAAGCAAGGGATCAGCAGAAGCTTGAAATATGGGAAAATATTCATTATACATTGAGCTTCCAAGAAAAACGGAAAGCAATCTAAAAGATGTAGGAGACCTATTTTAAAAGCCATTTTTATATCTTCTGAAGTTTTCATCTGGATCAATGCCAATATGCATTTTAGCATAATAAAAAAATATATTGGGTCTTAACCCCTTTTTTCCCGGGGTTGTTTTGGCCTATTTGTCCAAACTTCATGCACTGAGATATTCTTACCCTTTTTTTTCCGAAATGAAGTACCTCTCTTATATCCGGGAGGTAAAAACATAGCGGGAGGAGTAATAGGAACAGCGGTGTCCCAATATGGAACCACATCAGGATGGCTCTGGTTGGGATCCGGTAGTTCGAGTTTAGGTTGCTGTTTTTCGCAACGTCGTCTTCGACGACCGCCAGGCGTGAACGTTTTCACGAAAAAACCGACTCCGGCGTTCATTTTCGCGCGTAAAATATAAGGATATGTATGTTTTTCAGGCTCTTTGAGGACGATGTTTACAAAAATTGACTAATTTTTTAATGTAAGTTCCATGGCATGTCTTGGTAGTTAAGACCTGTGGAAATATTGATTTTGAATTACCAATATGCATATGCATTATTGTTCAAGTAATAATTGAATGCAAATCGGGGGTTAAAAAGCTAAGATTTTTCTTATCAACTCTATGTCAGGCTTTGCTAAAATATTGCAAGCATTAAAAAGAAAAAAAATGGAGGAAGAATTGCAATCCGCATATTTCCCTTGCAAAGGTTTCAATTCGAATGTATTCAAATCATTTGGAGGACCTATGAGAAAACCTGATGTAAAAAAGGGCTCATAAAAATCAGTTCTAATAAGCCTTACTTCACTTTCCTAGCAAAGTAAATTAAAAGAACCAATCAAAAAGCGCTATTAAATATCTAAAATCGTAAGCAAAGTAAATTTTAAGCCCATGGAAAATATATATGGAACAAAAATTCGAACAGAAAATAAACACATGAAAATATTCCAATCATAAATCGAAATTGCACACAGCACTTTCAAATGTTTTCGTACTCAATTTTCCCGGAACGAAAAAACCACGAGTTCACGATTAAAAAAAAGATCGAAATTGAAAATGTATCCCGAGTTTGCTTGTTTATCATTGGAAATCCGCATAAAGACTGGAAAATCTGCTCCTACGTTGTTCGACTAAGTAGGTAGGTAGGCCCCCAAAATATTTTAAAAACAACTTTTATTGGAATGCCACTGATTGTTTTCATTCTATTTTTATATCAAAATATTTCTTCAGGTTGTTAATTTTGGGTCAGATTGAAAATCATTTAAATTTATTAATGCGGAGGTGACAGGAAAAAAAAATTATGATATATTATATTATAAAAGAAAAACGAAAATAAAACTAAGCAAGCATAATAAGTATATTTACATACAAAGAGAAAATGAAAAAGGTTTCAAAAGGTTACGCCCTCTACCCACTCTCTTCTAAGAAAATATTATTCTATGCCTACTTGATATAATATTCGCTCTAGATATTTTCCCTTACCAACCATCATTAATTATTTAAGCCCTTTTCGGGCCATAGAGCTCCATCTGCCTGTCCGCAAAATAATTTTGATAAACAAAAAACCCCATCATAAGAAAAACGCATCCTATGTAAAGGATGAGCGCGAAAACCAAAAATATGGTTACGAAAGTGGAAGGGGGATGGCTGCGCTTCCTAGTGACTATTTGCAGCACTGCCATGATTTTTTTTACGATTGCTGACAATTATTGACACAAAAAGATGTCCTTCGAGATAAAAAAAGAGAATGTTGAAGTCGCGCCTCGAAATGTTTTCTTTTTAAATGATTGTGTGAAAGAATGCATGTGGAAACTTCAAAAAGCAGCTTTTCATAAGCTGCAAACGTTTAAGTTTCAAAATGAACACTCAAAACACCAACAGGTCTTAACCGAGAGACTCTTCTCACTAACTTGATGACAGGGTTGTTTTCGGTTATATAAAACAGCACAAACGTGGTGGGTAGTGTACTGGAACTAATGAAATTGTACGAAATCGTAAGATAATTGTACATTTTTTCTAAACCCCTTCTCAGAGTTAGCAAAACAGACAATGCAAGCTTATTCATTACAAAACCAACAGTAATACGGATTGCGTTCGGTTCTAATATGTTAACCTACTTCATAAAACATGAAACAATTGTACTAAAACTTTGTACAAATTTTCAATTTTACACGAACCCACTCGCAAGCAGGAGGTTTCGGGTTCGGAGGGCGTCGCCGAAACACGATCGTTACTACGTCCCTCTGCAGCATCCCGCGTGACGTCACAGGAACAAAATCTTCTTGCAGAAAGCCAGTTCGTTTTCTCGCTCCTCTTCTGGCGGTAAATCAGGTGGGGATGATGTTCCAGGATTTGATATTCAGATTAGAAGCCAGCCTGTGAAAACGAACCTTACCTGGAGGCCTGTATATAAAATCCGAGAATATTGGAAGTTTTTCGGCATACATTATGAGCGTTTTATATTTACTAAACATTAGATTTTTGTTGTTTTATTTGTAAATATTTGCCCCATATATAAGCAAAAGGATCACAAATTAAACAGGTATAGAGAAAAACTCTTAAAAAAAATCTTCCAATTTACCAGGTCTATTTAGATTGCACTATTGATGGAAAAAGTTGTAAACAAGGTAGACAAGTTTATAATTTGAAATTATTACCGAATCCCGCTTTAGCATACCTCACACGTTTCGAATACAAATTACACAATTTGTAAGTGCGTGACTCACATTTAGAAGAAAATAATATTACGAAGTGGAAGTTTTAAAATTGGATTTTCACACCAAACTGGGTTTTTGGCTGAAAGGTAAAATGGATCAAATCCTGTGCTGATTTTCTGTCAGAGGCTTTGGAAGAATTGTGGTGCAAAAGTTACGAGGTGACTTTCAGTGGCAAGCAAATATCACAATTAGGCCCCACCCTTGTAATGAAAAAACATAAGATTTTTTTGTACTTGATAATTTGCCGTTTGATAAACCTTTGAACCGAAATCAAATAAAATAAAATAATGAATCCAAAGCAAAAGAAGCAACAAATATCATTTATTTGGTAGAAACACATTAAAACAAAAATCTAAAAGATAGCTCTTTACCTTGAATCGTAACATTACCCAAGATGTCGCCCTTTAATCCTGTAAATTACCTTTAGCAAAAGTCTCTTCTTCTGGGTTTTATTAATGGCAAATTGAATTGTTCAACTAAAAGAGCCAATTAGAAGCTGCGGTAGAAGAAATTTTGATTAATATCAACTTAAGAGCTGCTAATGATCATTCGAAATTTTGATTATAATCGGGTCTTGAGCTTTGAATGCCCTTAAGAAAGTTCTCTAGCGAATCCAGAGTTGATAGAAGTTTAAATTTTGACTATTACCGGCTTTTGATTGGCTCTAAGAAGGTTTTCCAAAGAATCAAAAACCAATAATAGTTCAAATTTTGATTATCTGTGACTCCTTTATCAATTGGATAATTTTTTTGGAGCAACTAAATACCGAATATCCATATTGGATGCTGTGCCATAGACTATACAGGGTGAGTCCGAAATAAGTGCGCATTTTGTTATGATAGATAGATTACAGTAGAACAATCACTTTTTGCATAGGTACATATGTCCGCAAACGTTTCGTTGGGAAAATGCAGAGTGTTGTAATTGTCGGTCCTGGAGAAGTGGAACTCAAACGAATGTTTCAAAAAGCTGCTCGAGAACATCGCAAACACTCTGAAAATTTGAAAAATCGCTCGAGGCATTTTGAATCTAAAGGCAAAAAGTCAAAATTTTCCAAAAATTTCAACACTCTGTATTTTCCTAATGAGACCCAGAGATATGGGAGAGTTGTTGGTTAGAATAGAATAAGGGTCCATCCTGCGCAACTGGCAGAATTT